AAGTGTGAGAAATTTCAAGGGACTGTTTAATTGTCAGAGGTGTAATAGATTTTTAAAATGAAAACTTTATTTAGATGTAATTTACATGGTCTAATAGATTTTTATCATATAAAGTACTGCATAAAAGAAATGGATTATTTTCAGTTTACAATTCTCGAGTTGTGCTGGATTGTTAGGTTATTTGTGGTATTATGATTTGACTTGTATAATCTTCTGTAGAAAGAACTGATATTTCATTCTTTAGGAAGTGTTTTTTAATTGATTCAATAAATATTTATCATGTGATATAAAGTACAGGTAGGGTATGGGTAAGGACTATTATATTAAAACTTAGAGACACAAAATCAATTTAAGTTTTATCATCTTTGTACATAAAAATAAATTCTAAATGGAGTAAAGAATTAAATGTAAAAAAAAGGAAATCAATAACTATAAGAATATGTAAGTGAATATGTTTAAAATTTCTGGATAGGGAAGGTCTTTCTAAATCAGAGGATTGGAAGGAATTACAAAAGACAAGATAGATTTAATTATGTTAATACAGACAAAAAAATTGCAAAAGCTCAGATGCCAAATAATACATATTAGGGTGAAACAGGGAACCAGGACACAGTTTTACAACCAGTAAAAACCAGGTCTTTACTGGTTGTAAAGACCTTTTGCACATCTGCAGAAAAATGAGCAAGAGGCATGAACTTAAAATTCTCAGGAGAAAAATATATTGCTAATAATATTTGGTATTTCCTAGTAACCTCATAATAAATAAGCATATAGTGAGATGCTATTTTGGAAGAATATATAATTTTCAATTCTGCCAAGGCTGCATTGAAGATGGGCACTGTCATACGCTGTTAGTGGAGTTGAAATTGTTACAGTCTTTCTGGAAAGCAGTATATTGATATATGTAACAAGAGCCTGAAAAAAAGTTCACTTTGATTCCATTTTTAGAGAATTGTATTAAGGAAATAGAGATTCACGCAAAGATTCTGTATAATGACTCTGTCACTTGGGTGTCTCTAATAGTCAAGTGAAAAGAATCTATTAAGAGTCTAATACTGGAAAAGTTATATCCTTTATGGCACATGTATTCATAGTATAGAGTATATTTAACCTTTAATTAAAAAAAACTTTTTCGATGGTTTGGAGAAACAACTATGATTAATAGTTTATTTTTTAAAGCAGGGTATGGAACTGTATGTAAATGTGATCTTAAAGATATAAATGTATTTACTACATAAACTATAAGTATCTGAACTACAAAGCAGTAGAAAATATACCCAGAATGTTGACCGTGATCATGTTTGGGAGGTAGGATTGTAGTGAAGCTTCTTTATACTTCTCTGTAATTTCAAATAATTTATAATGAACATTATATATTAATTAATTATATAATTAATTAATTAGGAAATATGCTTTTAAAATAATGTATTTTTTGGCATTTCTTCCTAAACTCAAGGGAACAAATTGATTAGAGGAAATTAAATATCTTCTACTTTATTTAGGAAGAAGAGCTGAGAAAAGCCATTTTAGTGGTATTTGCAAATAAGCAAGACATGGAACAGGCCATGACTCCTTCCGAGATGGCAAATTCACTTGGGTTACCTGCCTTGAAGGACCGAAAATGGCAAATATTCAAAACTTCAGCAACCAAAGGCACTGGTCTCGATGAGGCAATGGAGTGGTAAGTATCGTGTTTCCAGAAGCCATCTGTGCGTTTGTATGTGCATGCAACTGTTTACACACCTGTGTGATTTCCCTTTAGTTTTAAGGATGAAACTCAGATTACTTAGCAGCTTATCATATTAAGATCCTCCAGCCTTTTCTCCCACTGGTCATCATGTGCATCTGCTTTTATTTCAACCACACCTACCCAGTTATAGATAGATATACCAGCTGTCTGACATTTTTCTAGCTTTTTCCCTGTCTCACCTCACCCTCCAATTCCATATTCTTCAGGACTTAGGTTAAGGCTCTCTTCTTCCCTGACATATCTCCATGCTCACTGCCTTACCATACACACTTAGTCCTTGTCACAGAGTAGTGATATAGTACTTGTTACACTCTCTTATCATTGATTTGTGCATCTACTCATAGATTATCAGCTCCTTGAGGACTGAGACTAGTTTTCACCTCTGAATTATCCACATCTGGCCTGGCTGTGGTAGTAGCAGCCTGGAAAGTAGAGAGTTGGTCTTTTTTTCATTATTCATTTAAAGTATAGACAAAGTGAAAGCTAGAAGACCCTCATGGAAATTGAGTCCATAACCTTATTCTTATTCTTCTAATGTAACTGTCTTAGCTTGTGTCATTTAAAGTGCTTTGGAATCTACCTTCAGTATAAAATTGATATTATAAATGATCATGCTCTATACCTGAAAGGTTGAAATTAATTTTATGAAACTTAATTTTCTCTTCACAGGTTAGTTGAAACATTAAAGAGCAGACAGTAATTCAATCACTTCTCTGAAATGAAGACCACATCACATAGTCCTTTGGAAACAGTTAAGTGTGCTTCACACTACTAAATGTTAAAACTGTGTGATTATTGGCATATACTGAACTGACTGCAATGTTTGTAATAAATATAGAAAATAAGTATTTGGTTGGAAGGGTAACTCATCGTGATTGAACCAGCTGAATGTCCTGTGTAATGTAAAATATTCCTTCCTTGCTTTCTTGTGTTAAGGTACATATTCTCTTTGTATGGAATTCTTTTTCAAATATAGTCCTATTAAAGAATGTACTCTTATTGAGGAAAAAACCCTCCTATTTTTGAATTAGTGGTTGCAGCTTGTTTGTATAAACATTAATAAATATCTTAACTCAGACTTTTCCCCCCTTAAATGAAAATAAAGTTTTTCCAAAGATTAGACTCAGTAGAGTTGGCTAGGACATAGTGTGGGTAATACAGTTTTCATTTGCTTAATGACCACTTTATTTAAGCTGTTTAGTTTAAAAGCTTTTGGTTATAGGCATGAAGTAGAAATAATTATTTTGGTGGTTAACTTCACTGACTTATCTGTAATTGTTGTTTTACAGTACTTTATAGTTGTGAAAACAGTTTTATGTATATTGACCTAGTTGATTTATATAGGAACCCTGTGATGTAGGTAGGACAGGTTGTAATGTGTTCATTTTATGGATGTGGACCCAAGGTTCTGATAGGTTGGCTTGCCCAAGGTCACTTGCTAGTGAGGTAGGGACAGGGCTCAAAGTAAGACTTCAAGGTCAGAAGCTTGTCCCATCATAAGCTACACCATAAATACCTGAAAATGCCAACATTGGCAACACTGACAACCCAACTCCTTAAATAAAATTATGCTTAATTGAAGTAGACACAGTATTCAAAATAATGTCTATAAATTTATTTGTCCATACTAGTAGAGGTAGTATAAACAATCCTACATGATCCTATTTGATGGAATTCACAACACATTGAAGAAAAAATTCACATTAAGGGAAATAAAAAAATCTATTTTAAGAAGCATTGAAAAAGATGTCTTTATTGTCTTTCATTCCTTTTTTATCTACCTGTAATTAGACATGTAAATTTGATTGTGAGAAGTCCAAATCTTACTGGTTCTACAGAGAGAAATTAAGCACTCGTGGTTTTAAAAATTAGGCCACTGCTAGGCTGTTAAAATCAATTATGTTCAAAGGAACTTTTCAAACTACCTAGTGCACCACAGGATGGGCTACAGTGTGAGAGAAGTAAATACAGTCCATAGTAATTACTAAAATTGGAGGGAATTTTTTCCATTTTTTAAGTTGGACAACCAGCATTTAAAAACTTAGATGCTGGTAAAGAAAGCTTAATACCATTGTGCCCCTCAGGTCTCAGGAACACTAGTGTTCATTTCCTGTCCCCACCACTATCCTTCCAGATGTTGGCCTCTGGCCTTTCTCTCATACTTTTGGTCATCCTCTCAGCTCAAGTGAATGTGGCTTTCTCTTTGCACCTCTGGGAATTTTACTCTTCTTACTCATGCCCCAGCACCCATTCCTAATTTGGTCTCTGTGTCAAGTGGCTAAGTACCCCCAGCAATTCAGGAACACTGCGTGCGAAGTATGGGGAAGTGAGGTCCTGGAGGGCAGATGATGCCTGGCGTGTAGCTCTTGCCATCTTGAATATTGAAGGCACATGAAGCTGTAGCAAAGGTCAGCACTTGGATTATCCTCATGCCTCTGGCTTATAAAGAATAGGATGGGATAAATTGAGCACACACTTATTTTAATATGGTGTAAATTATAAGGTCCTTGTCTAGCAGGAAACAACTGTACAGGTATGTTACAGGAGTTTGAATGTTGATATTTGTAAAAATCTACTGAATATTGTTTTATGAGAAGCCTGAAAATGGGAAAAGCACCAAACTTGAAATCAGAACACGAGTTCCAGGCACAAATGGCCACTTCTTCAGTTTTTTTTCTATAACAAGAGACTTGGACAAATAGTATCAAAGGTTTCTTTTTAGGTCTAACACTTCTGTTTTATCTGGTTGGTAGTTGTGATGTGTCATGTGGTCACAGTGGAAAAAATAAGAAATAGAGTGGTAGAATTCTGTTATCACAATACCTGAGATGCACTTTAAATTGTGGAAATGTAAGCTCCTTGAGGGCAGGGACCAGTTTATTTACTGTTAGTATCTCTTGCATCTAGTGTGGTGCACCTGGCACTTAGTAGGCACTCAATAAATATTTACTGATTAAAACAAAGCTGTGCTCAATATCCCTGAGATATTTTTACTATCTATCTGATATTTGCCTTAGTATTAACTTTCTCTCTTTTTTTTAAAGATTTTATTTTTCCTTTTTTTCCCCAAGACCCCGGGTACATAGTTGTGTACTTTTAGTTGTGAGTCCTTCTAGTTGTGGCATGTGGGACGCCACCTCAGCATGGCCTGATGTCCGTGCCCAGGATTCAAACTGACAAAACCCTGGGACGCCGAAGCAGAGTGCGTGAACTTAACCACTCAGCCACAGGGCTGGCCCCGTAACTTTTGTTTTTTGATCTTTAAAATTTTTATTAAAGCAATACGTGTACTTTAAATCACTTAGAATTAAAATAGGCCTTCTAAGATGCCCCAAGTTTATTCTTTTGGTACATTACAAACCCCCTGGAAGTGTGAGAACTCCTGTTTGAGACATAAACTACATCAAAACACAGATGCTGAAGTTTGTGAATGTTTGAACATTTGATTCCTATGCCGTTCTCCTTTTTTAAAAGCATCATAGTTATTCTTGGCTTGTTATCTTCCATATAAATTTTAGAATCAGCCTGTTAGGATAATGTGAACAGCTCTTTTGGGATTTTGCTTAGATACACATTTAACCAATGGCCCAACCTGGGAAGACTCTTACCCTATCCATGAACATAGTTATGTTTCTCCATTTGTGCAGATCTTTCTTAATGCATTTTGATAAAGGTTCATAATTCCATAAAAGTATTGCAAATCATGTGTTCCTAACTTCTTCTACATTGTCTTGCTATTTTAAAGTGTACCTTTTTTTTAAAAAAATTACATTTTAAACTCTTTATCACTAATGTCACATGCTTTTAAGACAGTGAAGATACAGTAATATTATGAAATGTTTTAATTCAAAAAATATGAGCATGATTATATTAAACTGTATAATATACAATCTATGCCAAAGCTTAATAATAAAATCTGCTGTGATTTCAGACTAGCGGAGACACTGGGAAGTTCACGCTTTGTAAGCTGAGATACTGAATGAGCACAGGGAGCACTTTACTCCACCATTGCTAAATCTTTCAGGCTGTGGCTCTTTTGTCTCTTGGCCTTATAGCCAGGACGCAGGAACTCTATCTTTCTCTTCTTTGCTTCACTTTTATTTTTGTGTTTCTTCAGCTTTTTCTTGGCAGCAATATCAGGATTAGTTACAAACTTGAAAAAAGAACAGAAATTTAAAGTAAATGTTAAACCAATAAAAATCAATTGCAGAAATGGACCGTTTTGTTCACATTTAAACATCATGAATGCAACACATGCCCATTAAAGAAAGTCTGGAGCCCCAGCTATAAAGTTCCTCTCAAACACAGCCAGTTCCTCTTTCCTCCCTGGGTAAGTGCAACACACACAGGTACACACCCCTGGATAAGAAGAGTTATTAAGCCTAATGAACACGCCATATTGTCAAACAGCAAGCTTACCTCCAAAGCCTTTCTCTTTTTCCGGAGTGCCCTTTTCTCATTAGCCTGTTTCTGTACAGTGGCAAAGGCCAGTGAGAAGCTTTCAAGCCCAACCAGTTTTTTGAGTAATTCTATGATTTCCTGGGACAGATTCTTCAGCAAAGGATCTAATCACATACAGAGTGTAACAATCAGAGACAGTCACATAGGGAAAGGACACGTTTGAACATCTACCATATCAACAACATGCAAAATTTAAACTTCTACAGCATTATCACTTTTATTACTTCAACATTAAACACTGATCTAAAACTAGGCTCTGCATTTCTGAGATGGGAGAACAAGCAGAAAGAAGTGTTGGACACAGCACTCCCAGCCACCACCTTATCCAGGATGCAATAAGAGATCAGAGACCAGGAAGCCCACTTTCCAGGGGAATCCTGGCTCAGGAGACATTAATTTGAGAACCTGATGGAAACGTTCTGGGCTACCTTTATTAACCTGCTTAGCTCTCTGCAGATGGGGGAAAGGTAAGTGTGTTTCTCTGGGCCCTCTCTAATTCATGGGTCACAGAGAATCACTTCTGGCCATAACCTTTCTTTTTTTTGGGGGGGGGGGAGGGTTAGGGTTAGACTCACACTCCCTTGAGAAGCTAAAGAAAAGCTATGCTCTCCCACCATTCCCTGCCTTCTCTCTCCGAAATGCAAATAACCCACAGATTTTTGCAGTCACTTTCAGGAGAGCTCAGGACACCTCCTCTAGATTGCAAGCTTCTTGAAGATAGGGATTAGGCCCTTTCTCCTGTTGAACCCTCAGTGCCTGGCAAATATTGTGTTCAATAAATGCTGGCTGAGAACCAAAGCAGACCCGACCTTCCCCATTGCTTTTCCTCTCTAAGAACAAGGAAACTCTCTCAAGGTTGCAGGACTACCGTAGCTCCTGCTTTCACATTGACTTCATTAGTTTTATTTTAGAACTCCTAACATCCACTTTACCTCCTCTCTTCCCAACCCCCAATTCTCTTTTCCTATTAAAAGAGACAATTTAGGATCAGTGAGGGAAATGTACCTAAAAAGAAAAAAGAATGTACCAGGCAAGAAAAAAGAAAAATTTAAATTTAAAACAATTTCATATAAAATAATACATACACTCTTACCTTATAATTCTTGAGAATGTAATGACATTTTATTGTTCATTATTGTTCATAACACTATGAGGTTCAGAACCACCCCAAATTATAGTTTTCTTTGAATATTTAATCTACGCTTGGGAGTAAAACATCTTTTAGGAGAGAAACATTCACTCTTAAGAGAAAGCATATAGAAGAAGGCAATCAAATATAACACAAATATGCCTTCTTGCTTGCTATTAATTGCCTTGATGCCTAGTAAATTTTCTTCCTTAAACTCTGTCAGGGAGGGAGGACAGAAAGGAAGAAGGAAGCTTCAGAAGGGAAGTGAGAAGTCCTAATGTGCAAGTATTCAGAAGAATTACCTTGGTCCGAATAGGTGCTGTTCAGTTCTCGGAACAAAGGAGCTATGATTACTGAGAGATATGGCTTCACCTTGTCTTTTCCAAGATCCATTGCTACAGCTCCAAGAAACTTAAAGATGCACGTTCTCTGAAAGTACAGATCATTTTTCATTTGAAGTGTTTTCTCTTACATTTGCGGTCATACATAGTTAATATAGAAAACAAGGTCTACTGTGGGGCAGGTATTGCTGCAGTTTTGGGTTTAAAAGTTCCTAGGAACTTAGGAGGATCACTAATACCACTAAAATACTTTTAAAAAAATGACTACTTTCAGTCATTCTGCACATTTGTCGCACCTTTAAGAGGTTTCTAGGTGAATAGGCAGCTTCCAGTTTTGCGATCCGGGACAACTTCTGGATCAACCACAGCAGCGTGGCTGGCTTGCTGTTCTCTTCCTTTGCCTCTTCATTCTCTTCTCGGTCAGATTCTGCCTTCTCATGTGCGTGGGCCTGGTGTCCGACTTCCTCTCTGGCCACACCATCTCCTAAGGCTTCTTGTTCTTCCATGTCCTCTTTTATCTCACCTTGCTTATCCTCAGAATCAGGTTCCAGTAAATATAAGACTTTGGCTACGAATAACAAATTCTTAACAACCTTAAAAAAAAAAATGGGAAAGGGGCGGAATTGGACTTTGATTTTGAAATAAATATGGCTTAATAAAGCAGAAGCTAAAATAGGTATTCTACAATTAGAAAATAAAAACAAGTGGGTATTGCACTATTAAATTTATTGCTCCAATTTTTGATAATTCTTCAGTTTTTCCTTATCGTGTGTCCAAACCCATTTCCATGTAACTTTCATTCATTTGGCCTAGTTCTACCCTTTAAGGCCACACAGCATAAACGATTTTATTCTGGGCCATCCATTTACATGTTTAAGAGAGCTTTCATCCTCCCTCATTAAATTCCTTCACAGACATAACTGTTTCCATCTTTGAGCACTTACTTTATATATGACATTCTAATTCAACTTTAAAATACCCTCAGGTACTATTATCAGAAGAGAAAACCAAGGCTCAGAGTCACTAAATGACTCTCTCAAAACTAAATGACTCTCTCAAAGACAAAGTGAGTGGTCAGCCAGGAGTCAAAGGTCTTTAGAATTCCAGCCCAAGTTCTTAAACCCTGAGCTCCTCCCTCCTCAAATGCCATCTGATTCAGTTAAATAGCCCAGGGACCAATTTTAGTCTTACAAGAATGGACACATTTATTGGGTCCCTAACTCTGACATCCATGAAACCTCTGATGTAGGTATTTCACACCCATTACATGAAGGAGAAAACCAAGTCGGTTTTGGGTTCCTTCACCATCCTGGCTGCTCTGCTAGAGGTGCTGTGTGCCAAAAGTTCCCCCAGATGTAGTACTCAGAACCCCAGACACTGACCAAGGCTGGCCTGGCCATCAGCAGTTCATGCCAAGATTATAATTTCCTCCTCCTGGAAGCTTGGCCTCCATGAAGACAGTCCCAGTTTTGGAGGCCTTTTTCCCCTGTGGCAGCCACTTCACATTGTTAACGCACCCTAAGATTACGGTGAACTCAGTTCCATAATTTCTGTCATTCTGGGTCAGTACTAGTAAATCTCTTCCTCCCTGACCCAAGTTTGGTCTGTCAAGCCTCTATTTAAAATCATATTTGTGTGAGAGTGCAGCCACTGTTCACCCTGGCAGGATTTCTTTGGCCTCTCTTTGCTATCCATTGAATAGCTATCCATTCCTTCCCCGATCCTGCCATATAATGAAGCATGTTATATATTCATTTAAAAAAGTGATGCAGGTATTAGTATTCATGGCATGCCACTTGAGATCACTCTTCGGATGTAGCATTCACCTAGTTTCTAGTGCCCCATCACTCGATCTCCATCACTTCATCTTGTCCATAATGACAAGAGTTGTGGTCAAGTGCCTTGCTCATATCCAGACACCACATCTGTGTCACCTCATCGTCTACCAGCCCTACTGCTCTATCAAAAGAGGGAAAAATAAAAGGGAGCAGTAGACCAACTATGCAGAAGTAATTTACATTTACTGCACGTTTATAAATGCTTCTCCATATTTACATTTTAGTTATAGTTACATTTTTATAATCTGAAAATATATAAAATTTCTTAGTGATTTATCTGCCTTCTGTTAAGGATAGACAATTCTCGGACCACTGTAGCATGAACATTATTACTTTCTCTTCAACTTCCAGGGATAAACGAAGGAAATTCAGTACTACAGATTAATATAAGAACAACCATAATCAATCAGTCAGTGCCCTTCAAAGCTTCAGTCACAATGTGGAGTAGATGTTAAAACTGAACATGAAAAGATGAATAGCCAGCCTCCTGCTGCATCATCTTTACTGGGAATTTTAAATGGAGCCAAGAGTAATCCCAGCATGGACCCAAGAGTTGATTAGATATATGTCTATAACTGAACATGTATTTGAGTGTATATTTCATTTAATTCCCCAAACATTAAAATAGGAAAACAAACAAAAAATACAAATACCAAAGGTGAACCTGTTTCTAGACTGTTGGTAGAATAACTCCCTTGTGTTAAACTGGGAGGATTACAATACTTACCTGCTCTCCTAGAGACTGATCCAAGAATTTGGAATGCAACTGATGGCAAGAGGCTAGGGAGATACTTTTCATCTGTGAAAAGAAAATGGACATTGGCAGACACAATGCCGGATATTTCTAACTGTTTTTAACAATTCCAAATAACCATGCTAATACACCTCAGGGACTAGACTTTGCTCTGAATGATCACTTGTATAGTCTGGAGAGGGAAGGTTCACGACCACAAACTGTAATTGCTCCCTTCTACCTGCCCCAAGCACTTCAGCCCAAAGACCTGGGATACTTCTAAGCTCTGGGCAGGCAGAGATAATAATCCCTTAGGTTATTAGTAGAGAACTTTGCAACACCTCAGTATATTTTTTTCTTTTTTTCCCTTCCATCCTCCACTCATTCAATATTTATGAAGTTCTCACTATATGCCAGCTGTTGTTCTGGGTCCTAGGAAATCAGAGATGGATATAACATGGTCCCTGCCAAACATTATCATGAATGTGATAACATTTAGTCATCAACAAGGTTATGAAGGAGGCAGGACAGACTGAATTAATCTTATTTTAAAAAAAATAAATCTTATTTTCCAATGTTGATAGGGAACTTAAACATATAATGGAAGATGAACATCTTGAATAAGCAAAAGTCTGACTAGACTGATGGTCTAAAAATTATCTGAAAAACCTTGGCCTTGATGGTGACCCTTCTCTGGTTCCTGACACTCCTGTGGATTCACATGTGCAATAAGTTGTCGGCTAGAAGGGCTTCTCCTAAGGGCCATCCCCAAGACAGTTACACGAACATCTCACACAGATCACGAGGGAAGGAAAAAGTTTTAGAGAAACCTTACCTTTTGCTCAAGGTTACTTGTTAGGAACCTGACTGCTACAGGTTCTGAGAGTTTCTTTTTAGTCTTTTTGGCGTTCCATTTTCTAATAAGTTCCTCTGGTTGGCAAGAGGCAAAGAGCAATCCAAATATTTGGGCTGCAGTGAGCCACACCCAGTTGTGCGGATGTCTCAGGTGAGAGTGCACATGACCTAAGGAAACCAAAATGCATTCTCAGATGTCTCACAGCTTTTCTGACTCTTTGGTGGTAAACATGACTAACTTAGGCATTTACTGAGTATCTATTATGTGCCTGGATTTGGGAACCAAAGATGAACAAAATAGTCTTTCAAGAAGCTTTTAAGGAACTAGGGAGGAGTGAGGTGGTGAGACACTGGAAACAACTAGAAAACCACCTCCTAACATAGTAAATGACAGACGTAGGAGTAAGCCTCAAACCAGACCTGTTCCATAAGAATTAGTTTCAAATTCAAGGGAGATCAGGTGGCATTAACATTTTCTAAATTAAGTAATGTAAGTTTATATACAGGTACATGTTTACTTCTACTAACTATTGAAATTGGGGGCTCCAAGTACCTGACTGGAATTCATTTATTGAGGATTTCTAAATGTGCCAGGCACAGGGCTAACTGTGTTCCATACATTATCTTATTTAGACCTCACAACAGTTTTGTGAGATTAGAATTCTCATTTCCATTTTACAGATGAGGAAACAGATGTTCCAGAGGGGCTAAGTGAAACGCCAGGTTCTAACAGGCAGAACCAGGCCTGGGCCCCAGCTTGATCTGGCCCCAAAGCTCACTTGTATGCTACATGGCCACTCTCCATAAACCACACTTGGAAAGTACAGTGGAAAAGCCTGGTGGGTGCCGGGGAACAGGATTAAAATTCTAGATGAACTGTGTCATATCTGAGTTTTAGTCTCTGCTCTTCTATTTCATGAACATGGTTTTACTTCTGTTCTATATGAACCTTTGTAATAAGCTGGCCACGTCTCAGTGGAGCCATACCAGAGTAGGCCAAATAGCAATGTAGTAATTATGTTATTTTTCATATGATCACCAGTTTTCTTAAAACAGGTGGGTACTAGAGGCATTTATTCTAATGTTTGTTTTCTACTGACTAATCAAAATTGAATGTTAAATTAAAAATTCTAGGATTTTATCCTTTATTTAAAGAGTAATATACAATAACTTAAATGTCCCATGGAAGTGAAATGGTTTAGTAAATTATGGCACATTTGCATGATGAACTATTTATAGCTATTTAAAAGAATATCTACTGTGTTACAGTATAGTAATATGCTCATTTAGGTACAAACAAGATATAAAAGTTTATATGGAATTATGCAACTTCTCTAAAAAAACCTATGGCTATTTCACAAAAAGAAAGACTGGATGGAAAAATATACCAAATTATCATCAAGCAGCCAGGAGGACTTTGGGAAGTTTTTTTCCTTTCTTTTACTCCCCCATAATTAATATTCTTTCTTTTATAAATGAAATGTATTACTTATGAAGTCATAAATATATATTATTTTTCTCAGACAGAAAAAGTTTCACTGTAATCAATTTGAAAGGGCCTTTTAAATCTTTTTCTCCTAGACTTTTTTCCTGACCTTATATACTTTCTAAAGTATTCATATTCTAATTTCCCAAATGTGTTTTTAGTAATTCTATCACAACTGTTTATTTTTAGATTTAAATAAAAAGGAAATACTTACTCCAGATTTTACTCAGAGTCTCAGAGGGCTTGGTAAACTGAACAATATTACATTCCTTGATGAGTTTACTTATCAGTGTAAGAAAACTAAACAAAAGGCGATCTGCAGCTTTTTCTTCAGTCTCTTCCATGATCTAAAAACCAGATGGATGGAATTCAATGAGGACAACATGAAATTTCAGAGTATTTTAAGGACATTTTTACTCTAGCATGTAAATCTACACCAGGGTTTCTCACCTCAACACTACTGACATTTTGGGTTAGATAATTCTTGCTATGGGGGCTACCTTGTGCACTACAGGATGATTAGAAGCAGCCCTGGCCTCTGCTCACTAGATGCCAGTAGCGCCCCCACATCTTCCAGCTGTGACAACCAAAAAACGTCTCCAGATGTTGCTAGGTGTCCCCTGGTGGGGGTGGGAATTGCCCTACTTAAGAACCTTTGAAGTTCATACATTATAGAAGATCATTTACTTTAACACCATTTTGAAAAGATCCAATTGCACAGAATTCTTGCTTTCACTAATAAAAAACCATTTTTTTAAACATGAATAATATGTAATGTATTACCTATATCCCCTCAAGTAAAATTACAAAAATTAGCAAAAGTTTTACTCTCTAGCAAATAACTTACATCTTTAAAGTTTTCAGGATCAATTTCCTTTTCAATCACAGGAAGAACAGTTCCAAGTCTTCTCTCAAAAGTGACTCCTTCACTTTCCACAAACAAGCCACAGATCAGGGCAGCTAGTTGTCTATTTAAGCTCTACCAAAATAAACCACCACAAGACAATGTCAACACAACTTGGGACGCTCTTTCCAAAATTGTAAAATAAAGGTGGGCATGACTCTGTTCTCAATATTTCTTTACAATGCCAGCAACCAACAGAATGTGGATCTTTGGTGGCTAACAAGAAAAACACAGAGAAATCTTCATACCCAAGAATAACATGTAAAACAGAAAGTGGCACTCATCGTTTTCTACTGAATACTTTAATACATTTTTTTTCCCATTTTAAATTAAAAAAAAAAAAGAATGGAAACAAGTTTCATACAGCACCCCGTGCCCCCAATTCTGACTTTAATACCTGAAGCCAGTACTAAGATATGACATGTGTTGTTTATGATCCACAAAAATGGGCCACTCATGATGGTGGGAGAACTGGCAAGTGGATGCAATCATTGACAAAAATTACATTCCATTAACTGAATAAGCAAAACTGGAAACAAAGGTATTCGTCAATGGGGACTGGTTAAGAAAATTACAATGCATTCATGTAGTGGAGTAATTGGCTGACATTAATCATGTTGTGGGAATACAGGTGATTTTCATGTTACTCTCCATAACTTATTATATTTCCTGAAATTTCCCTATAAGAATATATTATTAACATAATCAAATAAAAATAATAAAACTATTTGAGAAAAATTAATTCACCAATGTAGCATATGTAATCTTATTTAAAGTCTGAACACCAAAAGGTAAGACTTTTCACTGACATATGACAAAAAGCAACCCTAACCTTTTTTGCTCCAAACCAGGTGGTCACGAGATCAAAGAGCCAATCTTTTTTCTCAAGGTTGATTTTACTGAGTAAGGATTTGATTGTTACAGACGCCATCTTTTTGCACATGGCAGAGTCATCATTCACCATCATTAGACAAAGAGGAATAAAGAACATCCCGCAGTTCTCATGGAGCAGTCCCTAAAGGAAAACAGGCATTTATGAGCACACTCGGACTGGCATTCTCAGATGCTCTAACCAGGACTGTGGTCTCCCAGGGCGCAAGGCAAGCGCAGCCAACAGCGCGTCTTTGTGACTCAGTACCTGAGGGAATGCGTCCACGAGACAGGCGATCATCTCCAGGGTGGACTCTCTCCCAGTCTCGTGTTCATAACTAGGGCAAGAACATCAGATGGACTTGTTAGTATCTTTTAAGTTTACCAATAAATATTTTTAAAAATTTAAAATATTGTATCAAGGTGTCTGTTAGTCTATTTCTTAAAAAGCGGAAAAAACTCCATTTTTCCAATTTTAATGCTTGTATATATCCATCATGCTACTGTGTAGTTTTAAATGTAATTTTCTTAGATTTTTACCATTCTCTTAAGTGGACTCTAATGACAATCAATGGTCAGACTGAATTGAAAAGCAACTTACAGAACTGCCATATGAAGCAACACACAATTATAATCAAGTCAATGATCCAGATGATAACCTCAGAGAATGTGCCATTATGTTTAGGCTTTGTCATTTTCAAGACAGCTACCACATTAAAAGGAGAGAAGAAACTACCCCTCTGCCGCTGCGTAATTTATGACTTAAACTTACTTCAGTTGAGCGAGCATAAATTCCAAGTTTGGTCTCAATTTTTCGCCCAGGGGATAGTCAAGAATATATTTCAGAAAAACCTAGGAACAAAAGTTACACAGATGATTTTTTGGATCCTGTCTCTCCAGGATTCCTGTTTCCTAAACTGCTTTCTGGGACACACTGGTAGGTTACAAAGACCTTCCAGAAGGGTGGTCAGTCATGCAAAGTCTGCCTCCTGAGTCAAGAACTGTAGCCCTTCCTTCCTGCTTCCACTTCACTTTCCCAGGTTCCGCACTAGGTGCCTAAGAGTCAAGTCCTGGCATGCTTGTTTAGGGCGACAAATCTCAGCTCACATGGAGGAAGCTCCCTCCTTGCTAGTGGGGTGATGGACTGAGTATGGACTGTGGTTCAACCCCATATTTCCCCTTGAATAAGAACAATAGTGGCGATAATGTTAATACTGATAATAGTAACTATTACATTTACTAAATACTTTCCGTGTGTCATGCACTGTGTTAAGTGTTTCTTGGTTAATACTCATCGCTCCCTTAGGAAGTAGGTGATATTACCCCACTTTACAGATGAACAGAATGAAGTTGGCACAGAGACGTAAGTAACTTGCTCAGGTGACGATGCCAGAATTCCCTGTCTAGTCTATCTGCATCCAAAGGCCCTGCTTTCAAACGACTGTACCATTCAGCCTCCTTTATTAATGAACTGTGAGAACCAAGCGACATCATTAAACTTTCTAAGGCCTGTTTTTTTCCCTTGGCCATAAAATGGGAGTGCTGTTTCTTCTGAAGGGTAGTTACAAACAGAAGTCAGGTACGAAAGTACTGGGCCTCCGGCTAGTGCTCAATAACTAGCAGCTGGCCCTCCTTTATAACAGTAGTCGGGGAAACTTTTTCTAAAGACATGCTTCCTCGCTTTCCACCCTGGCCTCTTCCTCCTTCCTCCCCGAGTTCATATTTCCAGTTCAGACCCTTCTGCCTCCTGGGTGTTGATATGTGCTCATACGATCAGGGATGGACAAATGAATAAATACAAATCTGCTCATGTCATTCCCCTGCCTCATGATTTCAACAGCTTTCTGCTCTTCTTAGAACAAAGCCCTAAATCTTTAACAAGACCACAAGGCCTGACCTGGCTCCCTTCCCCACCTCACTCACCTTCATTTAGCTCCTCCAACAAGCTAAGCTCTCACCCACCTCAAGGCTTACCTTCTTCAGGCACTGGCTGTTCCCTTCACCTGGAACGCAAAGCCTTATTCTCCCTTCACATTTTGGCTAACATGCCAATCTTCAGGAAGGACTTCCCTGACTCTCACACTAGGGTGGCCTGCCACCCGACCATGTGCTCTATCATATGCCCTTCCATATTTCATCCAATTCATAGAAGCAGTTTTTCACATTTAACATATCTGAAATTGGGATGTGTCTTATAATTGATGGCATCTTACCCTTGCATCAAGAAATTTTTTTCTTTCTATGAGGTATACAAATAATGTGTGTCTTACAAGTGATGAAATATGACAGCACTTTTTCCCTCCTGGCACTTAGGACGTCTGTAATTAAGTAACCATTTGTGGAATTTTTTGCTTTGTGCCTGTCTCCTGCAGGATAGGGACTATAAAAATTTTATTGCCTGCTCCTCCAGCAGCACCTGTTAGACACTGATATGCACAGGTGGTAGTCGATGACTGGACAACGGGATGGAAACTTTTGCTGCAGGCCGTCATGCTGGAGAAGGAAAAGGTATTTCTTCATACATCTGAAATATGCCACAGGTGCTGGGCTACACTCAAAATGCTCCTTGTTAACTGAAAAATACCCTTAAAACAAAGCAGAGACTCTTCTCACATTTGATGTGTCAATGGTTCCTGAGTCTCAGAATAAAGCAAGAATATGACAGAAAGGTGTCTTCAGAATTCAGTCTGTGTTGACATATCGTTCTATCTTAAAACCAAACAGAGAAGGCAGGGCCCTACCCTTGCAACGGGAGGAAGCTCCCTCTACAAACCTGTCTGCACTGGACTCTGACTGGTTCGCTTTGCGCAGAAATTGCCAACTTGGATACTTTCCTCATGACATCATCAATTTCTGGAACCAATAACTTCCTTGATAAAATGGCCTAAAACACAAAAGGAAAAGACATACTCATTTCATGTTTTACTGCAGATGGGTGTAAGCTGACCTGACGTTAAAGCAGTCACAGGCAGTTTTCAAACATAATTAAAGTATCTCCAAAAGAAAAAGGACACACTTTAAAATGTTGAAATGTCAATTTTATGTTATGTATATTTTATCACAATTAAAAAAAAGGAAAAAACAATGTCCAATATGATAAATACAAGAAGAGGACTTGTATTTGTACAGAATTCCCTGGAAGTGTTAATATAGAGCTCACATTCAAACTTTTTACTAAGATATTAGCTTATAATTAATCCACCAAAATCACCATAATCTTTATACAGTACTTAATTTTGGACGTCTACAACTAGTCAAAACTCTATGTTCCAGGTTATTTTAACTATCTGACATGCGGCTCATAAACTGCACAATCCGACCTGCTGGTGACACCATACCTTCAGAAGACCAAATGCGGTGGCTTGTCTTGAAGTATCATAAATGTCCTCCTCAGCATACGCTAGGAGAACTTGAAGCTGCTTTTCAGTTATCTGGTAAGACTTCACTTTCTTCACGAGTATGGTCACACACTGCAAGTTACAACAGCGAGGTTAATAGCCAGGACGTCCCACAAACCAGGATCTAGTGAAATAACAGACTTAATGTCACATCAGTAGTTTTGCACACAGGATACCAAGCCCTCTGACCTCAGCAAATTAATCTGGAAAAATTTCTGACCAAGACCACAAAAGACAAGGGGCAAAACTAACTTTGATGTTAATGCTGGTCGTGGCCTTTTCTAAGAGCAAGTGAAAAAGCCTCACCTTGAAACAATTTACTACCAGGTGAAAGTTCTGGCCCCTGGCAGCCCCGAGTTTTGCATAGTCCTTCAGCAAAAGGAAAAGGTGTTTTGTCAGCTGTTCCGCTTTTGTGTCTATGGAAGGGAGAGGGAACCTCAAGACCCAGATCAGGCACTGTAAAGCACTTGTGATCACCTGAAAACCAAAAACAAATGCAATCAACTTACCAAGTGACCAAACCCAATCACCCAGCACCTGAGGCTGTGTAGACTCTCTAAGCAATCGAGTTGAAGGAATGAAAGGCTCTGCCAGCCCACTCTGGAAGAACTGTGCCAAAGTGTAAGAAGATGAGGAAGTTTCCCACTCCCCGTTGTAGAAGAACCTACTGCTTCTCCAAGGCAAGTAAGACTAGATCACAAGCAAATAAGAAAAGGTGCTGACTTACTGTATTCCCAACCTACAAGGGTAAATGATCAGACGGGTTGGCCAATTTTAGCAATTTGTTTTTTTATACACGACTTTTCTATTTTCTAGAATGGTACTTCGATTTAATCCATTCTTACTAAGCTTGTATTATGTATACAAGGCATTCTACTGAGTATTAGAAATATAAAGATAAGAAGGATGCCATCCCTCATTTAAGGAGCAGATAAATGGCTCAGAAATTAAGCATGAGAACAATGAACTATAATTTAATATATTTAAATGCTGTGCAAAAGGTATGAAAAAAGTGTGCTGAGACCAAGTGATTACACAGGGATCCCTGAATCCTCCTCCAGGCCAGCCTTTAGAGGTCATCTGGATCAGCTAGTTCAGTTCCACCTACCAGACCCCTCTGCTCTGGATGCTGTGATGGCCTTACTGGGTGGATTAGGTGAAGGCAGAGAGGAAGGAGCTTGGGAATCAGAAAGACCAGGGTTAAAGCCCAGCTCTGCTGCTTTTACCTGTTCAACTAAGGAGATGTTACCTGACCTGACAGCACCTTCACTGTGAAACAGGCAATCTGAGGCGGCGGGAGAGGCGTAGGCTTTGGAGTCAGACGGACTGAGGCTCATAGCCTAGCTCTGTGATCTGGGGCAAGTCCCTTAGCCTAAGGCCTAGCTTTCTCATCTAGGAAACAGAACCGTTAATGATATATGCCTCATGGGTTGTTATGAGGATCCAGAGCAGGGAGTAGCAGTAGTGATGATGATGACCACTGACAATGAGGACACCACCACCCACTCTCATGAAGTTGCTGTGAGGATCTAAAGAAATAATTAATGTACCTACAAGGGCTTTTAAAACCGTTAAGGGCTATCCAAACATATGGGATTATTAAATTAGGGAGCAATTTAGTGCAGGGAATAGGGATGGTTCATGATGTCATAAATCCCTTTAAAAACTTAACCATTTTGTGAAGCAAGCCTAGTTCTAGATATTTTGCACAACATACCTCTTGTGAAGGAACAGATGCTCACCTTCACATCCATGGAACCCAGGCAGTCTATGAGGAGAGACACAAAAGGATCCAACATTTCCAGAACATGTTCACTTGAAGACTTGATCTTAGAAGCCTTCAGACTTAGATGCAGAAGCTAAAAGATTTAAAAAGATATTTCACATCAGTTGTTCATAAGACCAAATACGTTAGGTAAAGGTGAAATGATTTTAAGGGAGAAACATGAAATGTTAAGATGCTTCTATTTGAAGTGACAAAAATTTTGAAGAAATGAGAAACTGCCTGGGAGAGTCTCAGAAAGTAAAGAAGGTGGGAGCTGACTGTGCGGCTGAGATGCTAAGTTCATTTCCCAAATGGTTACTCAGCAACTACCTTAATTCTAAGCACTGGCTCAACATGCAGGACATAGCAGGGATCCAGACTGACACGGTCCCTGCCCTGACGGATCTTGGCCAGGAAGACAGACTCAAGGAAACAGTTAACTATAAATGCAGGGTGTTTTGAGAGTCCTGTAGGGATCTGAGCAGATGGAGGAGTAGGTGGTGAGGTTCTGGGGCAGGAAGAGTGTGCTGACTTTACAGAAGAATGAAGCCAGTGTGGCTGGAACGTGTGCTGGAGCAGTACAATATGGGGCTGGGCCCTTGCAGCCCAATGAAGGACTGGGCTCTCTCCTAGGAAAAACGGGAGCCAATGAAGGGTTTTAAAATGAAATCAAATGATCAGATTTGTGTTTTTAAAAGCTTACCATCTTTAAAAAAAATCCAAAGTAATTCAAAGGTGCTCAAGGGCAAAGCAGCAGTGAAGGCACAATAAATATTAGGTCAGAATCATGAATTCTGAGACAGTTATATCATCAAATAAGTACTAGAAGAGATGAATAGTCACTGGACTAATGCACTTTGAAAAAAAAATCCATCAATTTATTTACAGTAAGGCACTTACAGTGGAAATGAGCAATAGTGGAAATTCAGCTGAAGATTAAAAGACACAGACTCAATGTGGGCAGCAAGTGTCACTTTAAGGCTAATTCTTACCCGAAGCCCAGACTCAATAAATATGTGCATATTGGTTTTCCTGCTCACAACAGCTTTTTGCCCGCCTCGAACTGGAGTTGGGGGCAGCAGAAGACAGCTCTGTGGTGGCAGACGGGGATCCGGTGCAGGGGCTACTGGATTCCTGTCAATCACAACAGAATGAAAAATGGGCAGAACAATGTATGCTGCATTTCCAGAAATTACTGTGGCCCTCTCTGGGGATGGGAGTCCAGCACTAAATAACGTGCTGTGTGTTGTGGGTGACTTCCTGCCTGAATCACAAGACACAGAGAGATTATCAGGTTGTTGATCAAGGATACTAGGACAACCCTAGAAACAGAAGCAGGCTTGACAAACACACACACATTTAAATGAAGATGAACAGCAAGCGGATATGCTCCCTTTCTTGGATTTCTGAAAATAAATGCCCAGGAGTCTCTTTCAGAACACAGAAGCAAAATCTAAAGGAAGTTTACTAGTAAGGTATTTTAAAATCTTTTAAGGTCTAAATCTCTGTTTGATCAGAACAAGTGACATATATTTAAAATCTATCCTAACTTTGATTCAGTAAATATCTAAAACAAAAACAGTGTCAGAGAAACGTCAAGATAATTGGCTGCTGTCATAGCTACCTCACTCTTAGGAAAACACTCTCATGTTGAGACATATCACTTGGAAGGACTTCAGCCCAAATGCCACAAAGTAGTACCCTCTTATAATTCAGATAAATATAAGTTTTTTTTACTAAAGCAAATTATTAAATGATTAATACTTAAGGGTAATTGAGAAATGAACGGCTTATTAGAAGCAAGCACATAAAGGATAATGTTTTTTCGAACTTACTTTTCTTTCTCTGTTAACAGGGGGAGATTCTCACTGACCAAACCATAACTGAGCAATAGAATGGACTCTGCTGTCATTTCCTGGTTTACAATTAATCCTGCTATGATTCGGCGTAAGGTTTCATGAACTTTCCGGGCCAGTTTTAAACTCGTGGTATTTTGTAAGATCTAAAGGCAAACACAAATGCATGCTGGGGTAACACAGAACTGCATTTTGAGTTGTTGTAATCGTAGTTTTCTTTTATATATTTGTTTTTCAATATGCTTTTTTTCCTAATTAAAAAACAGACACAGTCTTAATAAAATTTCAAACATAACATATGAAGTAAAATTTACCTATAACCTCAACCCCAGAGATAACCACTGTCAGCAATGTGTGTGCCTCTGGATCTCTTGCACTCCCCCCATGCGCTCTTTGTTGGTGAGGCCTCAGGGCACGTCGCTGGAGATAGGATGTGACACTTGGAAGATATCAACTCTCCAAGTGCATTAAAGGGGGTGGTTTTTAGGCAATCATACACATACACACACACACACACACACATAATATCAACAAAATGCAGTGTCACTACTCAGAGGAAACCATGCTAATGAAGTGGTGTGATGATTAAGCCTCAGGGTTTGGTATTAGTTACTGCATCAAATCAGAGGAACTTAATGGGAACCCAAGGACCATCAAGTCCAGCAAAACCTTCAGCACTTCATAGCTCTTCCCTTCCATAGGACATGGTATTAATAACTTTCATTAACTTAGAGGGACTTATTGACATACATGAAAAATATATGTGCTCTGTTGACTCTCTCTCCTCAGAGCATATCTACCATTCTTCCATCAGGCTCGGAGAAGACTAAATGCATTCTAGGAACAATTATTGAGTTAATCTAGCACCAAAACATTTGGGATTATAGTTATTTCATGTCATTAGATAGTGTTTTTCACTCTAGTTTTAGTACATAAAACTGTAATAAAATGAATTGATATTGTTCATGGAATGTTCACCCCTGCAACAGGCACAGAGAACATTTGGAAGGTAGTAAATTACAGTCCCTGCCCAATAGAAGGCAGAATGAAACAGTGGAAAATGTGAGCCTTGGATCAGAAAGATCTGGAACTAAATCCAGACTTTCCCCCTAAACCATGTTCCTTTCTACCTTTCTGAGCCTGAATTTTCTTCTCCGTTTAAGATGGAAGTACCATCTTGTTGGTACATAGATGAGAAGAGAGAATTTAGTACAATGCTTAGAACGTGCAGCAGTCTGACTCTAAAGGCTGTGTTCTTAGCAGCTGTAACTGGACCCAGCTGTTAAATTCCCCTGCACTTAATTCTTATTGCCTTTCCTTCTACAACTCATGGTTTACATCAGGGACCCTGATTCTAGGATTAGAATGCCCAACTCAGGGCTGCCAGCTAGTGGCCATATGGTACTGGCGTCCTTAGCACCAAAGGAAATTGTGACGATCAACTGCCGTGTTATGGTCTGCCCTGCAAGGTTCTTTTCAAGAACTTACAATGTTGTAACCTGGGGATCTGCTTATGGCATTCAAGTCCTTACCTCTTTTAACGGAAGGATAAGTTTTGTAACCTGATTTTTTCCTACAAACTTGCCCAGGATTTCATAAGAATCATAACTCTTGCTTCTTCGTGCCTCCATGACTTTGGAGAGGATCGGCTTTACTTCCTTCTCTTCGGCAATGGCACCAAACAACTCATGGTTAAAAACCTTTGAAAGAAAAAGGCCAAATGGCAATTATGTGCACTCAGCAAGCTATAAGCAGTCTTTGAAAAGAGCACTGGTATGTCCAAATGAAGGAAAGCAAGTTGGATTGGACTGAAATTAGATGGTTGGACTTTCTATTAGATTTCACTTCTTTCAATGTAGTTAAGGTACTAATTACCAAAAAACAAACAAATACAGAAACACAAAGTTTTATAATAATGGCAAATAAAAGAATACTGTATAAATTTACACATACAATTGTATAATATACAGATAGGTACTTCTTCTTTGATATTACTAAAGAGTAGCTTAGTTTCTCTCTAAGAAATTCTCATATTTGCAACTTAATTGTTAAAATTAATGTATTTGGGGCTGGCCCTGTGGCTCAGTGGTTAGGTTCACGCACTCTGCTTTGGCGGCCCGGGGTTTCGCCAGTTTGGATCCTGGGCGTGGACATGGCACCGCTCACTGTGCCATGCTGAGGTGGCGTCCCACATGCCACAACCAGAAGGACCCACAACTAAAAATACACAACTATGTACTGGGGGAATTTGGGGAGAAAAAGCAAACAAAAAATTAATGTATTTAATTCACAATGTTAGTGTCTGCATTTTTCAGGAATGAACAAAAGGGTGTATGGCAAAATTAGACTCTTCCTAATTTTACCCACCCAAATTATCACATTATCCAATTTTAACAGATGATTGCTATTAATTTTTCATCATTATTAAATAAATCTCTTACATATTTTTATATACCTCTTATATACTTTTATATAAACTCTAGACATAATCTCTGATTATTCCTTTAAAATAATTCCTAATTCCTTGGAAGTGGTTGAAAGTTGTGCTCATTTCAAAAGCCCCTGATTCCAGAAAGGTATACCAACTTATTACATACTAGCAATGGCAGAGCACCCATCTCACTTCACTGAGTCAGCTTTTTAAACCTCTGCTAATCTAAGAGATGAGACTTTGCTTCATTGTTTTCACTTTCATAAGCTATCATTATTTCTTATTTTGTGAACTGATTTTTTGTGTCCTTTGCCCATTTAAAAAAAATCAGAATTCTTTTCTCTAAATCTTACCTCGATCATTATATCTAAACAGGAGTCCAAATCCCCGACTTTTAGCTTGTTGGTGAGGCCTTGCAGCAACATGTAAACAGTGAAAGTCAGCACATGGACCTAAAATGAAATGCATAATAAAAATATGAGTGGTTAAGAATACCACACTAGAAAAAAACAGATCTTATAAGTACTGCAAAGAGAGCACTCAGAGTGTGTATCTGTCATTACTGAAGGGGGAACCTTTGACAAATGACACATACTTATATCACTATCCAAAATCCTCTAACCAAAGTGTCACTCAGAGCAAAAGATGCTCAGAAACACACGACCGGGATTAGGATCTATTATTGTGACTAAACCAGGCCGGTCATTTGTAAAGAAAGGACAAGAGTCTTGAACTTTAAAGACCTAGCTGTGAATTAAGGAGCTTGACAATACTGAATATAATCAAAGTTTACAACGGAAACAAATAAGTTTTTGCCCTCAATAATGATGACACCTACCACTCCTAAGAACTTAACATGGGCTGGGTCCTATGTTAACACCTCACATGTATTGAATCATTTAATCCTCACCTACTCTATGGTGTAGGTACTACATTATCAGTGTTTTTCAGATGAGGAAGCTGAGGCACAGAGAGGTCAAGTAACTTGCTCAAGGCTACATGGGTAAGATGTGGTGGAGGCAAGATTGGAAACCAGACGGGCTGGTGCCAGAGCCCCAGCTCTGTGTCACTATGCTACGCAGCCTCTGAAGCTTTGTGCATTCTATATACTGGTTCCAGTGCTGCCAAATTATCAAGGCAAACACCAAATGATGATGAGAGGCTAAGGAAACACCTTTGGTTGTCACTGCATAGACTGATTTTGAAGGCAGAGTGTCATCCATGTCCGCCTGTGATCTTTCAGTACTTTGGAGAGGATCTGCCTTTATATATTTAAAACGTTTGCTGAGGGCTTTATCTAATTGAAAGAAATTCTTTTGGGGGATGAAGAATGACAGTTGAAGAGTACAATTTTGGCTGTATTTACATAATTAAAACTAAAACCCAAACCAGTTGTTCCCTTATCCCTATTTTAATAAATAATGGGACAGACTTAAAGAACAGCTGATTAGAGAAAAAAGGGCTACTTATTTTAATACCTCAAGTGCTCCATTAAAATGTGAATAAATCCTCAAAGACAGAGCGGTATTGTATCCATCCTGGTATGCTCAGTGCCCAACACAGCACCTCATACAAAGTGGTCACGAGATAAATGCTGGTTGAAAGAACAGAATACAAATGGACACCAGCAAGGGTTCTGCTTCCAGGTAAGGTGGATAAAGCACACTCTATCCTTCTCTCCCACGGAATGCAGCTATAAAACTGGACAGGATGCCTGGAGCAGCTTTTGGGGAAGGATACCAGAATGCACATACCACCAAACTTCTAGTGAGGTCAGCACTATTTTCTGTTTGGCATCCCCCAGTGAACACGCGAGTGGGTGTCAGGATGCACAGAGCTCTGGCGAAGCCCCGGGCTTGAAGAGTAGAAGAGGGAACTCATAATGCTCCAAGAGAGGGAGGAAATTCCTTGTTTTTTTTCCTCTTTCTTTTTTCCATTCTCCCACACCCCATCCCTCCAACGACCCTGTGGTGGTGGTGGTGGCAGTGGCCTAGAAATGGGGACTGCAGGAGCCACAACTCCGTGGGAGGGGAACCTTCCTCTCCTTCAGTGGAACTGCAGCTCTGAGAGGGTGGCCAACCCTAGTTGCTCTTCTCCTTCTCTGTCTTGCCACCTCTTGGCCTCTGACGTGGGCACAGTTGCAGGAAGTGCATGGGAAAGTGGGAGAAATAAAGCACCAGCTATCTAACTGGAGGACTGAAACAAACGGAAAAATAAAGTGTTAACGAAGAAACAGAAGACGCAAAGAAGAACTAACTGGAAATTTTGAACTGAAAAGCCCAATAACTGAAATAAGAAACTCAGTGGATGGGCCCAATAGCAGGATCGAGATGAAAGAGGAAGAAGTAGGTGAGCTTGAAGATAGATCAACAGATATTATTCAATCTAAACAACGGAGAGGAAGAAGATTGAAAAAAATATGAACAGACAGAGCCTCAGGGACTGGTGGGACAAAAATGAAAAAGTCTAACACTTGCTCCACAAGATTACTCAAGGAAGTTCTTTAGACCAAACGGAAATGATACCAGACAGAAACGTAGAAATTCAGAAATGAAGGAAGGACAGAAGAAATGATAAATATCCGGGCAAAATAATAGACTACTCTTCTGCTCTTGAATTCTTCAAAATACTTCTGATGATTAAAAGCAAAAACTCTTAACACTGCCTGATGAAGTCTTCAACATACGGAGATGGAATACACAAAGAACTATAAAAAAAAGGAGAAAAGCAAAGGGACCAACGTGACTATAAGGTATCTATGTTCCACTTGAGGTGGTAAAATATTGTTCTCAGCAGATTATTAGAAGCAAGTATGTACACAGGAATCCCTAGAGCAACTACTGAAAACTACACACAGGGAGGGAGTCAAAATAAATACTGGTATTTTTAGTGTGTCAGACTTACAGCCTACAGAATAGGGAAAAATTAGGACACAGAAGGTAAAGCTAACTTCCAGGAGCCTAGGCTGGGGACTTGAAAAGGACAAACTGTTTCTCAAACTTCAGATCACCAGGGATCTTATTAAAATGCAGGTTCTGTAGGTCAGGTGGAGGGTCCTAAATTCCACATCTCTAATAAGCTCCTGGGTGCTGCGGATGCCCCTTCTCCAGGCCCCACACTGGGAGGAGCGAGGAGTTACACAGCTGTGCAACTCAAGAGCCTTGTATTCCATCTGGTGATCTTACTATTTTTATGACTTATGTCATATGTTCCAACTTTTAAACATATGTCTATATTCTTTATTGTTCACATTTGTGGCAATACATTCGATATACATTCAACAAGAATTTTATTAAGAATTCAGAGGATACAAAACTTGCTATCAAGTGATCTGAGAGAAAAAGACAGGTTATGCAACCCAGGCCTGTAAGGATCTTTAAAAAAAAAAAATCAAATATAGGGGCTTTCTGAAAAACAGATTTTTAAAATACTGATTAGAAACTTTTGAATATTCTTGCTTGCTATCTCAGCGGATCAACATTACTGAAGACAGACCCAACGTACCATGAATTGTTCAAATTAAAAATATTTGAATTCCAACCCAACCTGAATATAAAGCAAAAGATGCAATTTACCTGATATCCACGGACAAGAGTAGTCTGTAATTCTTTTAAAATATATTGTAAGTAGTGCACACCCAAATCTTCTATTATTTTTGCAAGAGTGCTACGTGCAATGTCTCTGACTTCCTGTGCTCTGTTCTTGAGGAGGGCACATACTTTCAGCAAAATACTAGAAAATGAGAAATTGAAAAATGACTAACCAAATAAACTGAAGCAAAGAAAAATATAAACATTCTTTTGTCTCTTAATTGCTTGTAACCCAAATTTCCCAATTAGGATTCTAAACCACAGCAAATTTTTTTTTTACTTTTTATTAAGATTATGATAGTTTACAACTTTGTGAAATTTCAGTTGTACATTATTGTCAGTCATGTTGTAGGTGCACCACTTCACCCTTTGTGCCCAACTCCCCCACCCCCCCTTTCCCCTGGTAACCACCAATCAGTTCTCTTTGTCTACATGTTTAACTTCCACCTATAAGTGGAGTCATACAGAGTTTGTCTTTCTCTAGCTGGCTTATTTCACTTAACATAATACCCTCAAGGTCCATCCATGTTGTTGTGAATGGGACTATTTTATCCTTTTTTATGGCTGAGTAGTATTCCATTGTGTGTGTGTGTGTGTGTGTGTGTGTGTGTGTGTGTGTATATACACACACTATATATATATATACCATATCTTCTTTATCCAATCATCGGTTGATGGGCACTTAGGTTGCTTCCATGTCTTAGCTATTGTAAATAATGCTGCAATGAACACAGGGGTGCATGGGACTTTTGGAATTGCTGATTTCAAGTTCTTTGGATAGATACCCAGCAGTGGGATGGCTGGGTCATATGGTATTTCTATTTTTAATTTTTTGAGAAATCTCCATACTGTTTTCCATAGTGGCTGCACCAGTTTGTATTCCCACCAACAGTGTACAAGGGTTCCTTTTTCTCCACAACCTCTCCAACATTTGCCACTTTTTGTTTTGGTTATTTTGCCATTCTAACAGGTGTAAGGTGATATCTTAATGTAGTTTTGATTTGCATTTCCCTGATGATTAGTGATGATGAGCATCTTTTCATGTGTCTATTGGCCATCTGTTCATCATCTTTGAAGAAATGGCTATTCATGTCCCCTGCCCATTTTTTGATTGGGTTGTTTGATTTTTTGTTGTTGAGTTGTGTGAGTTCTTTACATATTATGGAGATTAACCCTTTGTCGGATAAATAACTTTTAGGTATTTTTTCCCAATTAGTGGGTTGTTTTTTTGTTTCAATCCTGTTTTCCCTTGCCTTGAAGAAGCTCTTTAGGCTGATGACGTACTATTTGTTGATTCTTTCTACTGTTTCCCTTGTCTGAGAAGACATGGTGTCTGAAAAGATCCTTTTAATACTGATATCAAAGAGTGTATTGCCTATATTTTCTTCTAGAAGCTTTATGGTTTCAGGTCTAATCCTTAAGTCTTTGATCCATTTTGAGTTTATTTTTGTGAATGGTGAAAAAGAATGGTCAATTTTCATTCTTTTACATGTGGCTGTCCAGTTTTCCAAGCACCATTTGTTGAAGAGACTTTCTTTTCTCCATTGTAGGCCCTCAGCTCCTTTGTCGAGGATTAGCTGTCGAAAGATGTGTGGTTTTATTTCTGGGCTTTCAATTCTGTTCCGTTGATCTGTGCACCTGTTTTTGTACCAGTACCATGCTGTTTTGATTACTGTAGCTTTGTAGTATGTTTTGAAGTCAGGGATTGTGATGCTTCCAGCTGTGTTATTTTTTCTCAGGATTATTTTAGCAATTCAGGGTCTTTTGTTGCCCCATATGAATTTTAGGATTCTTTGTTTTATTTCTGTAAAGAATGTCATTGTGATTCTGAACCACAGCAAATTTTGACAGTACTTCTACTCTTTCTGACAAGAGATTCAAAAGTCAGGAAGAAAGAACCAATTTGAGATTCACTGAACTTTCTAATTTGTCACACAACATACCTTGGCAGATTAGCTTCCAGAACTTCTTGTGGAAGGGACTGCATTAGTTTAACCATCGCGAAAGCTAAAGGAACTCGAACCACTTCCTCATCATTCACAACTTTGGATTTTATGAGCTTGTGCTCTTCTTCCCTCTTAGTCTGTAAGAAAAATTTAGGTTGTACTAAAACAAAAATAAATGGATCAGGGACCTACCAACACTGCAACCTTACATTTGAAAGATAAACTATTTTAACATATCTTATGTCCATTTCTAAGTTTAGTCTTCAAAAAAAAACTAAATTATGCAATTTGAGAATAACCCTCTAAAATTATAAAAATAACATGAATAAGAATGTTTTCAAAGGAGCAACCAGAGAAAAAATAAAGCCAGGTTTTCACTGATGTGGATTATGACTGCTTGAGATATACAAAAATCACATAAAATTTGTGTCAACAGGGACTTCCAAGTGTTTGAGTGACTTGTTGGTACATAAGAAATACAGTGCCTCAAAAAGGTTTATTTACAAATATACAAAATGACCAAGTCAATATTTACATCAGGGCTTGGCAAACTTTTTCTGTAAAGGGCCAGATAGTAAGTAAGTATTTTTGGCTCCATGGCCTCTGTTGAAGCTCCTCAACTTTGCTGTTATAATGTAAAAGCACAATTTGATAATGTGAATGAATCAGCGTAACTGCTCCAATAAAACTTTATTTACAAAAATAGGCTGCAGGCTAAATTTAGCCCATGGGCCCCAATTTGCTGACTTACGTTTTATACTAAATATTAGGGAAGGCTCTGGCTTCCTGAGAATGAACTCCTAAACGTTACCCCTCCTAACAAAGGGAAAGATGTATTTTTGACTAGTAGAGAAGTAGCCAAGAAGTAGAAAAGGGAAACATACTCTATTTTTTAATAACCTTTTTTGGGAAATGAGAGTCATCTTAATGTCTACTTTGGAGATAGAAAAGTATACTATATCTACCATATCAAAATCACAATGAAGAAGGAACATTACTGCCCAAGCTGTAGCAGGAGAGAACTTGAAGACAAGATAAGAGAAGGGAGGTGAACTGTGAAATGCTGAGATAAAAGGAAACCCAGAAGCTGAAGTTAACTGATAACAGTTAGGAGCCTCAGTCTGACCTGGCCCCACAAAAACACGCATTCACAAAGTCCTGCTGGGCCCCAGATACAATGATTACCGTAGATGCCAGGCATTTATGTAGCCTGGGTAGGATGTCCCCAGTTATGGTGCCTTGGATATTTTTAATTGTTTTCTCCAATTCTTCCTTATTCCGAGGAAGGAAGGAGATGGACTTCGCGATACACTCGGCTTCCTTAACTGATGTCCCTTCACAATCCGCTGGATCAGGGTTTCCCAGTTCTTCATCGTTGTCTGACAAACTCTTACATCTATTTTCCTTCTCTTCCTCATCCACATGCTCTACTTCCATGGCTTCCTGCTCTGGCAACTCAATCACTTCTATTGTGTCTGTGTTTAGCAAACAACAAAAGTCACCTTAAATCAAATAAGCAAACAACACAGTTGTGTTAAGTACTCTTTTCTTCCAACATCCAATAAAAAATATCTAATCACCAACTATGGGCAGGCAAGATAAGTGCTAAAGAAACAGCAGTAAAGAAAGGGTAATGATCTTTTGCTTTCTCACGATTTAGAGTCTAATGAGGGATAGAGATAGGTAAACTGGCAATTTTAAGAGTGCAGAATAGCAAGGACAGGGTACTTTGGGAACACTGGGAGGCAGGAGGGTCTTAATCAAAAAGAAAACTTCCAAAGTACTGTGGTTAGAGGTTTCCAAAAGCAAAAACCTATATTCGTGAGCATGAAAACCATAATGGCAGTCAACAGTTCTCATGCAGAAATGTCCATTATTATAGAATTCAGCTTATTAAAGAAAATCAGGCAGTACAGTATTAGGCAAGTCCAGACTCAGCTCTGCTAACAAGCCATGTGACCACAGTCAAGTAACTTAAGCCTAGTGGGCTTTGGCTTCTTCACCAGCAAAATGGAGAAGGCACCTACTTTGCAAGGCTATTGTGAGGATTAAATGAGACAGTCTATAATGCACGTAAAATATCTGTTTGACACTTCGTTGACTTTCAAAAAATGGTAGCTATTAGGGTTTATTTCGTTTATGGGCTGTGTAGCTTTGGGAAAGTTACTTTATTCACATCTCTGAATCTCAATTTCTCACAAAAATATGGAGTAACTAATAAGTAAGGTTCTTAAGAGGACAAATGAGGGGCTGGCCCCGTGGCCGAGTGGTTAAGTCCGTGCGCTCCACTGCAGGCGGCCCAGTGTTTCGTTGGTTCGAATCCTGGGCGCGGACATGACACTGCTCATCAGACCACGCTGAGGCAGCGTCCCACATGCCACAACTAGAAGAACCCACAACGAAGAATACACAACTATGTACCGGGGGGATTTGGGGAGAAAAAGGAAAAAATAAAATCTTTAAAAAAAAAAAAAAAAAAGAAAGCACATAAGGTCATTTAAAAAAAAAAAAAGAGGACAAATGAGATACTGTCTACAAAAGGCCAGCTCACAGTAGGCGATCAATAAATGTTTCAAACTTCATTCATATCTAAGAAGAAAAGAGACAGTTAAGCAAATTAGGCATTTTAATTTTTTAATGTTTCTGTTTATGTAAAATTGCAAAATGTAGATTCAACTGACTGAAGATAAACTGTTAAGGGGCTTTAGTACATTAATTGTTTAAAATACAAATGGTTCCTACAAATTCTAACCAGTCTTTTCTATTCATTAAGTGTGGCTGGAGAGTGATTTTACCATAAATTGAAGAATTAGAAAATTTCAAGTAGGAAGGAACATTGGAATAGTGCAAACTGAGGGCCAGAATATTTCAATGTCTTTAGTCAAAACAATCAGGATAAATACTTTGACCCATTTAAGTGTTCACTCTTTTCCTTATTTTTCTGTGCTGGCCAGAACCTCTAGTTCGATGTTTAATCTAAGTAGTAGTAGACTTATTCTGGTTTTAAAGCAAAGGCTTTTAATTCTTTACCATTTGAGTATGATGTTGTTTTAGGTTTTTCTTTTCTTTTTTTTTTAATGAGGTAACACTGGTTTATAACATATAAATTTCAGATGTACATCATTATATTTTGACTTCTGTATAGACTACATCATGTTCATATCTTTTAACAGGTTAAAGAAATTTCTCTCTATTCCTTGTTTTATAATTGTTTTTATCATGAATGGATATTGAATTTAATCAACTGTTTACCGTGTGTCTATTTGCATGTTTTTCATATGCTAATATGTTAAATTCCATTAACCATTTATACCAACTTCATGAGTTACTGGGGGCTTCCTCTTTTTCTATCATCTGACATAGCTGGTATAAGGTTGAAATTATCCATTCCTTGAATGTTTATAGAACTTGCCTATAAAACAGTCTGCGCCTGGCATTGTCATCAGGGGAAAATTTTAAACTTCATTTTCTTTAATGATTAGAGATCCATTTAGATTTTCTATTTCTTTGAAAATCAGTTTTGGTATTTTATTTTTCCAAGAATTTGTACATTTCACCCCAGTATTCAAATTTACAAGTACAAAGGTCATATTATTTTTTTTTTAAAGATTTTTTTTTTTTCATTTTTTTCCTTTTTCTCCCCAAAGCCCCCCGGTACATAGTTGTATATTCTTCATTGTGGGTTCTTCTAGTTGTGGCATGTGGGACGCTGCCTCAGCGTGGTTTGATGAGCAGTGCCATGTCCACGCCCAGGATTCGAACCAACGAAACACTGGGCTGCCTGCAGCGGAGAGCGCGAACTTAACCACTCGGCCACGGGGCCAGCCCCCCAAAGGTCATATTATTTTATCTTTTTCACTTAATTGTGACCTTTCAATATTTGTAATTTTGTTTATTATGCCTTCTGTTTTCATTGATGAATCTTGTCAGAGGTTTGCCAAGTTCTAATAATTTCAAATATCTACTTTTAGCTTTGATGATTCTTTCTATTGTGTATACTTTAAATTTCATTAATTGTTGCTCTAATTTGTAATTCATTTCTCATACTTTCCTTACGTAATGCTCTTTCCACACATGAAGGTGATAAAATTGGATTTCTATGTGAATAATTTTCATCTATACAATTTAGACTGGTCTTTTCTATTGCTAAATAAGTTTCTATAGGAACACTGAAACCATTCATTTTAACTGCCTCTTTTTTTTTGGAGGAAGATTAGCCCTCAGCTAACTACTGCCAGCCCTCCTCTTTTTGCTGAGGAAGCCTGGCTCTGAGCTAACATCCGTGCCCATCTTCCTCTAGTTTATACGTGGGATGCCTACCACAGCATGGCTGCCAAGCAGTGCCATGTCCGCACCCGGGATCCGAACCAGCGAACCCCGGGCCGCCGAGAAGTGGAACGTGCGAACTTAACCGCTGCGCCACCTGGCCGGCCCCCATTTTAACTGTCTCTTGACTCATCCATTGGTCACTACTCTAAGAGCAGAAAGAGGGAATAAGTTGAATTTTTCCTTCTTTAATTCATGACTATAAATTATCCAAGAATGAGATGGAAATTTAGTTTAAGAAAGTTTTAAAAACTTACTTTCTTCATTCTGAATTTTTCTCATTTGTTCTTCAAGAGTTTTGTGGTCAAAGTGGAATGCTTCTAACACTATGACGAGCAAACTATTAAAAAAAAAGTACACAGAAATGTTCATTTGATTAATAATATCATTTGACTATTAAAATAGGAGAGCAAATTTAAAGACTTATAAACATTAAAATTATTTTTACCAGTTTTAAGTATTTTTGACTTTAACAAATATTAGCATAATCTCATTAACACAAGGTAAAAGTAAATTGAGATTACAGAAAGACTATTTCAGGAAATAATCCAAAATTTACATTTAAAAAAAACAAAAAATAAGAAGCTTGACCATACCTGACACCTAGCTTTTGATTGATCTGTCCTGTCTGTAAGACATGAATGAAATGTTTCAAGTAATATATATATGCTGACCAAGAGAGATGTTTACAAATAGCTCCAATAACCTCTGTGGCAGCAACAGTTATATTTTCATGCTGTAAAACAAATCAAGAGCATTAATATAAAACAAATATTTGCTAATAAAATACAGAGCTAACTCAGTACATTAAAAAACTTGGATAGTAGATGATCAGCAATTATTGAAAGGAAAGAAGGCCCAAACTATACTTTATTTTTTCCCCTGGCTCTAGGCAAACTTGTTGGCAATTAAAGGAAAGACATCTTCCTTTAATTAAAGGATATTAACACATTTTGGACTGTTTTCTACTCAAACATCCCTGAGGGGTTCAAACCTATAGACTGTGAATGAAATAAATTCAATGTGTAAAAGCCGATAAACACCAAAGTTAGCTACAGATTGCACTGCTCAGCATTCAGAGTACACTGTCATGGAGACTTCTCTTTCAGACCATGATGGAGAATTGGGAGGGATTGGATTTACCCTCTAACCTTAAACTAGAAACATAGACAAAAATATATGAAACAACAGTTTTTGATTTTGGACATCAAATAGTACAGGACAGTGCTCCGCGAGAGAGGAAACAAATGACATGTGCCTTATAACTACCCCAGTTCACTATGTGGAGAGAAATGTCAGGTCATCGCACAGGAGGGGAATCCCAAAAAGGGCCCTGTGGTGTCCCTGAGTTAAGGAGGCAGAGCTGTAGCTATGGTGGAGAGAGTCCACAGGGCAGAGTACCAGAGAAAAGAGAGCACCTCAGAGAGGAAAGCTGCCTGAGAAAGAACCCCTTGAGTCTTCAGCTGTGTCCTGATCAGTATACGTGAGTAAGAAAAAGATGGGAAAAGAACCACCAAAAAGCAACAGGTGAAATAATCATCAAAGATGACACAGGGATAAGAAGAGTTCATGTTCCTATCAGCCAGAGTGAAAAACCTCATATCACATGAGGCATTCGGTGTTCAGGTACTCAGAAAGATAGAGGCTCAGTTGTAGGGCCAAATTAGCTCTAGACTAAAGGCTGTTCCTGCCTAACAAAGCTTAAAAGCAAGCCTCAAAAGGACCAGACTACTCACAAGTAAACTAACCGCACTCCAGAACAATTCTCAGGAATACTTAAATACAAATATATTTAGCACCCAACAAGGTAAAAAATCACAATGTCTGGCATCTAGTAAATAATTACCAGGCATACAAAGAAGCAGAAAAATATCTCTAAGGAGAAGAAAAATCAACCAGCAGAAACAGATCCAGAAATGACATGGACGATAGATTTAGTAGACAAAGACACCGAGACAATTGATATAACTATATTCTATATGATCAAGAAGGGAGAGGAAAGAATGTGCATGTTAAGGAGACATGTAAGACACAAAAAAGGCCCAAACTGAACTTCCAGAGATAGAAAAGACAATGCTGAGAGGGAACATACACTTGATGAGATTAACAGCAGATCAGAAATTGCAGAAGAAAAGATTAAGTGAACTTGAAGACATAACAGAAAAATAAAACAAAATGAAACTCAGAAAAAAATAACTCGTAAAAAAAAAAAAAAAGAAAAGAAAAAGGGCTTCAGTGAGTTATGGGACAACTTTGAGAGGCCTAATATACACTTGAGTCTCCAAAGGCAAGAAGGGGACCCAAAAATATCTTTGAAGAAATAATGGCCAAAAGTCTCCACATTTGACGAACATTACCAATCTACAGATCCAAGAACCAGAATGAACTCCACGCACAAGAAACATGAAGGAAACTACATTAAGGCACTTCATAATCAAATGGCTTAAAACCAGTGATATAAAAGGAAATGGTTTTCTTTCCATCTGTAAAATTTTTAAGGTAGGCAGAAAAACAAAGAAAGACATATTACACTCAGAGGAACAAATGTAAATAAGAATGATAATGATTTCTTATTGGAAATTATATAAGCCAAAAGACAGTAGAGCAATATTTTAAAGTACTAAAAGAAAAAAGCCTGTTAAACTAGAATTCTATACTCAAAGACAGTATCTTTCAAAAACAAAGATGAGAAAAGACAAACAGAAGCTGAAAGAATTCATCACCAGTAGACCTGCACTATAAAAAATTTAAAGGAAGTCTTCCTGTCAGGAGGAAAATGACATAGGATGAATATCTGGATCTACACAAAGAATGAAGAGCCCTGGAAATTATAATATGTAAGCAAATATAAAAGATCTTTCCCTTATTTTTAAAGATCTCTTTAAAAGACAATTGATAGTTTAGAGCAAAAATAACAACAATGTATTGTGTGGTTTAAAACTAATGCAGAGGCAAAACCTTTGGAAAAGAATAGCACAATGATAACTAACAAGCCAACAGACATAAAATAAAATCATTAAAAAATATCCAATTAATCCAATAGAAGAAAGAGAAAAAAATGAGACAAATAGAAAATAAATAACAAGACTGCTTTAGACCCAACTATATTAATAATAATATTGAATGTAATGGTCTAAAACCAATGAAAAGGCAAAGACTGTCAGACTGGATAAAAAAGCAAGACCCAGCTATATGCTACCCACAAAAAAACCAATTTAAAGTCACAAATATGTTAAAAAAATAAAAGACTATCAAAAGATATACCATACAAACACCAACCAAAGTTAAGTATAATTTATTTTTTCCACCCATACCTCTTCCCCATTTTACTGCCATTAAATTCTGAGTTGGTAGTGCTTACAGGCTCTTTAAACTGGAATTCAGGGAGTATTCTTTTACTTATTTAGGTAATTATTTAAAATTTTTTGAATATCCTGAAACAACAGAGGAAACCTATCCTTGCACAAGACCATATAATCAACACAGTATAAATTCAACTCACAAATCTTGACATTACCTCAATTAGACTTGAATTTCTGGGTACCATCTTTCATTAGTCTATTTAATCAGTAAATATTTACCAAGTCCTTACCATGTGCCAGGCACTGTTCTAGGCACTGTATAGCATAATGGTGAAGACAGCCCCAAGTTCAAATACCAGTTCAGACTGCGTGTTTTTGAGAACGTTACATAACCTCACTTATTCTCAGTTTATTCTCCTGTAAAATAGTGATAACAGTCCCTGTCCCACAGGGTTGAGCTGTGGTGAGGATGAAGTAAGATTACTCAAAGTACTTAGAATAGTGCCTGTAACTGGTATGGTGCTAAAGAAAAGGCAGCTATGTATTTCATTTCTTATGAGCCATTTGGGAAAATGATGACTCTGCTGATTAGCAGAGTTTACCAGAATTAAGTCCTATGATACAAAAATAAAAGTATGCCATCTTGGTAATGTGATCATTTCTAAAAGGCGAAAATATTTGTGGTTGGCCTTTGTGAACTAATAATAGTGAAAATATGAATAACAGCCACCATTTATAAAGCATTTACTATGTGACAGGCACAATTCTAAGGGCTTTAGAAGTTTTCTAAGCCTCTAATTATGGTGACATCATCAACATGGATGCTATCAACCCCAGCTGCATTTTGCAAAAGTGTGTCATGGTATGGGTAGAGGTTTACTGGTTTTTAGATCTAATGCCCTACCTTGAGCATTTTCTCATCAAAAATTGGAGTCATGGCATAAGGCATGATGTAGTTCTGAAGAGATTTAGAAGATAGCATGATTTTGCCTTCCATTAGTTGTTTTGCCAGTTTCTTCAAGGCTCTTGCTCTCCTGTGGATCTATGAGTTATATAAAATATGAATTAGTTACAGAAGAATCTCTCCTACAACTAGCTCCACTTTAGTATCACGTTCCTTTTCTATGAAAAGATTAAAGGAGTGAAATACAGTCCATGTGTTACATGAGCAAACACCTGTGCCTTGATTTGCTTCTGGAGACATAATCCATAGCATTTGTTTAACAATAGATCCGAAAGCATTTAAACTTCCTAGCAAATGGCAGAGAAAAGTGACAGTATTATTGCGCTTTGGGATACCACAAAGGAAATCAGACTCCAGGAAATGATCATCTCTTATGCAAATTCGGCTCCTAGATCACGAAGATCAAGAAATGAGAAACTCAAAACTTCTTGGAAAATTAAAATATATCTTTTTAAATAAGACAGAACTGTTTGAAATGTTTGTTTATAGGTAAGAAAAAAATAGCAGAATTGTCTTCTACCTGAATGTGCTTCATATTCTCAAAGAAGTCCATTTCTGGATCGTGGCAATCAGTAAGCTGTACCAAGTCTTTAAATTCTGGTTGATCTGGAAAGGTCTGAATTAAACAGGAAAGCAGTGTGGTATAATCCTGTTGAATACTCTGCAAACACCAAGTTGAGAAAAAAATTTTGTTTTTATTTTAAAAAGAATGTGCTTCCTAGGTAATATGAAGAAACACAAAAAAAGACACTGAAATTTGTTTAAAAGCAAAACATTCCCCTGGGGACAGCCTTGGCCTGATGGTTAAGTTAGGTACGCTCTGCTTTTGTGGCCTGGGTTCACTTCACAGGTGCAGACCCATACCACTTGGCAGCAGCCATACTATGGCAATGACCTACATACAAAATAGAGAAAGACTGGCACAGATGTTAGCTCAGGCAAATCCTTCTCAAGCGAAAAGAGGAAGATTGGCAACAGACACCAGCTCAGGGAGAATCTTCCTCAGACAAAAAAAAAAGCAAAGCAGAACATTCCCACTGTAAAAACAAATAAGTTAAATAAAATCAGAAGTGACTGCTCTTCTTTCCACTCTGACTTGCCTGTTAAAAGTTTGGTGAATATTTACACAATCAAGCATTTTAATTAAATGTACTAAACCTTACTGTTTTTCTACACAGCAGATGTTAAGGAAAAACAAAAACAAAACCCAAAACCGCAGATAGCAGTACTTAAAAGAAAAAGTTACAACTGCAAATCCCCATACCTCTGTCTGGCTCTTCAATCCTTTCCTCAGTTTCTCCAGGAGCGAACGATGAATGACTTCTCTGTAATCTTTCTCTGTGACGTTCAAGGCAGCCAGCTTTTTGATGATACTCATCAAGCACATGCTGGCGTTATCACTCAAAGACATGTCTCCTAACTGCAAACAGGGAAAAAACCCAAATTATTCTGTGTAATAACTATAATATGGAATATTATTTCCCGATGAAAGAGTTTACAAAATGTACCACCGCTCTGTCTAAAAACCTCTAAGAAATGTCCCACGAGAACTTCCTAAGGAAGAAGCAAATGTAGGCTTGTGAGGAACGTAGCAAATGACTTGGAAAAATCACGCTTACTGAGAAGAGCCACTCAACTTCAGTAAATACTGTGAAATAGACTTTTCATTAGTTTTGCTTCTCAAAGCAAAGAGAATAAAAGGTTCCCCAAAGCCAGTTTTCAGTATTCAATACCAGGTGATCACTGAAAATGACAGAGTTGGCTGGTATAATTCTGGTCACTTGCACTATAGCTCCTGGTTTGAGGAATGTAGGTATTGAGTGCAGAGAAAGTATTCCCAACTCAGCCAACCAGGCAGAGACTCAGTTCCCTGCGTTACAATATGACGTGGTATATGAAGAAAGAGCCCCCAACAGGGAGATTACTTTTCCATATGTTACATAATCCTTAATGTCAGATGACTAACCATAAAATGCCACAGAGATTATTGATGCCACTACACGGTTAACTGTTAATCAAGGGTTTCATTTTCCCCATTTTTGGGTTTTAATTCAGTTCAGTAACATATTACTTAATACAGTCCAAACCCCTTTTATTTCCACTCTATCAATAAAAGAGAGCAAACTGTCAAATAATATAGTTACATAACTGAAAAACTGAGATATAATTGACGTACCATAAAATTCACCCTTTGAAAGTGTACAATTCAATGGTTTTGGTATATTCATAAGGGTGTGCGATCATCATGCTAAATTCAGAAGATTTTCATCACCCCCAAAAGAAAGCCTATGCCAATGAGAAGTCACTCCTCATTTGTCCCTCCCTCCGTAGCCCTTGGTAACCACTAATTTACTTTCTATCTCTATGGATTTCCCTTTCTAATACACAGCTTTTTGACTGTTCAGAGTACTTCCACATATATTATTTTATTCAAGATATTTGTCTTTCAAATCATGAGAATAAAATATGGTCTTTGCCAAACAAAATACTGTGCAACTAAAAGAAATTTTATACTAAAAACCCTTGTTCTCCTCAAAACACAAATTAAGAAATCAGGTCATAGAGCTGTATTATCAAAACAACAACAAAAAAATTCCTAAATTTTTGCTTATAAAAACCTACCTCCAGATTATAGAAACAATTATGCATAACTGGAATTAGGTAGTTAACATCCACGGTTTGCATCTCTTTAATGTAAGAGGTGATGGTCTGGAACGTCGAGAAGCGAACGTCAAAGTTGATATCATCAAGATGTCTTTGATCAAAGGCGTTAAGCTACAAGAAACGCCAATGAAACCACGTAAATGAGGGTATGCAAATCTTAAATAAACAAAAACGATAATATTTTTGAAGCAAAAGAGAAATAAGATTTTCCTTCTTACCTTGACAACATCAGTAATATACTTTAGTCCACTCTCAAAATCGGAAAGAGTCTAAAAGGAATGAAAACAGTATATTATTAGTGAATAAAGCCTTAACTTTCCTGCCCTCCTCCCTTCAACTCCCTGCCCGTAATCAAATTTATATAGAAACACCACACTGACACCAAGAAAGCTGCTAATATGCTTTACATGTCATAGTCGTCTTTTTACAAAAGGGGTGATTTGGGGTAAAAATGAGCATTACAGACCTGGAACACTGTACAAAGCAATTGTCTTGACAACTTGTTCTTAACAACAGAGAAGAGTTTTGCTAGAGGTCTGAGGAAGTTTGTAGGCTCTAGACAGTGTTTTAACAGGTTTTGTACTGTCACCAGAATATCAACCTCTGTATCCTTAAGAAAAATTAAGAGAAATCACATTTCAGTAATTTATAAAACTGATCAACTTGGCTTTAATATATTACAGTACATTAGACAAATAGTTATGATCAAGAAGTAGTGATTGGAAAAGTTATTTCCATAGTCTTTTAAAAGTTCTTAGCATTTTAACTTAACATAAAACCCACAATAACGTCCATTAACAGTTTCTTCTTTTAATTCTAATAGAAAATACGCATAGCTTTGAAACATAATTTTTTCTATTTTCTAGTCAAAAAACAGCCAAGAAAAATGAGCTTGCTGAAGAAAAATACACACTTCTGGTTGTCTGCAGATCTGTGGTCTTCTAAACTGAATGACAATGTGGTAAGAGATGTTCAGTACACCTCCTAAGGTCTTATCAATAAGTGTGAGGCATGGGAAGACACTTTTAATCAAGACTGAACTATGGTTTGGAAATCCTATCAGAAGCTCTTAGCTGTGTCTGAATATTTAAATAGTCTGACTTTTCATTCAGTTTTGCCACTATGATCCATATTTAAGATTATACAATGCACTTCTTGGGTTCCAGATTTGTTATTGATTAAAGTCAATCAGGAAAAAAAAATCCTGAAATGGATTAGAAGCCAAACAAACAAAAACAAAGGGGCTACTATTTTTATTGTTAGAGGATAGATTTTTACTGTTTTGGTAGATGATGACGTCTCCCCCTTCTTGCCTGCCCCCATCCCTATTTCTGTCCCAATTCGTCTCCTTCATTTTCAGTTTTATATTTCTACATAAAATCTTTACTCAAATACTTTGGGACAAATACCTCACAGAATCTAACCAAGAAAATTATTGTTCACAAATAAACCTACTAATAAAGTGCCACTTCAAAGACAAAGTAAATGTCCTTTGAATTTATACCTGAGCAATATTGCCACGGTGCAGGAAAGGAAGGAGAAGTGTAATGAGTAGAGAACTTTGTTCTTTGTCTTTCATAAACTTGCTGATCCTAGAAGAGGAAAAAAACTGATATGTAAGGAAGATATACAAGTTAAGAGTATTCCTCTAAGAAGTTAAACTTTTGTAGAAAAACATCAGTGACAAAGGACAAAGGTGGCTTTTAAGTATGTGTGCGTGTATAAAAAGTTTAACTCAGTTATTTAGCAGTGCTCACTCTTATTTCTCTCCAGCTTTAGGCTCATGGCTACTATTCTATTTCTTTTGTAACATCTGATGTGTAGCTGGGTTATAGTCAACTCCAATGCTATAATCTAGCAATTAGTAATTTATTATTTTGCAGAAATAACATTTTTAAGGGTAAAGACTTTATGTACACTATTTCAATTTAACTCCCACAATAGCCCTACAGTGGAGGAATAAATAGCCCATTTTGCCCAGAGAAAATTGAGACTCAGAGAAGTTGATGTCACATAGCTAGGAAGTGGTAGGTCTTTCAAACCCTGGTCTTTCTGGTGCCTAATCTCTCATCATCTTTTCATTACCACACAGCCTGTGATAAAATTTAACGAGTGTATTTAGTGTGGTTTCTCATTCTGCACAACTTAGAAATACAATAGTATATATAAAATATTTTTTAAAAGTTCCTGGAAGATTCTAATATGTCACTTTTTGTTGTTGTTCCTGAAAGTAACAGAAAAAATAAGCTTTCAACAACTAAGTCCTGTAACAATTTAGAGTTTCACATAGAATGTTTTTTTTGGTGAGGAAGATTGGCCCCGAGCTAACAGCCATTGCCAATCTTCCTCTTCTTGCTTGAGGAAGATTGTCCCTGAGCTAACACCTCTGCCAATCTTCCTCTATTTTGTATGCGGGATGCCTCCACACCATGGCTTGATGAGTGGTGTATAGGTCCATGCCCAGGATCCAAACCTGCAAACCCTGGCCCACCGAAGCAGAGAGTATGAACTTATCCACTATGCCACCAGGCCAGCCCCAGACAATCATTTTTTTGCTTAGGTTTACCAACCTTGCACATTATAGAAATCACAATTACATACTGCTAGGTCTACTGCCAAAGAGAATCTTTAAAAACCCTTGCAAGATTTTCTTGACTCTTAAAAACAAACAAAAACAGCCTGTTCTTTTAAGTTAATTATTTTTATCGCTTAAACTAAAAAAAATCTGCACTACGTAATGTCACGTAATTCAAAGTTTTAACTGAACAAAATATGCAAAGGCTCATAAACAAGCAAATCTATCAGTTTACTTTAGAAGTTTGCAAAGTCCATTCTCTTTAATAATTAAATGAAGGCAGAGGCCATAGGTTTCTAATGAATACTCCAGCAGAGAAACAATTCTACATTAACTTAAAAAGGGAGGGCGTTTCAAATACTGAAAACCCGTTACCATTTTAAAACAACAGAAAACCTAGATATAATTTAAAAAAAACATCAAAACCACGATGGTAATGTTAGCTTTGAAGGACCAATATATCACTTACTTTGAAAGAATGCCAAGTTCCTTACTGACTTGTGCCCTATTCTTTTTCTTTTTCACCTTTTCTGCACTTATTGTGGTTTTGCTCAGATACTGGAGAATTGCAGGTACATGAGGTAGAATTAACCGTCCTCCTGTCGTGATAGACTCTGAAATAAATAGGGGTAAATGTTTTGATTTTAATTAACTACTCTCTTAAAGGATAATTGTACAATATCTTTATAATGACAAACAAGGAAAGCACTCAATTACCATGAAAATTAAATTTCAACTCTAAAGATTAAATAACTTTCTTCTTAGTCAAAACAGCTACATCATTAGCTAAATTAAAAATTTATATACCAGAGCCCTGAGGTTTTATTTAAACCATTTTTGTTAACAGTAAAAGAACTGTTAGGATAATACGGTAGGAAGAATTCAGAAGACACGACAGTGGGAACCATTTGATAATTTCCCGGAGGATGGCTGAACTTTCTGGAGAGTAAATAATCTGAATTTCTACCACTGCAGAGAAAATTCAGTTTATATAAATTGGTATTAATTCCTAGAGAAAAGAAATTCTTTTAATTGCATAAGTTACTATGAGTCAAATTCTACTCACTTTTTCCTTTCTGAGGGAACAAATGCCACCTCAGAAGTCTAAGCATCATTTGCTTTGTATAGCATACATACCATCTGCACTTTCTGTGTACACGCATCCAGTTACTGGCAAGCTCAAAACTGTTTCTGTGGGCTCAAAATCTGGAAGGTTAAGAAGGTCATCGGCTATATCCATCACAACACTGGCTGTGGCTTCAGAGAGATTCTTTGCTGAGAGAATTGCAAAAACATTGGTCAGGATATCACATTCTGGGTGCCCAGGTTTCTGTTTAGCCAGGAAAGGGAAATATCTGCAAGAAAAAAAACATTGAAATAGTCATCACATTTCTCAATATGTTTATTTCTAAAAACATGTTCCAGATGAATTTTTATACTGAGTTTAACAAATATATATGTATATGTGTATGAACATTAATAAGATTACTCAGAAGGGAAATTACTTTAAAATCTAAAATTTGATGGATAATAATTCTAGGCACCTTACAAACAGCCATTGAGCTAATAAGTGATAGAGCTGAGATTTGAAACAGTCTAACTCCAAAGACTAAGCCCTTTCTAAAAGAAATGTATTGAAGACAGGCTGTTTTTCATGTATAAGCCTTCTAGAATGTGAATGTTTACACACTCACATAAAAACCAATGTTCTACAACATGGGAATTAGGAGTACAGACCAAAGAAACATTTGCTGTATCAGGATATGCAACGTTCAGAGATTGGGATCATCTCTCAGGGGAGGTAAATGAACCCATCCCCAGTAAGAAAGCCTCACACAAATGATATGAGCACGCCCCTGAGGGCCCCTGAGCACCCCCCCAGTGGAAACACACGGACAAGGGTAGAGAGCACAAAGGCTTTCCAGCCAAGGGCAAACCAGCAGGTATTTTACAGTCAGAGATGCAATCCTAACAGTTAGTAGGAAGGTCAAACTGAAAAAATTCAGATAGTTTGGCTTTACCAATTCATCATCACTGGAAAAAGGGCTCAAGCACTTTAACATACTCAGTACTGACAAACTGATAGGAAAGTTGTAAGAGCTTATGTTCATACATCTTTGTCCAACAGATATTGGGCACAGCATGCACAGGCAGCAAGCAGGATACTTGATATATTATCATCTCTATTATCAACGAGGTTGGTACTCTTACTCTTTATTTTACAGGTGGCAAAACTGAGGCTCAAAGAGGCCAACTTTGCCAAAGGACACACTGTGGTGCTAGGATTTGAAGTCACGTTTGTGTGGCTTCAGAGACTGTGCTCTTAACCAGTATGCTGTATGTTGTAAAATTTTTCAAGCAGAAAAAGTGAGGGCACTGCTTTCAACTGCTGGCAAGGTCCTGGTAAGAGCCCATTCAAATCCAATGCAACTTCTAAGTGACCAAACTGTGTTTCTTGAACAGCAATATAACTTGATGCCACACTGGGCATGCTTCATGCTTAAGTATATGGCTCAATCAAACATTTCAATGACTTGTTCAACATGCAATGAATAACAACTAACCATGGATAAAGAGGGGTAACCCTCTGTGGAGGAAGATACAATAAATGCAAAATGGTCTTTGCCCCCAAGGAGCTTTAGGCAGGTAAGCTATGAAGAGGGATGAGTGCAATAAAGGCAGGATGTGATCACAGGGCCTTCCAGTAGTGGAGAGAACACAGAGGAGGAAGATACTGAGCCACACAGAGGTTACGGTGGTCAGAACCAGAGCCGATATTAAGCAAGTGGCCAGGGACAGTCCCAGTTTATGGTGGTTGTTTTGGCTTACTTATTTATAGTATCTCTTTCAACCCTCAGGAAAGTTTCAGCTTGGACAATAGACTATATGGTCACTCTAGTTAGTAAGCAAGTTTTTGTTGTCTTGAGTTCACCTAATTTCTGAGCAATTTAACCTTAGTTGTAATCTTAAAGACATTGGCTATAGTTCAGATCTACCTGCATTTATCCAAATCCGAAGTAAAACGCTAGATTTCTCTGTAGATGAAAACCTGTTTAAATGTCTGATTGACATTAGGTAAACTGTAAGCATACTTTAAAATAAAAATTTATTTTTTTATTGGAGAGTAACATTCCCATCAAGTGGTTCCAAAATTTTCATTCATTAATTCTTTCACACACAACTACAAAATGCACAGCTGTTGCTATGGAGATTTCAAGGGAAGTTAACCCTTCTGAAGATTTCCTTCAGGTTAAGTGTTAAATAGAAAAGAAAATAAAGCTCTACTGCCTACCTCTTCTATTGCTATGTGACTTCTATTTTTCTCCAACCAAAAATGAAAGAGGAACTGCAGAAGAGAACGAAGCGGCATCCAGTGATGTGGATCTACACCTAGAGTAAGGACCCAACTAACACAAAACTGAGCCACTACTGTAAAGTCTTCTCGGATGAAAGTCCTTCATGGCTTATTTGCATAAAAATTACACAACTATAAAACATTTCTCAAATACGCCTAAAGTGCTGCTTATAAATGTCCAGTGATAAAACAAGATATGTAACTGCTTTCTCAAATTGGGAAATAAATGAAAAGAACCCTTCCTCCCAGTAAAAATAAAACAAGCTTTGCTGTGGAAGAATGTCAAGGTCTTTGGTTTGTTTTTGAAGACTATTTAAGGACATGGGGAAATGTTCATGACATAATGGTACGTGAAAAAAACAAAACCAAAAGCTGTTTATACAGCATGCTCCCAATTTTGTAAAAACCAATGCCAAGATTTTAACATTACTGAATCAACAGTAAAATGTTTTCTTTTAGTGTCTCTCTCATTCTTCAAAACAGATCAGGGCAAACTTATGTTTGTTTCCATCACTGAGATAAACAACATAGGTAAAGTTTCCACACTCCTCAGTAAATACGCATTTGGTCTGTAACACAGTATCTCTGAACCATCGGTAGATGAAGGTCCTATTAACAGTTCATAACATCCTCAAAAGGATATTGATTTATGACTATGAGAGCTGTATGCATATTTAGATGGAGTTTTACAAAGAATATAAGACGTCTAAAAAATCTAAAAAGTCTATGAAATTTTTCTGATTTTAAGTGGGAACTGGGAAAAAGACAGCATGCCACTTGCAATTAGTTTTTATTTTCAAGCAAGCATGCAAAAAATCATATTTATGTCCTGATATTACTATCTGGTGTGTTTCACAGTCTGTTTTCCCCTTTGCCAGGCCAAATCAAACTGCTGACAGAATTATTACACATTCGAAGAACATCCCTGTCAATTCCAAAACTTATAATTTTTAAGTTTTAATGAAGGAGTAAAACACAAAAATGTGTACGTTTTGATATAACATACACGCTACAATTCTTACTTACATTAAACTGCAAAATGTTATTTTATCTACTTTTTCTTTTTTCTAATTATAAATAATTCAAACACTTCAAAGATGTATCGCAAAGAGTCTCCCTTCCCGCCCTGGCCCACCCAAACCTCCAAATGCTATGGTAACATTAACAGTTTCTCAGGTATCTTTCTAGATATTTTCTATTTACACACACGCACAGCATTTTTCCTGCATCACACTATACATATTTTAGTTTAGCAACCTGTATTTTTCTTTAAATTGTCTATTTTTAAGTTCAGCTGCCTTACTCTCTTTATTTGGACCTATAGTAGTTCACTATAGGGAAACATCATAAATGATATTATTAGTTGTCTTGACTAGTTTTGACTAGATTTGTCTAAAACACTTTTTAAAAAAAGGGAAACAGAAAGGTTATACCTTGCATTTCTGCTCCAGATGCTAATTAGTTTCAGCAGAGGAGTAGGAGAATACTGGCTCTCAGACCCAAGCCTGCTGATCTGGGACACAAAACAAAAACAGAATACAGCATAAAATCCTATACAGACTTGTAGGAAAAAAACAACTAAAAGCAGAATAAGCATAGAAACCACACAAGAGGGTAAAAGAGCCAAAGGACAGAGATGAACATTCAAAGGACAGCTGAGGAAAAAATAAGGGAATCCAAAATAACATCTACTGAGGAAAAACTGCAAAGATGGCGCATGGAAGTGCTAGACACTTGAAAGGAACAAGGCACTTTAGGTTGCAGTTCGCCAGAAGTGACAGAGCTCAAGCAGTAAGAAATTTTTCCTAAAATGAAGTCTCTCCTTCAGTCTTCCTAGCTATAACTATACCAGTTATCATCAAGTGATTACAACCAGAGAAATCAAACAAGGAAATATGTAACAAAAATACCTGTGTATTTCCCTCATGCTTGTCAAAATCCAGAGGCACATCATGTGAGGTGCTACAAAAGTTATGTTACATTTGCTTAAGAGACACAATCACAGTCAAATTAGCCTTAGGTATAAATGCCATGGCACTGCAGAAACTAGCTCTTGAGCTTTAGGTGGTAGTGGAGGCAAAGAGAAGTGTTCTAAAACTGCTAGAAATAAAGGCTTGATGTAGAAGAAAAGACTAAGATGGATATTCAACAAAGGAAGCAGCAGCAGGTATCTGGGCCAAATAAAGAAATCCAGGTTTACCTGGGGCCAAACTGCACCATGAAACACAGCGTCAATTTCTTCTGTTCTGAACTGATAGGACTCCCAATCCAAAAAGACATCAGTGACCATTTTGATTCCAAGACGTCTTAAATTTTTCAGTGGGTTAATAAACCTCAGCTGTATCTGTAAAACAAAGATCTCCTATTGAAAAAAATATATCATTTTTACCCTTGACTCCTCAGGGAGGCAGTCTGGCTCAGATGGCTAAGAATCAAACTGGAAATCCTGTTATTAAGTCTGTTGACTTTGGCCCTGATTCACGTGGAAATGTCCAACTGAGGAAGTCATAATGCTTTTCTCATTGAACAAGATGGGGAAAGCAGAGAGACAAAAAATCAGATGGTGAGATGTGTTCCATTATCACTGCCCAGTAAAACCACACTAGAATGTCCTTATGGGGAAAAAAGTCACAACCAGAACAGCTGTTTTGTGTTCTACATTGTGTTACTTTTTTATTCAAGTCATTGTCTCGAATAAAAGCCTGATTTCTTCCTATGAACAGAACACATTCTAAACAAAACTTCTTTTTTTGCCATCAGGATACCTTAGATTAGAAAAAAAATATAGAAAACCTTCATTTCAAACGAAAGTCACTTTCCTTTTTTGTTGTCATACTTGTATCATTTTTTGCCTTTTCTAAAACTAGTTTTCAATTATTCTTGTTATAATTAGTCTAGGGGATTAGTTAAAGAACTTACAGTCTCTCCCTACAGTGGAATACTTCATGCAGTAAAAGAGAATGAAGCAACTGAATTAAGGCATTAGAAGATGTCAAAATACACAGTTCAAAGAAAAATACAATTTGGAAACAAACAAGATTTGTCTATTGAGAGGCACAGAGGCTGGAGTGGGTGGATGTCTGAATTAACAGCAAACTTCTTTTATAAGAGATACTGCTACTTCTACTGGCATCTCCTTCTCTACGAGTTATAAAATCACAAACACGCAGCCACTTTGTTCAGATTCAGAGTAGAACAATTTAGTGACCTCCCACCAACGGGTCCAATGGCATGACAGCCATAGTCCTGACCTCAACTTAAAATTTTTGTTGCTGTTATTACTGTTGAGTCAATCTGAATCTTAGCAACGCTGTATACAGCAGAGGGGAACCCTGTTCAGTCTTTTTGCGCCATCATCTCACCTTCTGATGTCACATCAGACAATGCTCTGCTGAAACCTGTCCACCGTTGGTGACCCTGCTGGTATTTGAAATACTAGTGGCATAGCTTTCAGCAACACACAGCAGCCACAGTATGACAACCAACAGACAGGTGGTGTGGCTCCCTTACTAGGAAACCAACCCGGGCCATGGTGGTGAGAGTGCTGGATCTTAACCACTAGACCACCAACCTAAAATCTTACTGAACAGAATTTATTAAATTATGTGGGAGACTGAAAATGCAGAAGATACCTGGTAAGGGGGGATTATAAATTTGAGAAGAGATTTCTCCCAAGCACAGAATGTTATAAAAACCAAACAAATGGGGGAAGACTCAAACCCTAAATGCTTTTCCACTTGATTAATATATTGTGAGCTCTTGAGATATAAGTGGCAACTTTTTTTACATATGACCTTAATTACCTACATCAAAATCTAAAAACTACTCTGAAATTTATAAAGACAACACAAATGCTCTAATACAATGAATATCAAGTCACATGGCCAAGATATTGTGAAGAAAACTAATAGGGAAGTTATTTGTCACAAAAACCCGATACTCTGATCAACAGAAGTATTTGAATCTGAAACAGCACATTTTAAATTCAAGTGAATAGGAACAAGGATACCATTAATTTGCTGTGCAAGTCTGAGGAATCATATTTCACATACCCATCAAGTTTCTAGCAACTACTTTTCGTAGGATCTACATGTTCTATTCACCTCCCTAACTACAGGGCCAGCTGCCCAGTTTACTCAGTAACTTTGGGAATAACCTGGAGAAAAACTCTGAAAGTAGGCATTTGTAGAGTTTAGTTGCTACAGGAATAGTCAATATGACTGAGTTTATATACATTCACAAGTTACTATGCTGTTGATATGTACGAAAAAAGTAAAATCAACCAAAACAACCCTCACTATATACTTTTCAGTGTCAGTCAATGTCTTGGAGGATCTGAAAGATACAAAAAAGTAAATGTATAATTTAGCTCAAACACACAAATGTAGAACTTTAACTCACTTAAGCAATATTACTGTGCAATAATTCAGTACAGCATTTCAAAGAATTCTTTGGACTCATTCAAGAATCAAAAAAAAAAAAAAAAAAAAAGGAAAGCCCCTATCTGTCAGGAAGCTTGGGTACTTCACTAACTAACGAACTGTGAAATTGCATAAATGGTCCTTTGAGTTACTGATTGTTGATTCGGGAGTAAGGATGCGTTACTGAATAACTTCTAAGTTAACCAAAGTCAGAGGACTTACACAGGGTTTATAAAACCTCTAACTTTTCATGATTTAATATATCCATGTATAGATAAAGTCACTATCACTTGCCATGAAGCAAAAGTGAAAATTCTCACATAATTCTCCCTATGGGCCTGAAACTCACGTAACACAGACAAAAAATTGTTCAAGACTTCTTTTCAGCTTCCACTTTTGGCCCCCCACAGCCTCTTTTCCACAAAGCAAAGTGACGTTTTTAAAACATCAAACAGACCTTATCACTCCCCTGCTTCAAACCTCTCAGAGGTTTCCCAGAGCCCTTAGAAGTAAACCCAGCTCCTCCTCATAGCCCACGAGGCCCTACCTACCTCTTCACCTCATCTTATATGATTCCTCGCACTCCTTGTGTGCTAGCCATCTCAGCCTTCTGCCTGTTCTTAGAACACGCCAAGACTGTTCCACCTCAGGAACTTTGCGCTACTAGGCATTTTCTCCGCCTGAAATATTCTTCCCATGAGTGGGCAGGTATAAGCTCAAATATCACCTCCTTAGAGAGGACCCTGACCACCCTAGGAAAAACAGCACCCATCCACCCCAAGTTTGGTCACCTCTTATCACATTCCCTCATTTTAAGTTCTTCACATCTATCTGTCTCTCCTCAACATGCTCATGCTTTCTTCTACTTTCGTGAATATATGGAGTGTATTTCCAAGAGCTGTTCTAAGTCCTTGACTAATTCTATCATCTCTGTCATTTCTGGATCTGCTTTTATTGATTGTTTTTTCTCCGCATTATCAGCAACATTTTCTTCCTTCTTGGCATGCCTGGTAAAACTTGACTGGATGTCAGACACCGTGAATTTTATTTTCATTTAAATTTTTCAAGTTTTTGAGTTTTGTTCTGGGACGCAGTTAATTTACTTGGAAAAAGTGTGATCTTTTTAAGCTTTGTTAGGTGATGTCAAAGCAGCCTTTATTACAGGACTAATCTGCTCCAGCACTGAGGCAGGCTCCTGCCAAGGACTCTTCCTGACACCCTGGGTATTACAAAGTTTCTGCTCTGGCTGTTTGGGAACATGAGCTGTTCCCAGCCCTGTGTTAGCTGGAGGATTATTCTGGCTGTTCCTTTCTGGAGCAACAGGGACCAGATTTAGCCTCCCTGCCAAGCAACTAAAAGACTGAACAGAATATATGCCACACTGATTTTCAGACACTGGACAGCAGGCAGCAGAGGACAGTTAAGTGCCAAGAGAGGGAAACAGATGAGGTGAGTCCCAGACATCCCCAGCTTCCCGCCTGGAGGGTTTCAGGCATTAGTGTGGGAAGGAAGAGCCCAGGCAGAATCCAGCCATCTTCCTAAGATGAGAAGACAGAGTTGTGTGGCTTGGGGAGGCCAAAGAGGCTAGAATTCACAGGGCAGAGTACTGGAGAGGGAAGAGCTACACAGAGAATGATTTTCAGAGATCTGTAGTTGGGTGTCATTTTATTTTCCTCTCAGAACATCTGACATAATTCTAAGTATTTGTGTATTTATTTATTATTTTTCTCCTCATGATCCTGAGTCCTCACCTCATTCCCCACCCGGACAGTGTCTGGTAGGTAATAGGCATGCAGTGAGTATTTACTGAATAAATAAATGGACAGGAATTTCCGTTTCCTTTATTTCCTGCCACATCCCCAGTGCCTAGAACAGTGCCTGACATTGGTAGGGGCTCAATTAATATTTGTTGAAGGCACAAAAGAAAGAATGAGGAAAATAAAATGGTGCCTACCAAAATGGAAGGTGTGTTCTAAATCTCCAGATCTTGGTAATCAGAGAATATTATTTCATTACTAAAGCAGATTTATATCCATGCACAGCCCCAAAAAGCAGCATAAAATTTTGGCTGTGAATTTTCCATTATCATGGCCATATTTGAGGCAATTTACAAGGCATATCCATAAATCAAATGAAACGAATTTTAGCCAAATTAAAACTGTGCCTATTTATCATTAACTGAGGATCAACAGCAGAAGTCTGAGTCTGGATCTTCACTTCAAGTTCCATTTTCTCCAAGAAGCCTTCAGTCCATAAGACATTAAGTTTCCCTAAACTCCACAGAGTACACCTATGTCCACATACCTGCTTCAACAGAACACAAATATACTGTCTTGAATACAATTCAGAAGAGAACTTGCTGAGCACCATCTTGTGAAGCCTCCTGGCAGTTAGCAGGCTGGCTTGTCTTGTCTGATCCTGCTGCTTACCTTCATTCAAACACTATACCTATAGTAAGCAAGCATTTACTTTTAAAAGAGCTTTGAGGAACTCTGTCTCAAAATAACAAGGACGATGCTAACAGTATTCTATTCATTCTCCAACCATCCAGAATAAATGAGACTTGGAAGATGTCTACAATTCTAGACTCCTGAAATTAAAATCTAAGAAACATCAACCATCCCTGACTTTGGTTTCTGAGACATATACAGAACTAACTCACTCCCTACTAGTTCACCCCTTTTTAAAATATACACTTGATATCATTTGCATTTTCTAGCAATACATAAATATTTATAACAACAAAGATTCCCAATATATGGAAGAAGATTGTTTTAAAGAGATACTTTCAAAGAGTTACATAAGAAAGATTTAGGATGGATGTTAGGAAGGATGTTGGATACTCGGGCCCCCACCCATTTCCGAAGTAAGACACAGACTCATATCAGCCCAAGAAGACAGTCTCTACAGTGAGTCTCTCTCACCTTTTCTCGTTGGTCAAGGATGTGTGATACAGTTGCTGTCATACAGAGCAGTATCTGCAAAATCTTTGGTAAGTACCCATTGATCAGATGACTAATGTTCTTCAATACTATTTCAAGGCTATTTAAGATACCATGCTGACGACCCAAAGGAAGAACTTTAGACAAATCCAAATCTTCTACTGCTTGAATGACTGCAGAATGGCATTCTCCTAGTGAAAACAGAGGAACAGAGATATCATGCAAAGGGAAATATTCATTTGTTATTACTTATAATTATAGCTTCTTTTCAATTTTCCTCAATAGTACAGTATTTTCTGTTGTTATAATGATTTATAAATGATAACGTACTTTCCTCATGTACTATCCCCTTTTGATTCTTACTAAATATTCAGAGCTAGGTATGATAGGTTTTACTATTATTACTTTAGAGATGAAGAAACTAAGGAATAAAGCAGAATAAGAAACATGTGACACAACTAAGTCTCTAAACCCAACTGTCACCCTATTTATCCTATTCCTCAAAACCTGAGTTACTAACAGTCTTTTATTCTAACTAGCAACGTTCCATACAGCTTTCACTAACTACGCTGACTTCAGCAGTTTCGTAGAGAATGCCTTGTTACATTACAAACTCCCTGAAGGCTGAGAACCAAACGTTTTATTTGTCTTGTAGCCCCTGGTGAATAAATAAAACAAGAGCCCTTTCTAACAGCCGTCATACTGATTTCACACTTTAAAGACTTGAATTGTATGTTTGAGCTTGACTTCAAACCAACCGGTATGAGATCATGAGCTTACTGATTCATACACCTAAGTAGTCCATCCACAAGAGCATCATTTATAGCTGCCCTCCTACAATGAAGGCCATTACACTGAACAAAAACTTTTGTATTCATTAGAGCCAATTTCCTTCACAGGGCAATACTATAATGAATGAAAACCTTTTAAACAGCTGGATCCATTATCATAAAAAAAAATACGAAACATATGCAACACACCACCTTACAAATAAATATCTATGTTTGCCTAAAGCAAAGCAATTATGAGACTGGAGCAGAAGTTTTGTAGTCAGAAAGATCTGGGTTCAAATCCCAACTCCATCATTTTCTAGCTGAGTGGCCATAAGCAAAATACCTACTTCTCTTAGCCTCACTTTCCTCATTTGTAAAATGGGGACAAAAGTAATGAGGTATCAAGTAATGATACCTCAATGTGGTGGTTTTAAGGAACAATTGAGTCGTATGTAAAGGGGTCCATTATAATGTCTGGCATGAAGTAAGCACTCAATAAATTTTAGCGACTATTATTATTAATTACTAACATTGCATACCAGAGAACATACCACAGAGTCTTACAGCTCATTGTATACACTTATTACATCCACTTTGTTTAGACTGTGAGGTTGAGGGCACAGATTATAAATAGTCACTTTTCTATTTTCAACAGAGTGTCCAGGGCACAAAAGGTATTCAACAAATCATTACTCAATTATGAATGACCCAATCAATGAGTCAACACCAAGACAATGGAGATTAATTTAGCAGCATGCTTTATATTTCTTAGAGGAAACCTACTCCTTGTATAGGGATAAGTATTTACCATTTTTCAAATAGCCTAAATGCACAACAAAAAAGATACACATTTTCTAATCAGGGGCTTACAAACACATGGATGCTGATAATCCCCAGGATCAATCGTGAGCTCCACGTAATTCAAAGTTAAAATGAATTGCATTTCAGCAAAAGGACCAGCATTGAGACTGGGAGGAGCAACTCCATTAGAAAGATGCTAAGCATGGGAAACCTAGTCATTAGAAGTCCACAGCGGACAACATGCATTCAGAGTGAGAAGCAGTTGAGAGCTACCATTCTTGAAGTGCTTCACAGGTTCAAACAGCAGGTCTAAGAAGATCTGGATCTCCTCAGGTTGGGTCCCAGCGAGGAACCTCAGAACAATGGACATCCGGGTGCCTGAAGCCGATTTCCCCTGGGTTTTACTCCCAGTCTTATTCTTCATTCGGCCATACAAAATTCTAACAAGTTAAAAGAACACGATTTGTTTGCATGTTAATCCTAAAACATAATACTAGCTGTTTTGTTTTTCTAAAAGACTAGGATAGCAACGCAACAGACTTAAATGGATATATTATGAAACAAGGAAGAATGAAAATAGAAATTAGATACTTAGCATACAAATTTAGACAAACCATAAAAAAACAAGGCTAAGGTTAACAGGAAGAAGGAAATAGTAAAGACAAAGGCCAGAAGGTAGTTCTTTGTGGGAGAAAAAAGCAGGGGGCCAGCCCGGTGGCACAGCGGTTAAGTTCGCATGTTCCACTTCTTGGTAGCCCGGGGTTCGCCGGTTTGGATCCCGGGTGTGGACATGGCACTGCTTGGCAAAAGCCATGCTGTGGTAGGCGTCCCACGTATAAAATGGAGGATGATGGACATGGATCTTAGCTCAGGGCCAGTCTTCCTCAGCAAAAAGAGGAAGATTGGCAGTAGTTAGCTCAGGGCTAATCTTCCTCAAAAAAAAAAAAAGCAATAAAATAGGTAAGCCACAGGTAAGTCTAATCAAGGCAAAGCGAAAACAAGACTATACAACTAAAAGGAAACAAAACTAGAGAATATAACTGTAAGTAAAATAAGGAAACTGAAAAGATTTCAATTTAATGAAAATATAGTGCTCATATAGTTTTACAGGTGAATTTTTTAAACTTTCAAGGAAAAATAATTTCTATATTATATAGTTTCATAGCAGAGAGAAAGAAAACAGCCCTTTTTCATTTATGATAGTGGTATAACTGTGATATTGAGACTGGTTAAGGAACAAAAATAAAACTATATACCAATCTTGCTTATAAACAGAAAAAACAGCATTTTTAAATACAGTATCCAGTGCTGCAGTAAAACTATACCAAAGCCAAATGAGGATTATCCCAGGAATGGAAGGAAGAGTCATTAGTAAAATCTATTAGATTGATACAGAACGATAGCTCACAGGAAAAAGTTAATATGACCATTTTAATACATGCTCAGTCGGCGTTCTAATAAAATTCAACATCCACTCCTGATAAAATTCTAAATAACCCAGTAACAGAAGCTACTTTCTTTCCTTTTTTTTTTTTTTTTTAAAGATTGGCACCTGAGCTAATATACATTGCCAATCTTCTTCTCCCCAAAGCCCCCCAGTACATAGTTATATATTCTAGTTGTAGGTCCTTCTGGTTGTGCTGTACGGGACACTGCCTCAGCATGGCTTGATGAGCAGTGCCATGTCCGTGCCCAGGATCCAAACTGGTGAAACCCCAGGCCGCTGAAGCAGAGTGTGCGAACTTAAACACTAAGCCACAGGGTGGGCCTCCTACTTTCTTAACATGATAAAACTTATTGACCTAACATTCAAAATTCAAAGACAGTGGTTTAGACCTTTTTGATATTAGGACCCCTTTACACTCTTAAAAATTATTGACGTCCCCAAAGACTTTTTAAGTACGTAAGTTTTATCTATTGATATTTATGATATAGAAATTAAAACAAGTTAACAGAAATAACATTTCTAATAAAAAATTATATTTTCCAAACCACTCCCTTCCAAAAATTAGTGAGACTAGAGGCATTGTTTTACTTTTGTTTGTTCAAATTTCTTTATTATCTGGTTTATTAGAAGATAACTGAATCCTCATCATCTACTTCTGCATTCAATCTGTTGCAAGATATTGCAGTTGAAGAAAATCTAGACTTCTACAGATATACAGTTGGAGAAGGAAAAAATATTTTTTTAACTTTCAGATAATTCTTTTCCGATAATTGTGGATATTCTACTTTGACACTACTTTGAACTTCCACAAGTGGTAGTTTCTTAAGGCTAGTTTCAATGTAGAATCTGAAACTATATCAACATACATTGTGAACTCTGTTACATTAAAATCTATCTTGCACTTTGAAGGGATCTTTTATCCACGCATGGTTCTATAACATGCATCAGTTATTTGGAAAACATGTGATTCTGGAGACAACAAGTGTGCAGAATAAGTATTTTATGCATATTTTCCACTTCGCCATACAGAATGGTAAAAAGATACGTACTCTAGGGTTGAGACTCATGAGGGACATTAAGTGAAACTAGATCTTTTTATAAACTCCAGGTGTGTGGCAATGAAGAATGAGTAGCACAGTTTGGAGCCCCTGTCCTGATTCATGCTAAGGCACCAGGAGTTTTACCCTACACTGTTTTTGCCTGCGGCACAAGCGTTAGCACAATGAAAAAAGATAATGTCTTAGTAGTACTATGAAAAAAGTTATAACCTTGGTGACCTGCTGAAAGTGTCTTAGGGACAGCCCCCTGACACGAACGAGCAGACCACACTTTAAGAACGGCTGCTCTGGAGGAAAATAACCCAACCACTACCATCACAGTTAATTCTTCTTGGCTATGGAGGTAATACATAGATTAAAATATGGAAACAAAGACAATAAAAAATTAATTTGACCAATATTTACTAGGGGCCATGGAGTTTACCTTCTGCAGGGGAGATAAACAATAAGAAAGAGGCTATGCTGGATGATTAAGTACAGTCACGTGCCGCATAGTGACCTTTCAGTCAACGACTGACCACATATACAACACTGGTTACAGAGGTTAGTACTATATAGCTTAGGCGTGTAGTAGGCTATACCATCGAGGTTTGTGCAACTACACTCTATGATGTTTGCACAATTATAAAATAGCCTAATGACACATTTCTCAGAACGTATCACCATTGTTAAGTGACACATGACTATATTGTGAGGACAAATAAAGGGAGGTAAGGGACTAGAGAGTGATTAGGGGAACGAGTGATTTTATATAAAGAGGTCAAGGAAGGCATCTCTGATAATAGGATGTTTGAAATGAGACTGAGTAAAGAAGAGGAGTTAGCTGTCATGTGTCCCAAGCAGAAGGATGAACAAGTCCAAAAGACTCTGAACTGGGCTCTGAGGCGGGTGGGAAATGAAAGGAACGTGGTTAGAGAGGCAGTCTGGGGCTAGGTTATACCAGGCCCTCTAAAGACTAGTAAGGACTTTCTATTTTATTCTTGTAGAATAGGACCTCAAAGGGTTTTTAAACAGGGGACTAACAATCTGACAACGGTTATTTACTATTATTTTTCAACCAAGAAAATCCAAGGAAAACTATTAAAAATAATAACAAAGTTTTGTAATGTGGATAGTTAAATAATTAACACAAAAAATCAACAGCTTTTATATCTCATAGTTAGTTACCTACTAAATGAATGAACTATTTTTAGTATTTCTCAAAAATGAAACTTAGAGAAATATTGGAATTAATTTCAAGACTATTATTATTTTTTATTTTTTTCCTCCCCAAAGCCACAGTACATGGTTGTACATCCTACTTGTAAGTTGTTCTAGTTCTTCTATGTGAGCTGCTGCCACAGCATGGCAACTGACAGACGGGTGGTGTGGTTCCGTGACAGGGAAGCAAACCCAGGCCACTGAAGTGGTAAGTGCTGAACTTTAACCACTAGCCCACCAGGGCTGGCTCTTAACATTATTACTAAAATAATGCCACAGTAAGATCTTTCCTCATGTTAGGGACAAAATATTCTAAAGTAAGTCTCTCTAACGATTTGACTATCCCAAAAGGTCCAATTAAAAAAAAAAATCAAAAGACAATACAAAATGAAATATTCCATTACAACTGGAGAAAAAAATTATAATACTAATATTCACAATTGTTTCTGTGATCAACTTTTTAAAAAATCAGTTTTCAGACAGTGTAAATACCTCATCAGAATAGGAAACAGATCTGCTCGGTGGGTTGTTTTCACTACTGTATTATCTTCAGAAATGCTAAAATGCACTATTTCTTCCTTAAAGCTTCTGTCTTCAAGCAATCTTTGTAAGTTTTCCCTTTAAAAATAGAATACAACACAAATCGTCACTTAACGGTACTTTTAAAAAATGCAATACGTAGAATAATACGTATAATTGAAATAGGTATTAAAGAATAGTCTCTATTGTGGTTGACATCCATAAAGGAAAATCTTTACAAAAATACTTTCCAAAATGGCAGTTTTTCAAATTTTAAAAGGTAAAAGGAATGGTAAGGAGTTAGACTTAGTCAATAATTCAGCAGTCTAAAAGAGCATAATACAAAAGCTTTCTTCAGTTCTTAGAAAGTGATTATTGTGATTCCCAAAGTAATCACTAAGATTTTACGACATTATATAAGCAAGGAGAAATATCACCTTCTTCAACACATACTTTTCAATTAATATTCTCTTTCCTATCTAATTATTATCCATGGAGAAGCACTCTTAACAAACAAATATACCTCCAATTTTCATTTCTTACCTGAAAATAGCACTATGATTGCCTTAGAAAAGAAGGAAATTTCCCAGGCCTTCATGAAATTATTTTAGAAGAGGCTGTCAGGTAGAAAGACAAATATCAGCCAAAGAATAGCATTTCTTTAGCTTCAAATAACTTACCTGTAAGGAAGGATATGTGGATGTTTATACGTCATTATGCAATCCAGCGTTATTTTTTGCACCATTTGATCTTGGTGTAGCAACAACTAAGAATGATATTTTGTAGAATAAATTAATGAAGTCACATATACATGTACCACACGATAGCAATTTACTTGCATTAATTTGCTAAATTAGATCTCTTAGAATCTAAATCTTTAGAGGTAGGTTAAAGCTGATGCCTGACAACAGCCTTACATTTTCCTGGAGGTAAAGGAGGATGAATAGAATATATGCACAGAACAAAACAGAAACAAAACTCTTGACGTCTGCATCCCACATGCCAGACACTCGGCTCTATCAGTTTCTGCCAAGACCAATTCTCTACGTGAATCTGGATTTACATCAGGTGGGCTGGTCCTGTGACAAGGAAAAGCTCATATAATACCAGGAAGGTATTGGCAGGCAGTACGATGCCAGGAAAGAAGACCCAGCTCTGAGGCCTTTCTGATGTCAGCTCAGAATTCTGCTTCCTGTGGATAACTGAGACTATTGAGCTCTGGCTTTATAAACAAGTTATATCCAAATTATGCGCAGAACATGGATAAATTCTGCTGAAATTATGTAAGTTTCATCTAAAAAACATCCAAATGAAAAAGAAAATTTAGTTTCCCCAGATGGCTCAGAATGACATCCAATGCTTTTTCTGCTTCTGACATTAAATTTTTTCTGCAACCTTCTCTGGAATTCAGGGTCATATATTGTGACTGCAACAGACTATTTCAACTATCGGCTTGAACTCAATCTGACAGATCCTGAAATCCTAGAGCTCCATAAGGTTAACCTACCTGGATGTGAAAAGTAGCCAACTGCTCTCGGCACGTCCCCTCCTCCCTTCCAAAAGCTAATTCTCATCATGTAATTCATGTTTTGCTACACTCACTGTTAATACAGCCAATGTTTAGTCACCAAAGATGCCTTTAAAATCAACTGAATTAGCGCTGTCTAAAATTATTTCTCAAAGTACAAAAAAAAGTCTATTAATTTAAAAACAAATTATACTTAAAATGTAGACATGGGCCCTATTCAACAATTATTGAAAACCTAAAAGTTACTTTGGCAAAGGAAATGGTAGAGAAAAGTTCAAAGAATTGTAGTGGCAAGAATTTAATTTACTTACCTGAAGATACAGTTCATATAATTTGGATTCCAGATATAAGGCCCGTGGATTCGAAAACTTAGAGAAAACTTGCAAATGGGCGATTAACTGCCTAAGAAAAGGAAAAATAAAAGGAGAAAGTGGGTACTACAGATAAAAAACAAAGATTATTTTCTTAAGATGATAGTACTCACTAGGTTTAGTCTCTCTGACAAGTGTTCAAAAACACCTTGACTAGAGTTTCATTGTTAATTGCACAAACAAGTTTTAATTATTGAGAAAATTATTCTCCAGAAATTCCAAATCTCAGGCAGGCCATCCCCTGAAATCCAGGTTCCCTACCCCAGAAAATCATTCAGAATGTGCTTAGAATAGCTTAAATTAAACCAAACATAGAAAGAAATCAAAACAATAATACATTCCAAAATAGAACACAGATGATTTTTGGAATGATTCGATTCCTTGTCTAGTTTCTATGCAGTAAACAGGGAAGTGTTAAAATATATTCTTCCTTATTTTCATTTAAGATAAATACGGCTGTCAGGCAACAGAGGGTCGAGTTTAGGTGACCATGCCTCTTGCTTACCCAGAAGGAGGAAGAGCGAGCAATGTTCTGTGGTCAAAAGTTACACTTGAAGATGGGACTGCCTCAGAGCAAATTATATCATCTACTAAAACAGACTGAGAGGAGAGCTTCTACTTCATTTCTTCCTAATCCATAGGCTCTAGGAGGCTTTAAAAATACTTGAGAAAACTGTTTTCTCTCTGTGTACAATCCATACGATATATTAGAACTTTAAAAAAACTCTGAACGAATAAATTGTCAAGGTTCGAAGAGATTTTATTTGCTTATTTCAAGAACAAAAGCAGGGAGAAGCAAAGAAGGTGGAAAGCACACTGCGTGTGTGATTCTGCCATCCTGAGCTATGTGACTTTGGCAGAAGTTATTTAATTCATGTCTCTGAGTCTCAGTTCCTCATCTTGACGAAGGCAAGACCTCCCCGGTTTTCCACAAGGATTAAATGAAAGAATACTAGTTGTGGGGCCTCTGCTCCTAAGAATTTAGCAAACAATGCATTCCTCTGCTCCTGGGCAAAAGAAAGCAAAACTGTGGAAGTCCCACTACTTAATATAGAGAAAATAAGCTGGAAATTATGACCTCTTTAGATATTACAGAGAAATAAGAGTAAGGGTAGCACTATTGTTTATACTTAGTTTCAATCTCTGTGATGATTAGCCTTATGTGACACTGGGCTAGGGTACAGTACTGAGTTATGTAATGAAACACTAATCTAGGTGTTACGATGAAAGTTTATTTCGTAGATGTTGTTAACATCTAGAGTTGGTGGACTTTAAATAAAGATTACCCTCAACCATGTGGATGGGCCTCATCCAATCAGTTGAAGGCCTTAAGAGCAAAAACTGACGCTTCCCAAATAAAGAATTCTGCCACAAGACTATAACATAGATATCGTACCTATGAATTTCAGACTCAAGCCTACAGCATCAAATCCTGCCTGAGTTTCCAGCCTGCTGTCAAGCCCTACAAATTCTGGACTTGTTGGCTCCCATAATCACGGGAGTTAATTTCTTAAAGTAAGTCTCTTCATATATACATACATCTCCATTTCTTTGGTTCTGTTTCTCTGGAGAGCCCTGACTGATGTAATGTCCCTGTAATAACTTAGCGCTGAGCTCTTGCAGTTTTACAAATAAACTTTTAAAATTTTCTATTGAAACATCAACTCCTATCCCCAACATTTATTAAGTACCTTTTTCATGTGCCATGTAGCCTCAAAGAGCCAAAGAGAACAGGAGCTAATTTACACGTTCTCAATAAATACTTGCCAATGAGGAGATGTTCCATGAAAGATTATGAACTTGGACTATGAATACACTGAGATGGCACCAAGAATGTGATAATCACTATGCTCACATTTTCTATGATGGTTTATGCTATCAATAGTCTAGGTTTGGCTACAGGGGGTAGAAAAATTAGTTAAGACACAGACCTTAAAGACTTTCTCATTTACATGGCAGATCTATAAAAAATTAATATCCAAGGCAAGGAGTAACACTATAATATAGGTATGAATGCTGTTTTAACAGTTTAGAGTCAGGTAAGACAACTTTCAGTTTAAAAAACAGGAAAAGCTTCAGTGAAGCAGGAGCATGGGAACTGTGCCTTGAAGCCTGAACAGAATTTCAACTGGTAGAAACGAGGCAAGGACACAGCAAAGGTCAAAGGTCAAGGAGTGAGAAAGGAAGAGGTGTGAATGGATAAATAGCTTATTCAATTATTCAACAAACAAATATGAGAATTAATCTTTTGCTAGCTCTTATGCTGAAGGATATAAAGAAGAAAACAGCAATCTTTGTCTTAGAGGAAGTAAGTAGTAGGGGATAGGATGTGAGAGTTGTGAGAAGGCAGAAGCAGAGAAGGAACTGCAGTTCCATAGAGCTTGGCCACGATCTTTCCTGCCCCTGTGCTTTACACACTACTTCCATTAGCTGGCAAGTGCTGCGCTGCGCTAGCTGCCTGGCAAACTTCCATCTTTCAGCTTCAAAGGTGCCCTCTCCTTTGTGAGTCTTCCCTGTGTGGCACAATTGAGTCATTCCTTACTGTGCTCCTGTAACTCCTTTAAAAACATTTCTCCTTTGAGAATATTTCACCAGGCATTAGAGTGTGCTCCCTGCATTGCAGAGGCAGTGTAGCATTCATCTTTGTAGCCCAGCACTTAGTAAAAGGCACTCAACACAGTGGCCGCATGGATGAACTACGAAATGGCTCATGGGAAAGACTCAACGGGCATACCAGATTGAGATCTAAAGTCTTAAAATAACACAGAGGCACCAATCCAGTTTTTGACGCCCCAATTCAGACAATCATCACGTAAGCTGGAGTAACTTCTGAAAGCGTGATCACTTCTTTTCCTAAGGTTTCCAACAATTTAGGTTAAATGAATAATCCAGAGAATAAGGAGGAGAATGTAACAGCATGAAAAAAAAAAAGTAACCAGAAGGAGGTAAGTCAAAAAGCAAAGTAAAAGTGCTGACATGCTTATTTACAAGAGAAAAGATGTTCCATTACGTGTTCCCTTCGCACACAAACACAATGACCTGGTGCTGGGAAAGCAAATGACAAAGGTCAAGGAGCATTTAACAGCTCCAGGCCCCAACACTCTTATCTACAAAAAGGAGCTATGATAAGATGACCTCAAAAGTCCCCCCAACACTAACATCCTGTGGCTGAACAAGAAAAAATAAATAATAATAAGCAAGCAAATAAAAAACTCAGAATACTGGTGGTTTTCTTTGGGCTATAAAAGAAAATCCCAGGAAGATGCAGCACTTACATAAATAATTATCTGAGTAGTTCATTTTGTCCAGGGCTATTTCACATTAGAGATCTCTTCCCGTTCCTCCTAGAACCAGTCACCCGTGATCTATCAGCAAGGTTGAACTTACTTTGCCGCAGCTCTTCTTGTCTTTTTTTTCTGTGAGGGTTCATCTTGGGGCACCACCTCCTCCTCCAACTCTTCATCATCTCCAGCAGCAGCTTCTTCTTCTATTTCCTCTGCTGCCACTCCTTTGCTTTTTCTTCGCAGATCCTGGGTTGGAGCAACCTGCAGATCTGCTGGGTAATACTCATTGCTGCAGTGGAAAGAGAGTGACATAAGACAGATGAAGCTGAAATGTTCTAATTGTTTACGAAAGAGGTATGTCCACAGTTCACAGAATCACTCACTGAAGAGACATCTGAGACACCTCATGCCTCTTCTACAACATTATTCTTTTTTATTCAGCCCTTCTTAAGCACCCTATTTGACAAGTCAATCATGAACTGAAGAAGACAGCCCGTTCCATTGTTACACTGTTGAAAATACTTGGAATGTCTATTTTGGACAGAGCTGAAATCAGTCTCCCTGTCTCTGGAACCACAACTAGGGGAGGCAGGTGTAGGGGTGGATTCTATTAAAGTATAGCATGAAGACCATGCTGGTCACTTTCTACCAGATATACTCTACTTTGCCAATGTCCATTAAAAAATGTCCAGGTATGGTCTGATAAGACAAATGGAACTATCAACTCTGCTGCTTTTGGGGGTAGTCACAACACGACACAGACTCAAACTGAATGTCGTGGCAATGAAAATTAGAAGGTCTTTAAGTTTTGTCTCTTCTAAACTAAGTTGGTGCATTTGGTATTCACATTGGTTTTTACTGAATTCCATCCCTTCAATTTTGGTCCACTGTTGTAGGTAGCTAATATTCTCAAGAAGACTGTCATTGAGTGCATTAGTTTTGTGTCATTTTAATTCATTCATCCGGCAATAATTTGTTTGTTGTCTGTTTTGTGCATGGCACTGGGCTATATATAAGGAAAGTGATCAGACCGACTTTAAAGTCCGCACTCAAAAATACACTATAAATAACATGAGAATGTTGAGGATAACATCCTACCAACACACCTGGAAGAAACTCCAGGTTAATATACAACTGGAAGGCTGGAACACTACCATATTCAATTTTGTATTCTCACTAAGCAGGATCTAGCACTTAATAAAAAATGGATAAATGAATGAAACGAGCAAAGTTGCTCTGTCAATTACAAATTGTACCATCATCCACTTAATAACATTCCTATTACACTCAACATTTGATTAACCACACAGCATATTTTTAAATTTTATCTCCATGCACAGCATGTTCACTCCTTCATTTATTAATTAAGATAATTCACACAAGGCACTTATGAGAGTGTCTAGCACACAGCAAGTGTTCATTAAATGTCACCTATTATTGGGATATTTTCGCCATTGTTAGTCATTCATTCCTGCTTCCGGTTTGGTTCTTCTCAAAGAATGTTTAGATTCACAAATTAGTTCTAATATCAAAATGTTTGAAACATATTTAGAAATATAAATTTCTAGCTAACAAAGTAAAAATAAAAAGCCCATAATATATTTCAAAGTCAGAATTAAAGGTGACCTTCGGGTTTTCCATTAGTTTGAATCATCTACAAAAGTATGTGTATAGGTAATCATTACCAACTAATCTTAAATATTTTAAAAAATTGTGTATTTTTAGTCTCTAAATCTTAAACTCAGAGACCCACTTTCTGTTACAGCCTCTTCTCTCTTCTAGGATACTGAGTGGTCTTGGTTCTTCTTCGATCACTCTTGCTTGGTTTCCTTTGCTGGTTCCTTGTCTCCCAACCTCTAAACATTGGTATCAGTCTCTCCCTACATTCACACTCTAGGTGTGGCTTCATTCCCTGTCTTATAAGTTTAAGAGCCATCCATATGCTGACAATTCTCAAATTTATTATCTTAAGACCAAACCTTTCCCTTGAACTTTAAATTCCAAATTCAACTGTGTACTCAACACATCTACTTAGATGTCTATCTAGTATCCCAAGCTTAACATGTCTAAAAATGAACTCTTAATCTCCCCACAAACCTGAAAACTTCTGCATTCCTCTCAACCTCAGTAAATGGTAACTCTGCTGCCAGCTGTTCAGGTCAAAACCTTAGAGACATCCTCAATTCGTCCCCCCGCTGCCCTTCCTGCACTCCCCTCCACCAACACATCCATACCACATCTAATCTGTTGGCTGATCAATCCAACAGATACTACATCTGATCTGTTGGCTGATCAAATCCCGCAGGCTGATCTAGCTGCAATCCTTCAAAAATATATCTTATTGAATTTAAATCCTTCCCAGAATACCGAGAATTCAACCACCTCTCATCATTTGCATTACTACCACCTTGATCTAGTCACCATCATTTCTTACCTGGACTTTTACAATATGTTTAACTGGTCTCTGTGCTCTGACCACTGCCCCCTACAGTCTATTCTCAACACAGCAGCCATAAAAATCCTTAAGAAAATTTAAGTCATGTCATCTGTTAAACCTTCTACTGGCTTTCCATTTCATTGACAGAAAAAAACAAAGTCCTTTTTACCACTTAAAGGCCCTACACAATTTGGTCTCCTGTTAACTTTTTGCCCTCATCTTCAGCTACTTTCTTTCTGGATCACTCTGCTGTATCCACTCAGACTTCTTTGCTGTTCCTTAAACAAGCCAGGTGTGCTATGGTTTGCACTGTTAAGGTAAACAACCCTAACCTACGGTATTTTCCCATGTAATGAAATACTACTGGAAAACATACTTTCTTTTGATTGATTAGTACTGTTTTGTGTACCACATCCCTTATCTTTAGAGTTTTAAAGCAATCTGAGTCTCACATAGCATATCTAGTCAAAACAAAACAACGCTCCAGAAAGTTCTTGTGATACTTTGAGAGTACATTCCTCAGCATCATGGGAAACAATCAAGAGGTTCAAAACAGAGTGGCTGGGGTTGGGTTACTGCAAAATACTTTTAAACTCTAGGCAGGCAAGAAAACAATGAACAAGAGAGTAAGAAATAACAAGGCCTTTGTACACTGATCTAAGTCAATATGGTCTCCTTATTTTGTGAACTGGAAGTTTTTATTAATACCATTTGTGGGCAGGCTAAATTTTAATTCATGTAAAATTCAGTGGTGAACAAAACTAGTTTAGTTGTTATCTGATAGAACCAGTGCTTCAGAGATGCGCCAATGATACAAAAACACGACAAATGTAGAAAGAACTCAGCCAATCTGGGAGCCTAATATTTTGTACCTTCTCTTCCTCATACCCTACCAGGGACATATTCCTAGAAGGGAACACTTACTTGATAAATCTCAAGAAAAGTGGGGAAAGCTCCCTGGACCGTGGCTCTACCCTCTCTGGGAATTTTGCTAGAGCTCGCCAGAGCAAAAATCGAAAATTGGTATGGTCCAGTCTGTCCTGACAGTTGGTTTTCAATGCCAATTGCTCAAGATAAAGAGTTCCAACATCTCCTTCCTGAGTCTGCTCCCAACTTTCATTTCCAGTGGGCTTCTCCTCATCTCTTATATAACTTTGCAGTTCTTGCTCTGAAAGAAAAAAAGTCATCATAACCACTAGATAAATGTTAACATTTGTCCTATTAGTTTCCTCACATAAGGGAATTTCTTTCTCTAGCAATATAAGGAAACAATCAACCATATCCAAAGGTTATCAAAGATAATACATTTCTCATTTATATTCCTCAATTTCATGTGTAATCAAGCAGCCAAAATTAAACAGTTAAACTGACACTTTTGCTCTCAGCCCTGATTCACATCCCCTTACATACCAGCATGTGTAGCTGCTTTTTCTAGATGTTCATAGTAGACTTTCCAAAATTGCTTATTTTCCATTTCATGTGCATGAGAACTAAGAGAAAAGATCATAAAACAAAAAATGTGGAATGGTCCTTATAGGGAAAAAAAAAAGAGTGAAAAGATATAACTAAAATGTTAATTTAAATTATCCTGAATGTGGGGTTGTAAACAACTTTTGTACTTTCTACATTTTTCAAAATGCCTGCACTGAGCACAAAGAATTCTTACAGTCATAAAGTACTACAGGGTATTTTTAAAAACCTAAGTAGATCTATATAAGAAGACTATTTTTAAGGCATGGTAACAGGAACAGAGTATGGGGTATGAGGTATGGCCCATCAAGGGAAAGAGAGGCCTCTGTTTAGACAGAAAACTCAATTTGTTCAAAGTTAATTTTAAAATGTTGGTTTTTCCTCCACCAAATTCAAATATACTTATCATTAACACAAAGGCAAAATAAATATTCACTAATTACATGAAACATTAACTTTCAGAACTTAAGAAGGAGAAATTAGATGAATCATATGTGTTTACATAATTTGATATCCTCGCAAGAATATTCTCAAAATGTTTATATTCTTTCTGTCATTAATTTTCTGAGAATATGCATAAACTTTACATGAGAAATGAATTATATATGTTGTTGACTATTGTAAAAAATTAACCGATTTTTAGACAGAAAGATGTACCCAACAGGAAGACAGCCCAGCCAGCTATGAAGAACCATTAAAGGCATTCAGTAACTGAAGAGCTAACATTTTTGATAGTGCCTATTGGTAGCACACGTCAGATTCCTCCTTAAGTGCAATAAACAAAATCCGGAAGTTGATGTTAGAAGGCCCTGCTTTCAGCATAATGGTTTGACGGCTTTAAGGGCAGTAAAAGGCAGACAAATTGGTTCCAAATTGGAAAGGGATTTGTTTCCTCCGCTTCTGTCAAATAAGAACTAATACTTAGGTTTTGAGAGGCCACATATGACATATTTCCAATTTGACAAAAAGCCAGAGTAGACCATATGAAGAGAAATGTTTCCAAATGGACGGGTTTCTACATATGAGGCAGAACATAGGTATTTTCTATGTGATTATTAAGATCCTTTTTAGAGCTAACGGGATTTTGGAAACTTGACAGCAAGAGTTTTAAAAAGTTCTTATTTTTAAAGTTTGGCTCAATGACTCAATACATATAAAGAAAATTATGTAATTATTATACAATACTTTGTTATTGCAAAAAAAATTAAACAATACAGACATAGAATATAAAGTAAAAAAAAAAAAGTCCTCCACAGTTACTTCAATGTACAAAGAAACTAGACATAACATTTAAACTGTTGAAAAACTTGGCCTCAGAGACAGTAATTAATGTTTATTTTTTCTTCACTTTGTCCCACAAAGGATTTAAGGTAGCTATAAATACTATACACACCTATTCATTTAAATCACACCTAGGAGGATAATACTGGCCTTATTACTCTGTAGTAGTTAAAGCATAACAGCTTCATTCATTTAATCCATGCTTACCTTATGAGCTCAATAACAGGATCCCAGAGAGCACTGAAGTTAACATATAACATGCCTAATAAATAACGAAGTGGCACCTGCAATTGTAAGAGACTAGTTTAGTAAATGGGTAATAAACTATAACAGAATGGCCCCCAAAATGCAAATATCCTGACTCAGACAACCTGAGGTCTGGAAGGAAGTTTGTGTTTTACGAAAAAGGTTGTAGGTACCAATCCAAAATTCAGTGTATAATTTTCCTCCTCTCCCCAAAATGCCACTTGCTATTTAACACAGAGGAATCACTAAAGACAGTATTCAAACTCACCCCAATGTCCACGCTTAAAGAACAGATATGAGTAAACAGATTTGACTCATGATTAAATTCCCTTCTAACAAATACTGCTGTTACAGTACTCAATAAAGCACAGAGGGCAAAGAACCCAAGAACGTATGCTGTGAATGGCAGCAGAGACTTCACAAGCAGATGTCTGAGTTCTCAAAACTAAGCATTAAATAAAGAATTCAGTTCAGAGGGTCTAAAGTTTTCTCAGTTGCCTTTTGAAACGACAGTCACGGTTACTGACGTCCCCATGTGCTAGGGAGGCACCACGTAGAATGGTAGTTCTATTATTATTTGGGAGGGGGGTGTTTGTATGTACTTTAGCAGCCGAACCGTTTTTCCAAATGAAATGTAACAAAGGACACTAACATATAACACAGGTTAAGAACAGAACTGCTCTCATTGAGGGGGAATGCCTCCATTTGGCCTTATTCCCAAGGAGTCTGTGATGTATCTTCAAGAATCATGGACAGAAAATCCCTGTACAAAAGGTATAGGGCTGATGTCCCACAGCAGTGAACAAATCTGGAGAAGAAAGTCAGGCTTCAAACTTGATGTTGAATCCTCCTGTTGCCACTTCCTACCTACCTTCACATACTACACAAATACTCAGGGAAAGGGAGGACAGTAAATTATTTCTACTGTTGAAAAGGCTGGCAGAGCCATTTAACTCAAAGCATGTAAGAAAACTGGGGATTTATCAGTTTTAAAAATTTCTTTTTTTTTTGTGACTACTTGGTATGCTCCTCTTTTCAAAAGCCAGCTAAACATATACTAAAGCATAAATTAAGTAAAAAAGAAAAAAAGAACAGTTTTTTTTTGTTTGTTTTTGAGGAAGATTCGCCCTGAGCTAACATCTTTGCCAATCTTCCTCTACTTTGTATGTGGGTCGTCACCACAGCATGGCTGATGAGTGGTGTAGGTCTATGCTTGGAATCTGAACCCGCAAACCTGGGCTGCCGAAGTGCAGCACGCCGAACTCAACCACTACATTAAGGGGCTGGCCCTGAATTTTTGTTGTTGTAGTTGTTAAGGAAGATTTGCCCTGAGGTAACATCTGTTGCCAATCTTCCCTTTTTTTTTTTGGCTTGAAGAAGATTCATCCTAAGCTAATATCTGTGCCAATCTTCCTTCACTTTGTATGTGGGTCACCACCACAGCACAGCTGATAAGTGGTGTAGGTCCATCCCCAGGATCCAAAGCCATGAATCCAGGCCGTGGAAGCAGAGCACATTGAACTTAACCACCAGGCCATGGGGCCGGCCCCTGACCACTGTTTTATACCTCCTGTAATGGCCCATCAGGGACTGCAGTCTGCACCACATCATGTCTTAGTTTTCTTAAATGAAGAAGCTTCTCTCTGTAATCGTTCACAGTTGCTGGAACAAGTTCTGCCTGGCGTAATATAGCAAAGGCAGACTGACGCTCTGAGAGCCCATCATCCTGAACAACCAGAGAAAACCAAGGAGGCAGATCAGTATTCTGATTTTCCAGAAAGAACAACGATGTGACCAAAGGTCTAAAAAAGAAAAACTGGCATATGTTAGTGTTTTAAATTAAATAAGCAAAATCTTTTCTTTCTTTTTTTTTTGGTCAGGAAGATTGGCCCTGAGCTAACATCTTCCTCTTTTTGCTTGAGGAAGATTGTTGGGGGGCTAACATCTGTGCCAATCTTCCTCTATTTTGTATGTGGGATGCCGCCACAGCACAGCTTGACAAGCGGTATCTAGGTCTGCACCCAGGATCTGAACCAGTGAACCCTAGGCCACCGAAGTGGAGCATGCGAATTTAACCACTAAGCCACTGGGTCCGCCCCAACAATTTTTGGGTAAATGATTCATTTTTCCTCACACCATTTACTTTTTGGTAGATAATTTAGGTTTAGTGTCTAGCATAGTAATGACAAGTAAAAAACAGGAAAGTAAATCTCAAAATGACTCAAATTGATTGGTAACATTTGTTGAAATAAAGAAAACATATATATACTTTCACCATACAACTTTATTTCTAGTAGACGTAATTTCTACTTCTTGAAGTAGTAATTTGCATTTCTAAATATTTCCCCCCACAAATATACCTGTGTAAGGATGTTGTTCACTGCAGTATTATTGGAAATGATGGAAAACTACAAACAACCCATCTAAGCATCCATCAACAGGGAACTAGTTAAATAAGATATTTCAAACTGTGGAGTACTATTCAAACTTCAAAAGAAATGAGGTAGGACTAGAGGTACTGATACGGAAAAACCTCCATGATATCATTTTTTAAAAGTGCGTGTGTATACAAAACGTCTGCAAGAATATTCACCAATTAACTGGATTTGCAGTGGTGGCCTTGTTGGGGGCTGGGGAGGGGGGGACAGGAGTAAGAATTACAAAAAAAATTTCACTTTTTATGATAGATATTTAATTAATGTTTGAATTTTCTACAAAATTATCATTTTGGAAACAAAAATACATCTGAAACTACATTTTTAAAAAGTTATCCAAATTGAACTGTTAAAATACCTCTATCAATTCTGGAAGTCGAACCTCAAAGTGGTTTAGGATCCTTATTGTCAAAAGTCGAACCTAGAGAAAGTCAAAGGCATGTTTCAAACTCCGAAGTTTAAACATAAGAAGAAATTGATTATCAGTCAGTGAGATCTAAGTCTTATAGAATTATGAAAAATATACCACTTGTCAGAGTAATACATATTTATTCTATCCCTTATTTCATGTTCAATACTAAGCAATATCTCATTCAAATGGCACATGGAACAATTAATGACCAGACTAGACGAAGACAAGGTTGCCCATAAAAGCATATTGTTTCTCTGAACTGTGACACTATGAGCATCTTTGTAAATAAGTACAAATGATTAAGCTTCCAATTCCACTGAAATTCGTGATTTTCATTTGTAAATAACATATTCAGGGTATTTCTATACTCCTGCACGAGCAGCAGAATCACCTCGAGGGCTTTCAAAAAACATGCAGATTTTTCAGTTCTACCTCAACCCTACTGAATCAGAATTTTGGGGTGTGGGAACCCAAATTTTTATTTTTATTAAGCTCCCCAATTAATCCTGTTGCAATCCGTTTAGGTCAGTGTTTAGGAATCACTGCTTTAAACAGAAATCACCCCACAGCAGCATTTTCTGATTAAGGAGCTCTGACATCCACTGTCAATACATATAGAAATAAAAGATGAGAGATGAAGCACACAGCACAGAACAGTATTACCTTGGATATACCAGTTGAAATGTTTGCTTGTAACTTGGGAAATAATTCCATTAAAGCTTCCTCAGAAAGTGGCCCCCTGCAGCCACATAAGGACAATCTCTGATAATAGAGATCAGCCAACAGCAACACAGATGGCTCCAAAGGAAACATTCTGCAATGAGATATTTATCGGATCCAAATCATACCAGACACCCGAATATTTAGGCTACACTAGAAACTGCAGAACGTTATCACTGATGAAGGAAACGTAAAAGGGAACAGCTAAAAGTTTTATGTAGACATTTAGCATCACTTTAGAGACAAAGAATCTGAGGACTAGCAACAGTGAGTGATGTGCTCAAGGACACAAAGCCAGCTGGAGGAAGAGGCAGGAGGAGGAGATGGTATTCTGACTAAAATCCAATGCTGTCTTTTCCATTCACATGCTTGTAAATGAAAATGACATAAAGGGGGATATATACTATGTACTAAGTGTTTTCGATGTGTTGGGCACTGAGCTAAGGAGGGAAGCAGTACAGAGGAGGGGTCCAGCACAGGGGCTCTGGCCTTGGGCAGCTGAGGCTTGAAGCCAGCCTCATCATCTAACAGCAGTGTAACCCTGGGCAAGCCGCTTACCCTCTGTGTGCCATCTTCCTTCAGCAAATGTTCATTGTGTGTCTACTATGTGCCACTGACTTTTCTAGACACTGGATGTAGCAGTAAACAGAAGACAAAGTCCCTATCCTCCTGCAGCTTATATTCTAATAGAGGAAGGTAGCCAATAAATAAATAAATTAATAAATAGTCAGTATGACAGTGATGAGTTTGGTGGAGCAAAGTAAACTGAGGAAAGGAGGCTAGATGGAGAGACTGGGGTGGGGGGTAGCAGGGTGAAGAGGAGTGCTATTTGATAAGGGGGTGGTTGTGGAGGCAGAGACCAAAGGAAGTGCAGAAGTGATCCACCAGATACCTGGAAGAAAAGCCTTCCAGGCAGGTGGAACAGTGATGCCAAGTCCCAGACAGGTGTGCCTGTCTATTTGAGGACAGTCAAGGAGACCAGTCTAGCAGGAACCGAGTTAACAAGGAAGAGGCTGGAGATGAGGTCAGAAGTACCAGGGGTTGATTACACAGAGCCCTGAGGAACATAAGGACTTTGGATTTCATACTGAGTCAGAGGCGATACCACCAGAGCCAGGTTTCTCAACAGCGGTGCTACTGACATTTTAGGCCACATAACGCTTCGTTGTGGGGAGCTACCCTGTGCAGGTTGCTTAGCAGCATCCTGAGCCTCTACCCATTAGATGCCAGTAGCAGACCCCATTTGTGACAACCAAAAACATCTCTAGAATTGCCCCTGCTTAAGAATCAGTCTTGGAGCTATTGGCGAAAGAGGGACAAGATCTGTCTTTCATTTAAAAGAATCATCCCAACAAGGTTGTTGGGTATAAAACAGAGAGCAGCAGGGCAAAGACGGAAGCAAGGGAACTGGTTAGGAGGCTGATGCCATCACCCAGATAAGAGACAGTGGTAGACTAGGTGGCAGCCGGTACTGAGTAGTTGGATTCTGGATTTATTTTAGAAATGTAGTCCCCCCATCTACAATGATAATAGCACCTACACCTCACGGAGTCGTCGTGAGGATTAAATTAAATATGTAGGTAAAGTACTCAGAACACAATAAATGAATTTGTATATTGCTATTACTGCATGCACTGTCTAACTTAATCTCCATGAGAGAAGTATTGCTACTTCCTTTCAAGAGATACTGAAGTTGAGGTTAACCTACCCAAAGCTACAGAGCTAGTAAGTGGTGGAGATTCAAATCCAGGTTGAATCTTCTGGATTCAATCCAGGTTGTCTTGGCTGTGAAGCCTATGAACTTAGCCAGTAACTAGCACAGCACCGAGCACAGAAGCCCACATCTACAACTTTCACAACTGGAAGCTTACGCCTCCGTCCTCAGAGCCAGATTCACTCCGGTTAGAGGATTCTGGGCCTCCGAGGCTAAGAGCCAACTGGATGGGAGGCCAGCTGGCCTTCCACAGGGGACATACTAATCTCACTCTGTGAGATGTGTGCCTTTCTGTTTCAAAACCTCCACAGATGCCTTAAATTGTTTATACCAAAGAATATAGTATAAGTTGAAACAAAACGATCAAGAAAAAAAGGGAATACATAATACGATATGTAGGGAGATATCAAAGGAAAACCCTCCTTAAAGGAATTTAAAGCAATTCAACAAACCATGGAGAAATGCCAGCTTTGCCCAGATTTGGAAATGTAAAGAGATTCTGGATTATTGCAGCAAGTCTCCTAACTGGAGATGTCTCCTTTTTTCCCCTTGAGTCTTTTCTCAACACAGCAGCCAGAGTGATCCTGTTTAGGCCTAAGTCACTTCCCTGCCAAATACCCTCCCGCGGCTTCTTCCCCTTTCACTCAGAGTAAAAGCCAAGGTCCCACAGTGGCCAAACGTCACACACTGTCTGCTACCACCAACTCTATGTCCTCTTCGCCTACTACCCACCCCTCGCTCTGCTCAGTCACAGTAGTTCCTTGCTGCTCAAGCCAGGCACCCCCCTGCTATTGTCCCCAACCTCCAGACTCTCCCTATCCCCTGACTCTGCCTCAATTTTCTTACCACCATCTAACATGCCATATATTTCACTTGTTTGTTTAGTGTCTCTTCTTGCTAGGATGTCAGCTCCAAGAAGGCAAGGGATTTTGTCTGTTTCACTCACTGACTATGTCTCCCAGTGCCTAGAATAGGGCCGGGTGCACGAGAAAAGCGAATAAATATTTACTGAAAGAAGTAAGCGAGTAAATCTGTTTTAAAAAGCATGGGAACAAAATGGACTAGACTCCCAAAAAAGAAGTCAAGTAATTTACCAGGTCTTCAAAAGCCCTGACCTTTGAAAGGGTGCTCAGTAGTGAATGGCTCCCAGTAATGGCCCTGTGCTACTACCCAAGTCAGGAGCTAGCTAACATAAACTTAAAAAACAAAAAAACTGGACTGTTTTAGCATTTAGTATAAGGACCACAGAAAGTCTTCTAAAATGCTGATTATGTTAAGCTGAGATAGAATACGAAAGCAGTGGGAATGTATACGCTGGAACCACTCACAAAGTTACCAAAGGTCAACATTGCGATGTTATGGCTGGGAGGAATCAGCGTTATGCCTTTTACACTCTACAACATGAGTTTACACACATAGTAAAATACCCCTTTACAAAAATGAATCGGCATTTAAAGACTGGGTCAAAAATGCACTTATATTAACTGGAGGATTTAAATCAAAACTGAATTTCCTATGTGAATATTGCTCAGGTACAAAACAAGGACTTTTACTATGTCCGGGATAAAAAGAAGCTTTTGCATTTTATTCATTGTTAAGCTGAATGGAAGAAGATATGTTTACTCACAACACTAAATTCTTCACGCGTTCCACAGGAACCAAATGAAGAAGTTCAGAAGATTCTTCCAAACTTAGCAGAGTATTTACAGCTTGACAAAGAACAAATAAATTTCCTAAGGGCAGAAAAACAGAAGACACCACATTACTTATTTCTTTGACACAATAACTATGAGACATCTCATTATCTAACACTTGCTATTTATACAAAGTTTTTAAAGTGAATTTGTGCCTTCTAAAGAATTATCTGTCAAGTGTCAGAAAATAACAGAAAGGAACTGGAAAGAGAAGGTTCCAAATCTTATATTTTAACTTTTTTAGAAGAAAAATACACTCAAACATAGAGAATAAAAACCTATGTTCCATTAACTGAGATGAAGAGTGAGTTCAGGGATTCCACTGACTGCCATTATCAAAATTAGAACTTTTGAGAAGAGTAGACTTGGACTTTTCATAAACTAAGAGATTATCTTTGCGTAAAACTCATGTTGATCTTATGTCTCCAACTTTTAACGAGTCACAAACCCGATGGCTCCTGCCCACAATCCACTCAATAAATATTAATTAGACATTCATTTAATCCTAGACCAGAGTTTGGCAAACTATGGCCCATAAGTCAGAATATTATAGGTCATCTGTTTTTATAGGGCTGGCAAGCTAAGAATGCTTTTTAATTTTTAAAGGGTTATTTAAAACAAACAAACAAAAAGAATATGCCACAAAGACTGAATGTGGCCCACTAAACCTAAAATATTTACAGTCTGGTCCAGTATATAAAAATTTTGCAGACCCCTGCTCCAGATTTTAGAAGAGTGCTATCCAAGAGAACTTTCTGCAATGGTGGAAATGTTCTATACTTGTGACAATACGTAGCCACAATCCAGTATGGTAGCCACTAGCCACATGTGGCTACTGAGCACTAGAAATGTGGCAAATCTACTTTATTCTCTAATATATCTACTTAGCATCTAACACAGAATCTAGCACATTAATATTTAGATGAATAAACGATTACTACACACGTTAGGAAAAATAATACCAAGCCAGAATAAAACAAAATACCTACTTTTAAATTGCTCTTCTCAGGCTAGCAGGAAGAGATGTACAAGTATACAATAGGAAATAGTGTTCTGGGTAGGGCGGCCTAATTCTGCCTGGAAGAATCACGAAGCCCTTTCTAGAGGTATTGTGTTTGAGCTGAATTTTGAAAGAAAAGTACGAGTTCAGCAAATGACAAAGACCTAGAAAGGACTCTAGGCAGAAGGAATGCATCTAAAGGGCAGCCAGAGGGTTGTCAAATAAAGTGTCTTGCTCAGGGTAAGCAAATGCCTGGAGCGTAAGTTGTATACAGGTGTAGAGTGGGTGTGGGAGATGGGAACAAGACACAAACTGGGGCCCGAAAATGAGGGGTCTTATATGCCATGGCATCCTTCTGATACTTCACCTTTTAGATTCAGCTTATGTTCAAGACATCCAGACTCAGTCATCACGTTATGAGGTACAAGTGCAACATGTCCACCTTATCCTCTTTTCTCTGTATTTATCATATGGGGGTTATGCCAGAACACAATGCTAGTGTTATTCTCTGGTATTCTATGCGTATACAGTTACTTTTGGTGTGCCAGAAAAGAGAGATGAGAACAAATGGTGATTGTTAACTGACCTTTTCCAGAGCTCCCTCTGTCAACAGTCATGAAGAGTGACTCTATGAAACATGTGACTAGGGGTATCACCTTCTCTTTCTCAAGAGGTCTGTCCAAGAAGTGGGGAGAAAAAGAAAAAAGTTCAAACCAGCATTTAATGGCTTTTTCATGGACTAGCAAGAAATGGCTACAAAACTTTAAGCAGCATGTCATGTATCTCCTTCAAAATCAGACATAGTTTATTTTCTCACCTAATATGAGGTAACACGACAAGGGCTGCCCAAGAATGTGAAAGGTAAGTAGCGTCTTTACTTGGGGGTAACTGAATTATAGACAAAAGATGGTCCAATGCTGGAATCTGTTCCTTTCCTCCCTTGGATCTAGTCTTCTTCTGCCTTACATAAGATCTGAAGGAAGAAAAGACAAACAAATGTTTAGGACAGGAGAGAACATAATTGCTCTTGCCCTCTGAAGTTTGAAATAAAACTGGTTCCTTTCCATGTGCGGAGCATTGCAGGGGAGGAGGGGACTAGTGGGGTTGAAGATAAATAACTAATCAAATGTGAGTTATGTACTGATTTTCAATGAGAGGCTTTTTCAATCCCTATTAGTTCTATTTTCTATTTTAATTTGCTTCATAACTTAACCAAGTCTCTTCTCTTCTAATTTTAGCTATTATTTCTGAATTTCGTGCTGATGGACACATTTTTAAGAACTGGAGAGGTAATTTATTGCAATGAACTGACTTCTTCCATCTCCCTTTCCTTTTTGACATGAATTTTACTACTTCACAAATAGAGAATGATGCTGCAAAGTTATCATGGTAAATTTGACAAATGTCACCAAACTGATTATGATTTAGAAGTAACTTTCTCTGCTGCTTTAATCTGATAAATGGTTACTCAATGATGTTTTCTGCATGACACTCAGCTTTAGGTATGTTACTTTGGCACTATTTTTGTTTGCCTCTTAATTTTTGCCAATGAACCATACCTCAGTCTTATTTGAAAGAGATCTAATTGAAAAAAAGGTTACAGAAACAATAAGTAAAATGATTTCTTTTATAATTTACCTTCCATGTCCAGTTTGGTTAGTTTGTTATGCAACAGAAGTAGAATATCAGGTTTTTATTCCTGTGCGCTTTTTGTCATTAAAATTAACCAAAAAGTTGCATTCTCTTTTGTTTCATACTTACCAGGATATTGAATTCCTGGAAATTACAATAATTAATTTAGTCAACAATTTCTACAAGTTGCTAAATCTTGATATGCAGTCTTTCTAGTAGTAATCATGTAGCAGCAACCAACAAATGGCAAAAAACTTACAAATATTGAGATACTTTTAAAAAAGTGAGTTATTAGTTATAATGTCATTCACTGCTTCATCACATCTGCGAATGAGCTCCTCCAATAAAATCTACACTCTTTTCCTCCTCCTGAAGGCCCATGGTGATCTGAGCCTCACCTACTTTCATTTCTCACTTCCTCTCATTCCACTCTCCTTGTTCAATGCTCTTTACTCACAGAGTTTCTTTTTGTTCCTCAAACATACTGGGCTTATTCCTGTCCCAGAGCCTTTGAGTAACTCTTCCCTCTGCTTGGAAAGCCTTTCACTTTGGTCTTTGCAAGGCTGGACCCTTTCCTCATTACAATTGGTCCAAAGGTCTCCTCTCCAGAGAGGGATAGTGCTGTCTCTGAATTTACTCTACCCTCTCAACAACCTGTTTTATTTTTCTTTTTATCACTATCTAAAATTATCTTGTTTGTTTATCTGCCTCATATCTGTCTCCTCCAAGAACGTAGCTCCCCAAAAGAAGGAACCTTTTTCTTATTCATTATTATATCCTAGAACCTAGAACAGTGCCTATACAATAAATATTGGTCAAATGACAGAATAAATTTATCTTCTAAAGAGTGTTTTCACAGCTATTATATTTTTTATTCTCATGACAAATCTGTGAGATGAATCGGTGGAGTATTACTAAGAATATGCAGACAAAGGTGACCATTCACTACAGCCTATCTCTGTGGGGGTGGCAGAGGGATGTTTTCTCAGAGAAAGACACAGAAGCTGTGGTACTTGCCTTAAGTTAATATGACTACATGTATTTATTTATTCTTATCGTGCCACATTCCAAGGAGGATTTGAGACGGCTGAGATGGCAGTGTAAGGTCTGACCCGCAGCCTCAGCCAGGACCTTGGCTTCACCTCATGGAAGCCAACAAAGCAGCTTCACTCTCACAGCCCAGAACCCAGAGTTCTGGCCACTCGCAAGGAATCTGCCTGTTGGAGATTGGCTTGGTGTTGTAAAATCAAGAGAAAAGTTCCAAGGGAGTAAGTCTACAGGAGTTACTCATTACCCATTCCTCAGGAATCAGGGCTCAGCGAAGTAAGAAACCAACAAGACTATGCTGGCATGTTTTGATAGAGAAGCTACTTTAAGATCAGCAGAAGAGCAAAGTTTGAAGAAGATGGGTTCCTCCAGAATCTCATGCTGATCAGATTCACAAACTAACTTTGCTGTGTGACTGTGGGGACAATGACGCCCACCTCAAAGGATGTAGCAACAGGTCTAACTAATCCAATAGAAATAAGAAATTTATGTATTCCTATATATTCTTATGTATAAATAATAGGAACGAGAAGGGAACTAACTGGTTTCCTAATCTACAATTTCTAGAATCATATCCACTCAACTATTTGAAAAATGACCTGAATCCTCTCACACACTTACGTAAACTTTGTTTTCAACTTCCAAAGGGTATGCGATGTTTTTAATGAAATTAAGAAAGTAATCCACAGTGCTTTTAACAATTCAAAGGTATATAATCTAAAAGTTAATAGTGACTTCTTTCTTCCCCTTACCATCCTCCTGACATAAACAAAGTTAACAGTTTTGTGTATCCTTAGGGAGATGTTAATTCTCCCCAAATTCATCTATAGATTTAATACAATCCCAAACAAAATCTCAGTAAGGTTTTTTTGTAGACATAGATAAGTTTCTTCCAAAATTTAAATAGAAAGGCAAAGGACCAAGAATAGCTGAAACAATTTTGAAAAAGAAGAATAAAGTGAGAGGATTTCTTTTTTTCAAAATTTCAAGACTCATTTTATAGCTATAGTAATAAGACAGTGTGGTCTTAGAGAGGGAGAGATACACAGATCAATGGAACAGAATAGCGAACCCAGAATTAGACCCACACACATATGCCCAACTGATTTTTGACAAAGGTGCAAAAGTAATGAGGAAGAGTTGGCTTTTCAACAAATGTTGCCAAAGAAGTGGCCATCCATAGGCAAAAAAATAAACTTGACCTAAACCTCACACCTCACATAAAAATTAACTCAAAATAGATCACAGACAAGTTTAAATAACTATGAAACTTTTAGAAAAATAGGAGAAAATATTTGGGAGCTCCAGCTAGGCAAACAGTTCTTAGACTTGACTTGATCAAAAACATTATCCATAAAAGAAAAGTTGATAAATTGGATCTCATCAAAATCTAAAACTTTGCCCTGTGAAAAATCTTTTTAAACAAATAAAGACAAGCTATCCACTGGGAGAAAATATTTGCAAAGCACATATCTGACAAAAGGACTAGTACCTAGAATATATAAAGCGTTCTTTTAAAACTCAACAGTAAAGACACAGGCCATCAGTTAGAAAATGGGCCATGGAAATGAACAGATATTTCACTAAAGAAGATATACGGAAAGCAAATAAGCACATTAAAAGATGTTCAACATCATTAGCCACTGGGGAAATGCAAATTGAAATCACAATCCTATCAGATTGGCAAAAATAAAAAACAGTGATAATACCAAATGCTGGTGAAGATGCAGAGAAATTGGATCACTCATACGGCTAGCTGAAATGTAAAATGGCAAAACCATTCTGGAAAACCGTTTGGTAGTTTTTCATAAAACTAAACATTCACTTATGATATAACTCAACAATTCCACTTCTGGGCATTTATCTCAAAGAAACAAAGTGATGTACATGAATGCTCATAACAGCTTTATTCAAAATAGTCAAAAACTAGAAATGACCTAAATGTCTTTCAACAAGTGAATGATTAAACAAACTGTTACATCCATACCATGGAATACTACTCAGCAACAAGCACATGAAAAGATGTTAAACAGAAAAAGGAAGGGACTCCTGATACAACTTGGATGGGTCTCAAGGGAATTAACATTGAGTGAGAAAAAGCCAACCTCAAAAGTTGGACTGTATAATTCCATTTAGATAATATTCTTGAAATGACAAAATCATAAAAATGGAGAAGAGATCAGTGGTAGCCACGGGTTAGGGATGGAGTGGGAAGCATCAGGGTGAATGAGCCTATTAAAAGGTGGACTGAGGGGCTGGCCCGGTGGTGCAGTGGTTAAGTTCACACATTCCACTTCAGCAGCCCGAGGTTCACCGGTTTGGATCCTGGGTGTGGACCTATGGACCTCTTGTCAGGCCATGCTGTGGCAGGCATCCCACATAAAACAGAGAAAGATGGGCACAGATGTTAGCTCAGGGCCAGTCTTCCTCAGCAAAAAGAGGTGGATTGGCGGCAGACGTTAACTCAGGGGTAATCTTCCTCAAAAAATAAAAGGTAGCAGGAGCCGAACGGGCAAAACCGTGGGCTGCTCGCTGAAGCGGAGGGCACAAACGTAACCACTCAGCCATGGGGCCAGCACCAGCTCTGTATCTTTACTCTGGTGGTGGTTACAAATCTACACATGTGATATAACTGCACAGAACTTTATATCCATGTACATACACACACAGAGATAAGTGCACGTAAAACTGGTGAAATCTGAATAAGGACAGCAGATTGTACATTGTACCAATGTCAATTTTCTGTTGTGATATTGCAGTAAACTTATGCAAGACGTTACCATTGGAGGAAACTGAGTGAAGGCTCACAGAACTTCTCTGTACTATTCCTTGCAACTGCACATGAAGGTACAATTATTTTAGAATAAAAAGTTAAAGAAAATTAATAGTTACCTCTCTCTTTCACTTGCCATCCTCTTGATGTTAACCAAGTTAACCTGTTTGTGTATCCTTTCATACGTTTTTCTATGATTATATATACTTTTTATTTTAACTTTGCAAAAATCATACTACATGTACTATTCTACAATTTGCTTTTTTCACATAATAATATATCATGCACATCTTTCCAGTTAATACACACAGATCTTCATTTTGGGGAGTATTCTTGATGCATTATTTTTAAACAGGTAATCCTACCAACATTATAGGGAATAAAGACTTGGAACTTACCCCACCATCTGTTGTGAGAAAGCCAGAGGGTACTTCTCAATGGCCATCGAGCCAGCAGTGGGAGGTGCTGCTTTGTTCAGAATGAGCTTGGCCAAAACAGCCAGAGCTTCATCTTTGGCCACAGCATCATCAATCAAGAAGCAATTCTCAATATATAAGAGAAAGCTTGGTAGAAAAAGCTAAAAATAAGAAAGGAAATCACATTGATTAACAGATACACATTTCAGAACACCTAATGAAGAGAAGACTGTAACACTTCCACAGAGAAAAAATAAATCATAAACAAAGGATCAGGAATCATAACGGCATCAGAGCTCTCCACAGGAACAATGGAAGCTAGAAGACAGTGGAGCAATGCCCGGAAAACTCCGAGGGAAAATGACAGAATCTAGAATTATATACCCAACCTATTAGCAATATTAGCATGAGAGAAGAATAAAGACATTTTCAGATGTACTGAATCTCAAAATTTTACTCCCATTCAGCCTTTCTCAGGAACATCTGGGGAATGTGTTCCAACAAAATGAGAGAATAAACTATGACAAGAGGAAGACATGGGACCCAAGAAACAGGAGGAAAACAAAAGGAAGTCCTAGTACGACATCTGTGCAGTGGGCTGAGAAAGCAATCCATTCAGACTTGAATTGCTCCAGGAGGAATGTCTCCAAAATATGGAGGAAAAAAAAAATTGAGCTGCTAAATTATCTGATAGTTTGCCATGTGAAAGACATTCTACTATGCTGTTGGAAGACAGACTCACAGACCAGCTATTTAAAGAAAACAATTTCTAGTTTTCAAAGAATGAGGCAATTATTAACTTCAGGAAGAATTAAAAGGTATAAAAAAAGGGAAATATAACTATAAAATACTCCTTGTTTATAAGGATTAAGTATACGGTGAATATGAATTCAACCAAAATTTGTGATGTAACTCTCTTGAGAAGATGAGAGGTAAAAGAACCAGAATCCATCTATCATAGGCGGAAGTCTACAGATGAGAACTAAAACTAATGATCAGGGAAAATCAGTTATTCAGAGGATTCACATATATAAAGTAAATACTAAAAAATAAAAAAAAAAATGCTAAAACTCATTAGATGTGCTTGCTTCTGGTGAGTTAAGATGGAAGTAGAAATGAAGTGACTGTCTTCTAGCCCTGTTTGACTTTTAAACTATAGACATAGAGTACTCTGATAAAAATAAGATTTTTTAAAAGACCAAAGGGAACAAGGAAGAAGAAAAATAAGCAGTTGCTAAGAAAACCAGAGCGAGATAAAGGGCCCTCACTGGGCAGGAAGGAACAGGGCTAGGACACATACAAAGAAGCTTTTCTTGAGACAAATGAGAATATATATTATTAAAGACTAAAGCGAAAAATAAGAGAACAGAGAGAAAGGTTTCCATGACGTATTCTGTAGGGTTACTGAGTTATAAGGAGCAGCAAACGGTTGACAGAGGTGAGAGGAAAGGGATAAAGTAAACTCAGGTTTTGATGAGAAAGATTTCTATCTCCTTCCATCAGGTACCTATTTGGAAGCAATGAAATGAATGTGCAACATTCCTCCAATGCCAACCATTTCAGAAACTATTTTCTATGCTGCAAATTCACACAAAAGTTCCTTAAACTGTTGTTTCAATTTTACCACATGGTTCTGTAACTTCTTAAAGGATTATTAAAAAACAAGTTGGTTACTTAATATCATTTTAAATGCCTTAGCATATGGAATAAAGTTTCACTTACGATCTAGAATTAGAATATAGTTACTTTAAAAAATATGGACTGAAATATCAAATACTTATTCTGTTCCTTTCAAAAAAACAAACAAAAAAATCATAGGATTTTAAATCTGATTATTTTATCATGACAGATTAAGAACATAACAAAATAAACCGAAAACTTACTATCTCACTCACCTGCTCAAACTGCTTCATAGCAAACATGACTTCAGAAAAATCCAAAAGTAAATGTCTTTCAAATCTGCTCTCAAAAGTCTGTGGACCACAGGTAAAAAGTATTAATGTAAGTACACCGAGAGTACTTTCCCTGTTCCTGAAAATAAAAAACATCCCAAACTTTCCAGGTCCTCTAACTTGCAAGCAGGAAGTAGTGGGATGCTCGATATCAGTTAACACAGTCAAAGGAGGCAAAAAGAACTTGCTGGCTGAATTTGCCACTGTGTAGAGGGACACACCCGGGTGTGAGACACAGGCACTGAGCCCTCCCCGGGAAAGCAGCTAGAGTACGGCAACCGTAGGCACACTTCAACAAGTATTCTGTCCACATGCTTGGCCTTCTCCAAAGGAACTTACACAGATGCAAAGGGCACTGCGATTCTAGGGATCACACAGGGCTCTGCCTGACAGCTGCTCAGTTCTTTCCCAGCTACAGAGAACTATGAAAGGGCAAGCAGCATGGTTTTATACCATCCTCTATACTTCATGCTGCATTAAATGAAGCTAGGAAGAACCTAACTGATCTTTCTGCAATCCCACTTCCCTCCAATCCATCTTCTCAACTCACTAAAATGCAAGTCTCATCAAACCATTTCCCCTACTTAAAATTTTTCCAGAGCCCTCCACTACTTGCAGGATAAAATCCAACCTAACGTTTCAAAGCCAAGCAGAACCTTGCTGATGTGCACCACATTTCCCCACGTCTCTATGTGCCCAGATGGCACACTTTTGAACGTGTCTTTGCTGTTCCCTTTCCTAGCATTTCTAATCCCTTCTCTGACTGGCAGACTGCTATTTAATCTTCAAGGACTATCCCAGATACAAGTCCTTTGAAAAACATTCTCTGTTCCTCAACCCCAAGCAAAATTAATCGTTGTGTTTCAACATGACATGAATAGATTCGTTCAATGGACTGCAACTACTCACTCCCAGGGCTCACCTCCTTAACAATTAAAAATCACAGGCACCAGCATCCACCCTGGGATACCTGGTCCATACCCAACACACGGCAAGCTAGACATGTTTGGTGAATATTTGCTGAGCAGACTTAGCTTTTACCACACTTTGTTTTGCTTATTTCTATTACAGCATGCAATTCACATCTCTTTAACAAGATTATAAACTCCCTGAGGACAGAGCATTTGCCACTCTTCATCTGTACTCCCCAGGAGACCCACTCAATGTTAAACATCTTATTAACTACTCAATTAACATTTGTTGAAATAAATTACTTTTTCTACGGTTTCTTTGACGAGGGCCTCTGGCAAGCAAACATTTTCACCTAGGATCAAAGCAGAAATTACATCCAAGAGGGTCTCCTGACAAGACGTGGAGAGATGGGCTATCTGTAATGTTTGAGACAACACCTGTAAAAGAAAAGAAAGACAACACATACTTAGCAATCAGCTTTTAACGAACAGACTCTAAGCAAATTAAGTTGGGAACTCACCTTACAAATATCAACAGGTTTGGTTATCTTTGATCCATTTCCATGTTTCACGAGTATCAGATATGTTTCTAGCAACCTTTTTATCTGTTCAGAACATTCACCACAGTTGCTTTTGGTTACTTTCGTATGTAGATCCAGAAGTGATTCCTGCAAACAAAGAATTTACCAGAGAGAATAACTATATCAAACTCAACTATTAATTCAATGATGAAACTATTGCGTGAAGCAGTTCAAATTTTCATGTCCCTTTGCTCTCAAAGAAAAAGACACATTTACCAGGTGTCACTAATGATAATAACAATGAACATTTTTGAGTGCACTGTTCTAAGTTCTTTAAAAGTATTTCCTCACAACCCTCGCAACAACCCCAAGGTAGGGAATATTATCACCCCCATTTACGAGATGAAAAGACTGAGAAATAGAGCAGTAAGTGACAAAGCCAAGATCCAAACAGAGGCAGTGTGCTCCAAAGCCTGTGCTCTTAACCACTAGGCTCTACTGTGTCTCAAGATATCAAGCCAAATGAAAGTAGTACAGGGGGTGGAGGGAAGGAAAATCCTAAGAAGACAACAATTATAAAATACAATCTCCAGGGGTGGTCTGTTAAACTAAGAGCAACAACAATCAACTCTTGGACTCCTTATTACATACAAATTCTTAAAAATTAGAACTCACTTGCAAACATTCAAAAAATGTACCAAAATGTTCCTTGTAGATGTAAGACGCGGTGGACTTGACCATGCTTTTGAGTGTTTCTCCAACTAAAATCCATGGTAGTTGCGTTTCTGTTTCAGTAACTGGTCCTAGCTTTTGGAAAATTAGCTTCACTGCCTGTGAGAATCCAAGAATCATTAAAATGAACATGTACACTCTTATTTTTAAGTATTACACTATTTCCCTCTCTGATTAAGCTACCTTAAAATGTGATCTGGAATAATTAAAGATCTGGCAGCTTTCATGGTGAACTATGTATCCCAAAAGGAATTTCCAAACTAGGACGGGGAATTTTATCATACAACTACCCCCTCCCCACCACTCCCGCTCCTTAATCAACTTATGTTACCTTCTAGGATCCAGAATAAAGAAGACAGCACTGATTTTATAAGTAAAAATACCTAATGACCCAGGGCCTACATTAGGTAAGCATTGCTATTAAAGCCCTAATGCTCCCCATTTAGTGCTTTCTATCTATTCTAGGCAATCCTCTCTCCACATCATTTGTGTAAATCTTACCTATTTTTTCTTTAATATCTTTCACATAAACTCAAAGTATTCCTCCCAGCTATTTACCTTCTCTGTACAGGAGTGAAACATATTTCTAACACCTTTGCACATTTCAAAGAGCAACTGTCCGACTCCTTCTACTTTTTCTGGATGTTTATCAAGATCAAGAAACATTAAATTGAAAAGTGCATTTTTATCAGAAACCTAAAACACGAAATACAAATGGAAAATTGTATTTACAACATAAACATATCCAAACAAAGAATTATTATTTGCTATTCCACAAATTCATATTTGAATGTAATTAGCACGAAATTCTAAAAGGAATAGACACTTGCAATGATTTCAAATTACTATAACAGTATACTATCACTTGTAATGTCACACAAAAGAATAATTAATTCATAGGTATGATATGAAGGTATGTACCAAGAAAAACTACATAAGGCAACATTCTGTCTTTTAAAGTAAATCATATATTTTACGAGTATAAAAAAAATTTAATACCAACGTCTTTGTTTTATTACAATAACTCTCTAAAATTTACTAAGGAAACAAACACAAACGACACCATGACACAATGAGTTCCTTTCAGGAAATTATTACAAAAATTCCTGTTAATGTATTCCTGTTCATGTATTTTCTGATTTGAATTAGAGGCTATATATACACTGAAAAGTTTTGATGTATGTACACTGAAAGCTACCAACAAACCCCTAAATAACAATAAAAGTGACTCAAATTATTTCATATTAGTGAGCAAAGACAACCTTACAGTGAGATAAACTCAAAATAGCAATACGTTTCTGTTTATATAAAAAAATTATTAGTCCATGATAACCACATTATAAAAAAATACATGCTTCTGTCCATCAGATTCTTGAGGATTAATGAGCAATAAACATATAAATTATTAAACTAACCTTTCTCATCAAAAAAGTAAAGCTTTCAGCAGCAAAATTTCTTATGTGTAGTTTTTTATGAGCCAGGAGTGTACTATACATGCTATAAATGAGAAAATAAAATGTTTAATTAAGCATAATTTTAATAAAGATGTACTACATGTCAACTATATGTCCAACACTGTGCTAATTATGCAAGGAATACGTAGCAGGTATGAAATAAGTAGTTTAAAATCTCATTTGGTTACCAAGACACCCCATGTTGAACAGAAGAGTGAAGGTCACGGACATTAAGAATCCTAGGATTGGTGGTGCTGGTGTTATAGAAAAGACTCCATAAAAAGCTGCAACTTGTAGTGAGCCCTGAATGACAGGAAGAACTTAGGTAGGTACTGGAATGCATATTATTAGAGATACAAATGAGATCAAAAATGGGGTGGGCAGAAGACGTCATGGTCAAGAGATAACAAGGAGTCCAACTAGTCTAAAAGAAGGAGGATGATATGGTTGAGGAGGGCAGCTGCAGATAAAGCTGCCCAGGTAAACAGGTGGCTCCAACACCAAGCAGAGGAATTTGGACCCTAGCTTACATTTATGTTACTTCATCTAATCAGCACAACTCTATGGAGTAGGTACTATTATTATCCTTATTTCTACAGAAAATGAAATTGAGGCAAAAAGGTAAGCAACCAACCCAAGGTCATACAGCCATGTAGCTGTAACTAAATAATTACTTGTCTAATCAGTGTTTAAACTGGTCTTCCTAACAACAAAAGAATACAGAATATCTCTCTCCTATTTTTGCCATATCCCCAGTATCTAACAGTGCCCTTGCTCATAGCAGGTACTAATAAATCCTGGCTGAGTAAGAAATGAGTATTTTCAGAAGGATTAATTGGGTAGCAATATATAGTATGAAATACAAGAAGAGGCTAGCAGTCCAACTAGAAACCTGCTCAAGTCACAAGCTTGGGCAACAAGGACACAAAAGAGGCTGGTGGTAGAGGGAAATGGCAAAGGATGGACCAAAGAGACATTTCAAGAGTCCCTGCAATGGAACTGAAGACCTTACTGTATCCACAAGGCCCTTTATGATAGGCCCCCCTACTACCATGTCTGTGATATCACCTAATTACTCTCCCCTTATCCATGTTGCTCTACCACCGCGCCTTCCTTCTTCCCTGCACATGCCAGGCACGTGCCCACGATGTCCTCCCCCTGCTAAAATGTAAACTTTGCAAAAGAGGAGTTTTTATCTGTTTTATTTGTGACTATATCTCAAGTACCTGACGGACAGCATTCAAGAAATATTCACAGAACTGAATGAGCGTGTGAATCAAGAGGATTTGGAGTCCCTGAAGACAACTGGGTCAAAGACACCTCTAAGGTGCCAAGACTCGGTGCTGGGAAGAATGATGGTATCACTGTTAGAAACTGGGAAACTGAACAGTGACTGGCATAGAGTACATATTTGCTGAAGACATGAATGAATGAAGAGTTGGCTTGAATGGGATGTGCTGACTTTGGTTTCAGTAACACTCAACGAAAATATCCAGACTGCTGAAGATGTCACACTGAAAGTAAATAAATTTAGAACTAGAGAACCTGACTTTGGAGATATAAAATAACAGCAGAAGTCATGAAACCAAATAAACTATATATCCCCCTAAGATCTTGCTGGTTTTTAATGCAGTAATCTTGGTTTCCAATACATTTTACCAAAAGCTTCATAGAGAAGGCTGGAAAAATATTCCTCTTTCATTGTTTGTTCAAAGGAGAGTAGGGTGAAGGGGGGTGGTACAAAAACAAAATCTAGTCTTATCCATACCCACACCTATACTGGGAGTAGGGGAGAAAGGTTAATCTTATGTTTTCCTGTAGCAATTAAAGTATGTAGAAATAATCAGGACATAAACTGGAAACTTCCACCAAATCCCAGATTGAAACAGATTATAAACAATCTTTCCCTTACTTTAAACAAAAAGCTACTACAGAATTCATTCTCTTTCTCTGTCCACATTTGCTCAAAAACGCTGAGCATCTCTTTTGGCGTAGTAAGTATGTCAGGGGCTGGGGAAATGCAGATATTTAAGACGGGGTTCTTGAAGAGTTTCCAGGTTTGTAGCGGACATTATTACACTATGAACAAACAAGTATAACAGGAGTTGTGAAGTATAAGTAGTATAGAAGGCCACAGGCGTTCAGAGTACAAAGCTTTCACTTGGGCCAAGGAGCCTGGAAATGTTTGTGGAGGTTATAGAAGCCAAGCCAGGCTTTGATGGTGGTGGTATGATTTCTATAGCTTGAGTTAAGACAAGGTCAGGTCAACACAGAGTGGCAGAACAGACTGTGGCTGCTTTGGCTGGAGAACCAACTTTGTATACAGAAGTAGAGTTTGAGCTGGAAAGGTAGTTTGGAGTCACAAGCCGGGAAAAGGCAATTAGAGAACACATGAGAGTCAGGCAGCCACATCAGGAGGTACATATCACAGGTATAATGCATGTCTTAACTAAATGCAAGGTGAGAGTCAGAAATCTTGGTTGTCAGGATCAATAAAGACAACCCTTGACAAAAAAATAGAACTTTACAAAACTTAAATGCTGAAAAAATCTCACTATTGAGGAGGATCATTCTTCTTAGGGGCCTCAAGCACACAGTTGTTTTCACAGAGGCAATCTTGAATAGTCAACATACGTATATTTCTTTCACTCTAAAATCTGAAGCAGATAGGGAGCAGGACTGACTGTAAACAGGCATGAGAAATCTTTTGAGGATAATGGAAATGTTCTTAATTGTGGTGATGGTTGCACAACTTTATAAATTTACTAAAGAGCACTGAATTATAAATAAAATTTAAAAGCAAAAAAAACCCAACCCCGTATTAGAGAGAGAAAGGGGTCACCTGTATATACTGGACATGTCCTTCACCATCAGTCTCCACAGGTACTTGTAAAGATATGATAGCGAGGTGAAAGCCCATTCTAATAACTCGGTGTCCTGAGTCTCCAGGATCGAGGTGATAGTCAGGAAAAAATCCTGAAAATGTGGATAGAAGTCTGTCTGCAGATCTCGTGCCAACTGTACAACCAAACTGGATTAAAAATAAGTAGAAGTAACTGATTTGGAGACATATAGATCAAAAAACAAAGACTGCAAATCTATTTCACAAATGATGTCTATGATGACAGGATTAATTCAATCTTCCAAAACAAGTCTCAAGAGATCTATAAATTTTTTCACATTTTAAGAGTTCAGCAAAAGGGCTGGCCCAATGGTGTAGTGGTTAAGTTCATGTACTCCACTTTGGCGAGCCAGGTTATGCAAGTTTGGATCTCAGGTGCAGACCTACACACTGTTCATCAAGCCATGCTGTGGCGGTGCCCCACATACAAAATTGAGGAAGACTGGCACAGATGTTAGCTGAGAGACAATTTTCCTCACCAAAAAAAAAAAAAGAGTTGGGGCCAGCCCAATATGTAGCTTAACCGGTTAACTTTGCCAGCTCTGGTTCAGCAGCCCAGGGGCTTGCTGGTTTGGATCCTGGGCACGGACCTAAGTACCACTTATCAGGCCATGCTGCGGCAGGCATCTCACAGGTAAAGTGGAGGAAGATGGGCACAGATGTTAGTTTAGGGCCAAGTTTCCTCAGCAAAATAAAAGAGTTCAGCAAAGAAATCAGGCCATGGCAAGAAGCTGCATTCCATCACAAGTTATGGTCAATCATTCCTATAGTGTCAAAGAAAAATGGGGTGCTCTTAAAAGTATAAAACAAAAACAAAAAAGTATACCCCTAAAATTCTGCTTTATGGTAATGTACTAATATTTTGATCTAACAGAAAAGGTAAATTCTTGTTTCTAAATTACAAATACCAGATCACAAATACATATAATGTATATAACATTGTATGTATATAAGGCATATGTATATAAGGCATAACCTTTCCTAAAATTCAGATAAATGTCATCGAGCTTTCTCTCAACATGTTACTTACTCCAAAAGCGGCTGATAGGCATAACTGTTCTTGATTTGCAGGTGAGTCTTCAAACTCTGAACTATCTCGTTCTGATGATAAACCAGCTGATTGAATGACTGGCATTTGTCAATAACTTCTTTGTAAAATTTCCCTGGGTGGAAAAAAAAAAAAAGAGTATGTTCTGCTTTTCTATCACACCACTGTTTAGTTGTTTTGACCATATATAATGCAAATGATGGGTGAATAAAATAGAAACAAAACAGAAAATACCAAAGTGTTCCGTAAGGTTTAATTCTCTCCATTTCAGCAGACTCTCAAAAAAGTAGGTTTCAACTTCCTGCCAAGATTAAAGCAGTCCATTAATCAGACAACACAACTATGATCAAAGTAAACAAGAATAATGACATATTAATATCTTAAGATAATAATGATAGTCAAGAATTTAAAAACTTAGAACATTTTTATTTTTAAAAAGGGCATTAACTAACTTAAAAAAGCAATCAGGTACAATATGGGCAGACGATTTATAAAAATGATATTTTGTTGATTTGGTTGTAGCAAATACTTCTCTAAAACCTATGCAATAGTCACAATAAGGAAAATATTTTTTTCTGTTTTTTACAATTTTAGGCCCAGAAAAATGTGCTGAGTCTTACAGTTCTTTCATTCTGCTTTTTGGAAATAAGAATGGCTACAACTTTGTGGGGAAGTAATCTGGCATTTCTATTAAAATTAAAAACAGGCATGCCCTTTGACCCAGCAATTCCCTTTTTGGAGATATTTCTTATAAAATTTGCACACACAACATAAAGATGTTTATTCAGCTGTACTATAGTGGAAGGAAAATATAAAACAGCCTAAATAGCCAACAATAGGAAAACGGTTGGTGTAACTCATGTCTCTATACATTAAAGTACATTATACAGCTATTAAAAAGAGCTATATCTACACTGAATTAGAAGGATGTTGATGATATACCCCCAAAGTGATAAAAGCAAGTTACATTGTGAAGTACATGGTAGAAACCAATTTTTCTTTTAAAAAAAGACTTCTATAAATGTTAGTACATATTAGAGAGAAAGTACAGAAGAATACATATATACTAACTGTCAGCATTAGTTTCCTTGGCCATGAGGGGTGGGAAGGGTGAGATAACAGGTTTGTCTAAGTTCACCATTATGTTGTTTGGCTTGTTAACACAGTATATATTACTTTGTACTTTGAAAGGTAAGATCAATAAATTATTACTACACATGTATATATGTATGTATGCATGTGTATTTGTATACATATATGGAGAGAGAGGGTAAAAATACATAGGCACATACAAACAGCACACCAAATCTACAATCTCAAAAAAAGGTAAACCCTTAAATTGTGCTTTGGAAATCTTCAACAAATAAAAATGAAATAAAATCAACAGGCAGAATAGAGAGAAGGAAACAGAATCTCACTAAGCGTTTTTCAGTGTCTCTTAAGGCAGACGGGAAATACACCCAACAGTTTAAAACCTAAATGTAGAAGGCTTTCCTAGCCCAGCACAGTGAGTGGTACACGTCAGCCATTTGTGATAGACTAGGTCCCTGCCCCTTTGCAATGTGACTTGCAGCCCCTACCACAAAGAGACAGAGTCTATTTCCTCACGCCTTGAATCTGGCCTGGCCTTGTGACTTGCTTTGACCAATAACGTGCAATGGAAGTGATCCTGCAACTGCCAAAGTGAGGCTTTAAGACGCTTTGTACCTTCTGCTTTTGCTCTCTTGGAAAGATTCTGCCATCATGAAACGAAGTCTAGTCTAGCTTATTGAAGAATAAGAGGCCATTAGGACAACTAAGACCAATAAGCCCCGGTCAATAGACATGGCATTGAGGCCTTTCTAGAGCATCCAGCCCCAGATCCCATCCTAAGCTCTCTTCTCTACTAACTTAACATTCTACCTCTTAGTACTTTCAACCTCTCCTGTGGCTTAAACTATAAACCACATACTGAATGCTAAATCAGTAATTCCACCTCCAAAGTCACTTGTACTCCTCCAGATCCATATGTCCAAATGTCTTTTGGACACCAGCATTTGGATAGCCACAGGTATATCAAAAACTCAATGAGCTCCAAACGGAACCAACCTTGTGCTCTCCTTCTATAAATCTATACTGATTAAATGATGTCCTCAACCACCCAGTTGTTGGGACCAAAAGCTTAACTCCATTCCCTTCCTCCTTGCATTTCCAGCAGGTCACAAGTCCTATTCACTCTACTTCTTTAATATCTCTGGAATCCTTCCCTTCTTTCCATCTTGACTGTGGCTACCATAACCATTTCGTACTTAGATGACTACTAAATCCTCACAACTGGTTGCCTTGACTCCAGCCCTGCTCTTTGCTCCACACTAAAGCCAGAGAGATCTAAACTTAAAACTGATCATGTCACTCGTTCCCCTGCCTTACAATCCTAGAATGAGATCCCATAGTTTCAGGATAAAATCCAAACTTAGCTTCACATATGAAGCCCTTTATGATCCTTGACTATCTCTTTAGCTTTATTTCTCACCAGCTACCCCCTTCCCCCATCCCAGTCACCATCAACACACACAGTCTACACACAGTTATAACCACACTGAACCGCTTTGCAGATTCTTGAATGTGACATGCATTCCCTAGCCTCTGTCCCTTTATACAGGCTTCTCCCTCAACCTTCCCTGTCCTCTTTGCCATGCTAAAACCTATACAAACAACAAGACTCATTTCAGGTATCACTTTGTCTACATTACCTTTTTTGATAAACCACCTTACACCCCTAAAGAATTTAGGTTAGGCTCCCTTCACTATGAGTTCCCAAAGCATTACGTGCTTATCTGGACAACATCACTTAACACGCTGAACTCACACACTGGAGACAAGGCATTCAAACAGACAGTGAGCAGAGTCTGACTAGAGCCAAGTCAAGAACAGTAAGAACTGACATTGAATCTCTAAATTAAAGGGATACTATACAGGACCTTAAAAGGATAGCAGAAAAATAATGACTTGACAAAGAAAAAGCAAGAGTTTTGACTGGAGGTGTGACTGAGTTAAAGGGTGGTTAGAACTGGAAGAAATTATGTAGTCTGCCCTCTTTCTTTTTATACTGGAGGAAACTAAGCCCCAAGAAAGTGACTTGCTCAAAATCTCTTTAAAATTGTAGCTTCAGGAATATGGATCTGTAGCAGTGCTTGGAATGCACACAGAAAAGGGAGAGGCTGGAATCAGAGAAGTTACCTGAGTATCAAGTCAACTGTCTAACACATCATCACCCAACAGAACTTCCTGCGATGATGGAAATGTTCCATATCTGCACTTGGCCAATATGGCAGCAACGAGCCACATATGGCTACTGAGCACTGGAATTTTTAATTTACTTTCATTTAAATCTAATTTGCCATGTATGGCTACTGTATTAGACAGCACAGGTCTAATGCATTTCATGGTCATAAAGGAATGGCTTGAAAAACAATTCACTTCTACTAAGAGGAGAGACTAAAAACCAACTACGAATACTCGAAGACTGGCTAATACAACATTCTCTTACCTCTTCATAGCTTGCAGTTCTATCAATCCGGTGAATAATATCAATATTCACATTCCCCAGTCGTTCAGCAAACGTAAGAAACTGTGCGGGGCAGGGAGAGCATATTTAAGATACATCATCACTTAATACTTATCACATCTTGAATATCTGTTTGAATGCTAATTTCCTTGTGAAGTAGAAAGTTTAAAGCTTCAATAAGCCTCCTCATGTACTATCAGTACAAATAATAGCATGTTTTGCTAGCAATTTCAGACTTGTATTTTCAATCAATCATAAAATGTATAATTGTGTTTTGAAACTAAAAGTAGACATCACGGATGAATCACAAAAGTGTAAAAAAAACTGAAAGATATAGTCTTAAATGCACTGCACTATCATAGAAAGATATCAAATACTTCTATGAATATATTTGCATAAGTCTTTCAGTTACGTCACTTCCAATAAAAGTTACATACTAGACTGTGGTGGCCAAAGGTGAAAGCTGGCATTGAACCTCCATAGATCTACTGTTAGGTTTCACAACCCGCTACAAGCATAGGGATCTGGTTAAGTCGCTGCAACAACAGTTTTTGAAAATATATACAGACCTACGGTGGTAGCGTAACAAAGAATCCTTCGATGGGCAAACAGAGAAAGTGGTGTCTTAGCCAGTAGCTGGAAATCACTTACCTCCTCCGGCAGGCCCGCCCCCAATTTGGTCTTTAAGGATAAAAGAGCGGGTAAGAACAGCTCCTAAGCAATCAGTCTGTGATAATGAATTTAACTCTGTACTAAAGAGAATTCCCAGGGAGGCCAGACCCCATAAAGCATGGGCGAAATCTGCTGTCCAGCCTTCTTTCCCCACCCCGTGTTTACTATACCAGGAGGGTCTCCCTCGTTTGTCAGAGCCTCCAGGCAAGTGACTCACGCTCGGCCCGGAACACTGTAGCGCCAGGAGTCCCGCTCAGAGCAGGTCCCATGGGCGAGGCAGCAGGGACCCACGGTTCCCGGCCCAAGTGCCCTCGCTCACCCGGTACGTGTTCTCAGTCTTGTGGGAAACGGGCTTTGTCTTCATGGCTGCAGACAGGCAGCGGCCGCGAGGACCTAGGGAAGGGTCGAAGGGATGTAACCGACGGTAGGGAGAAGAAACTGGCTCACACTCTTGCACTTTCTGATTCCCAGGTCCCCAGACTCTTTCTCACGTGCAGCCGGACGCCCTGGGCGCCGCCATCTTGAAGACCGGGAGGAGCCTAAGCTGGTCACGTGGGCGGAAGAGGCGGACGGAGCAGGCGCACTCGCCGGGGAGCCGGCTGGAGACCTGGAGCCCCTGGCCGGGCGTGTCTGTTGTGTTTACTCCCGTCAGTAAAGATTTGTGAAAAATGTGTACATTTTTATTCTAAAAGAAAAAAAATACCTGTAATTATTGTCAGCTAGCAATCGCTGCCCTTCGCTGTGTACCCTCCACCATGCAAAGCTCTTTACATCCGTAATTTCACAGTAAAGCACGTTTTGAATGCTAAACAAACATAAATGACGTACATATTTTAAAGCCCCTTTAACACAGGAAGAAAGCAAGGATGTTTAACTGGTAAGTGGCAGCCTGACAGGGTCACTCAACTCCGAATTCTGATTCTTAACCACTAGGTTCTAACTAAAATTGAGAAATAGAAAAGGAATTTTAAAGAAAAATCTTATGATTTCATGCATAACCACTGTTAACATTTTGTTTTCCCTACCACTCTAATGTCATGTTGGTAAGCATAATTGCACAAACAATTGTGTGTATTTCACTTATTCATTCACCAAATATTTCTTGAGAGTCTACTATGGGCTAAGCACTGTGAGCTAAAGAAGACCCTAATAACGTTAATAATAATTCTCTTTGGGAATATTTAGTCTGAGGTACTTACATCTTAGATAGCCAAGGAGAGATGTTAAGTAGACAATTAAATACATTCCTGCCTAGAGCACAGCATAGAGGTCAGGGCTGGAAGTGTGACTTAAATATCTTAAAAACACAACTGCTGAAAGTATGAAGTATTTAAAGCCATGGAACTGGACGAGACTGTTTAGGGAGAGAGTGATGAAAAGGATGAAGAAGAGAAGAGGACCCAATTTGAAACTTGGAGTTCTCCAACATTTAGCAGTGGCCAGGAAGGTGACTGGGAGAGAGCCAGTGAGGTAGAAACAGACTAGTCTTGACACAGATGAGGAGCCTGTGGCCAACTATACTGAAAGCTAGGGATAGAGAAGTGTTGGATCTAGCAAGATGAAGGACACTGGTGACCCTGACAAGCACTGTCCATTGTGGAGGAAAGAAGGTGAAATACGCATGGATCGAGGAGGGAACCAGGTGAAGAAGTGAAGTAGACGTAACACTTTTGTATTGTAACTAACATTACAACATCAACATTTTTCTATGTCATCATGCGGTTGTTGCAAATATTTTTAATGGCTCCATAGCGCTTATGGATTTTATCCTTTAATGATAAAATGTAGACGTGTCCAATGTTTGGCTGGCTTCCAGTAGGCTAATTGGCTTTTGGGTTTTTTTTTCTTTAGGTGGTTCTTTGCCTTGATGGATCACACATCCCTTAAAGAAGTCTAAGAAAAACGTAGACCTTCTCCTCAGAAAAATGCAAATAAGCTCATTCACACTAAAATGTGTAGATGATTTCAGAGAGTTAGAAGTCTGCATCTATCTGAAGGTAAGAGCCCCGACTCTAAGCAATGTTCCCAATCTACTGCTACAATCACCCCCAGATAACTGTGTTCTTTTCCTTCTCTGTTATTTATTTTTGGTGATGGAGTTAATGGGACAGTAAAGAGTGGAGAGAAAAATGAAAATCAAGGACACCAAGAGAACTGACACTTTCAAGTTACAAATTGCATTGTTACTCATTATATGATTCTCATATATTGACAACTCTGCTTAACAATTTATCAATATAACATGGTGGTTAACAGCATGGATGCTGGAACCAGATTGCCCAGGTTTGAATTCTAGCTGTGCCATTTATTAGTGTTTGACTTGGGGAAGTTCCTTAACCTCTATGAGCATCATTTCCTTGTATGTAAAATGGAGGTAACAAAAGTATGTGTACCAAAGGAGGCTGTTGAGCGGAGTAAACAAGCTAATGGATGAAAGGTTCTTAGAATGGTGCCAGGTACCATAACTGCATGACCTTTGACTATTATTTAACCTTTTTGAGACCCAGCTTCCTGATTTATTAAATGAAAGTAAGAATAATACCAGTCTTGCAAGATATTGTGTTGGCATGTAGTACATGGAATAAATATTTGCTGAATGGACAAATAGGTGACCATTTATCCTCTGCTATCTGGCTACCGCCAAGTTCCTTAAAAGCAGAAACCATGTACTTTTCCAACTTTGTATCGCCAGCGCATCCCTTGAACTTGAGTTGTTTAATGAATGTTTGTTGAATTAACAATGCATATGATACTTTGTTTAATCCTAACAAACTCAAAAATAATATAATTCCTACATAGGATGTCGATTGTACCACGTGATTTTTAAGGTCTCTCCCAAAGCTAAGTGTCTGAGGTTCTATGGAGTACCTTAATGCAGCACCACTGTTTGAAAATGCACCACTCTTTTCAATATGAAAAATACCACTGTTTACTTATGAACGTCTCTTTTCCCCCAGCCTTTGCCCTCTCTGCCAAGGCCTTGAATATCCCCATGCCATTCTCTATTTCCTTTTTCCATAATGGTTCTGCCTTTCCCATCCATTCCAGCCAGGAAACTTATTCACATAATTCCTTCATTCTTTCCTTCTTCAGCTAGATTGGGAACTCCTTTAAGTTTTACTTTTTAATCTTTGTTTCCTTAGTTCCTATTCCACTGCAGTTTCAAGCCCAGGGGACAATAAGAGCATACTAGGAGTTTACCCAGAATAGAAATGGAAGTGGAATCCAGAGAAGGCTTCTGGGTGGAAGTTTAAGCTGAGACCTGGAAGATGGATAGACGTTATCCAGGCAAGGGAGAAGCATGGACATGAATGGTGTTATCTAGGTAGAGAGAGTAGTATAAAAAGGAGGGAACAGTATACAAAAAGGTTCAAAATAGTTGAGTTCAAATTTGGTTATTTTCAGTTGCTAATTCAAAGCCACATCTTGGCAAGGACATTGCTATCATCCTTAGTATCCTTGGGCTAGTAAAAAGGAAAATGTAAGGGACAGAGTGAAACTCAGAGGTGGAGAGAACCTTGGTTTCCTTATCTATAAAGTGGGGACAACAGTAATCCAAGGCTGTTGAAAGATGAACTAAAATATTATATGTGATGGTCAGGAAGGGGACAGGTCTGGCTGGTGGCATGGTCTTGTCTAGAAAGGGGCTCAAAGGATACAACATATCAAACCAGAGCAGAACAAGGTGGGAAGGAAGTGAGACCTCAAATCAATAGAGGGGAGTGAAGTGAAAAGAAGAAAGAGTGGGCCAAGGAGGATATTTTAGTAACTCTTAATTATGGTAGTAAGTTAGCTGATCGAAAGATGATTCCCTTCTTGAGAGAACTTTGTACTGCTCACAGTTGTGTGTAAACTGGGAGACAGCAAGAACATGGAGTTTGGATTCAGAAGAACACCTGGGTCCCATTTCTAGAATTTTCCATGTATTAGCTGATAACTGGACTAGTGACTTAATCTCTGAGCCTCAGTTTCCTCATCTTTAAAATAGGCGTAAGAACCAAATCTGCCTTTTCACTTACTGTTTGGTAAGGAGATCCTTTGAGATAATGCAGCTCGTCTCTTGTAGCCTATACAGAGCTATATAAACGTTAATTACTATTATGATTGTTTCTTTTCAATTATGTGACCACTTTTTTGGCCCTGAGACCTTTGAGCTTCCATTCTCCTTTCCTTTGTTTAAAGCTCAGGCATCAGAGACTTTAGATCAGAAATGGCAAACTGGTGGCCTCACAAACCCAGTGTAGCCCCCTCGTATGTTTTGTTTACAATATTCTTAAAATATTTTAATTTGTTAAAAGTCCGAAGATTTCAGGTGAAAATCCAGATAAAAAAATCCACAACACTGGGCCCACATTCTGAAAAGCAGCAATCCCCTGGAGTTGAGTAGTGGCAGCCCCTTTGCCTCTGTCTACACCACTCCCCACTGTCCTACACTGATTTAAGTATCCACCTGGCCCCTGTAGGCATTTCAATGGGCAGCCCCTGCATTAACCTCTTCCTCAAACCAACGGCTGTTCTTGTCTTCAGTTTTCAACATGCCTTTTGCAGAGAGCAGATCATCGTTGCTCCTGCTGCTCCTGCTGCTTTTTATTTTTAATGCAGTGAGTGACTCAACTTTTTACAGGAAAGTTGGTGCAGTTTTTCAGTTGGTGTTAAAATATTTGTAACACCCTTCCCCACCCCCTGAAACACATGCATGTACATGCATGCACACACACACGCACACACACATACACCATCGCCTTCTGTGTTCAGCTTGTTTTCCTTCCTCATTTTCATACACCTTTTGCATTATTTCTGTCATGAACTTTAAACTCCTTATTTTCTTTTAAGAGATGTCAGAGGATACCTTAAATTAACCTGCTTTTTGAACAATTTAAACATCTGCATATTTGTACATATCCATTTTCGTGATTTCTACTCTTTATTTCTATCCTTAACTAGACTGTTGATGTCTTCTTTAACCAGGATAAGGGGTCCCACAGTTTGGATTTCTCTCCCCCTCGCCATTTTCCTGCTCTCGCCTTGGTTCTATCATTGCATCTGCGTTGGTTTTTGTCTTGATGGTAGCATCATAGCTGCTTCTTTGAAGGAGAGGTGAGCTTGGACTCTGCTGCCAGGCCTCCCAGGCTCACACCCTTGCTCTACCACTGCTATGTCAACCTCAGTTTACTCACCCCCAAAATTAGGGGGAGTATGAGTGTCTCTTATGGGCTTGTAATAAGGAGCCAGTGACCTAGTATGTTGATTCTCAAAGTGTGGTCCCCAACCAGCAACATCAGCACCCTATGGGAACTTGATGGAAATGCAAATTCTCAGGCCCCGCCCCAAACCTGAGAAACTCTGGGGGTGCATCAGAAACTCTGGGGGTTGGCACCAGTAATCTGTGCTTTCACAAGCTCTCCAGGTGCTTCTGATGCAGGCTCAAGTTTGAGAATCACTCACTCAATGTATGTTAAAGCACTTCAAACATCGGCACATAGCATGTGCTATAGAAAGTGTTTACTATTCTGACTGTTTAGTCTTTATATTAGTGTTTGCTATTATGATT